TCGTATTTCCTTGCTACCTGTGCATGCTGTTGTATCAAAGAATTTTATTCTAGGCAGCAGACATGTCTAGCATAGGGATTCTTAAACTGGGATCCGAGAAATAGACGTGGAAGACCAGTGAAAATTTTAAGAACGAAAACAATTCCTTCCCTATACCTAGTACAATATAATCATAAATTGAAAACCCATTCTGGGGGATTGTTGATGTTTATATCTATATATAATATAAATTAGATTTGTTCATTTGGACTAGGCTACGAAGAGGTCCGCACCGATTAAAAATAAATATATAAGAGGGTCCGTGTTAAATAAAGTTTAAGAACCGCTGGACTCAGCACATATGAGGTTTAGAATCATTAAGTCCTACCGTGAACAAAATACTGACATTATCTATAAAATACAAACACGAAAAACGTCGATAAAATATAAAAAATTATAGCCTACCTCCAAATATGACAAAATCTAATGCTTGAAATTGTTCTTTTATCGATTCCATAATGCGTTTATAAATAGTTATAATTAGATCTTTATTAATATAGTAAACTATAGTAAATGCTGGTCTATAAAAGAACGTGTGCCGCTTGAAATTTTTCAATATTTATTCTTGTTTTATTTTTACAATTTATAAGATAACTCACTACGTGCAATAATGAAGGCACAATAATTATTACACTAATCAGCATTTCTTAACCTGGGGTAAAATTTCTTCAATCTCAGGGGTAAGATTCGGTATTGTGAACAAAAACCACACCTGTTTGCTTGTTTTGTTGCAAGGAGCGTTATGTTATTGGGCAGTTGTGAAAAATCAGTATTAGCCTATTATTATCAGTAGGCCTATATTTCAGCCGAAATTGAAAACAACATCTTTAAATAAGCCGAGTTCTTTGTTATTTTAACCATAACATTAAATTTATTCGCAAAATTAGCACACATAGAATATGTTGAAATAAAATGTCACAGAAAAAGAGAAAGTATCAGGACGATTATTTAGATTCTGGGTTTTCGTATCTTATTGGGACAGCTTTCATATTTTTCAGTGTGTTCTGTGTTTAAAAACTATTTTAAACAGTACAACGAAAATTGCGCCACCAAAAAAAACACCTAGCTAACGAGTAATAGAACCAACGAGTAATAAACGATAATTTTACATCTTTTTTCCGCTTGATTGATGTAAATGGAGATGAATTTGAAACAACTTTCAAAGCAGAGCTTAAAATCTCATCTGCCACTTCAAAAACTAGCAGGAGGAATACGGTATTTTCCCGAAATCAACACTACCAGGGTTTTGATGAGATTAGCAAGAAATCTCTTTCTTTGTATGTGTAGTAAAGGATGTCGTTCCCTTTCCTACGCCTTACCTGTGCGAGTGCTGATTTTCTGCGTTGCTTACTATCAAATCTGAAGCACGAAACCGCCTCGATGTCGAATCTGACTGATATGCATTGCGCATTGTTTGCTATTTCACCGACATTGAAGATCTGGTTGCCAAAATCCGAAACTTTTTATGACATTGTACTCTGGTTTTATTTTATTGCAATACGATATCCTAATAACCCATTACTCTGACCTTCATTCTCGATCTGTATAGACTCTACCTACTTAATCCGTGTTCAATCTACTCTGATCATGTTTTGTTGCAGCTTCAGTTAAAACAAAATTCATGGCATTTCCCCTCTATTTCTCAGGAATATAGGAAATGTAACTGGGACGCATTCAAACAACTTATTTTTGATAAGACATGGACATTTGTATTTTTTGCCCCCATTCCTTCCCGCTGGATTCTGTGATTCATAGATCGCAGATTGACTTCAACCTAGAATTGAAAAGTTTATTCCCCAGAGATCGATCAGCTGCAACCACCTTTTGCCCTGTGGTTTTGTTCGGAATGTGTGCGACTGCTGCATTTCATCCATCGACGCAAAGCCTTTACCAGAAACAGGCAATCATTCCCGAAGGTTCCATTACATTTGAAACCACGTACATTTGAACCCATGACAATTGCACCTGCATACTATTGCAACTATGGAATTTTTTTTTGTTTTATGGATATTTGAACCCATTCTCACCCTAACCCATGGGTTTTAGCACCCGCATATAAATTGAACCCGCGGATTTACGCATGGGTTCAAATGTACGTGGGTTCAAATGTACGGTCACCATTCCCGAAGGCTAGAATGAAAAGAAAAAAAACGAAATCATTCGAACAAGTTATTTATGATATATATGCCATGAACATTTGTATCTTTTTTTAAAGGTACCGATATTAATTTAATGAAGTATTTTTTTTCAAACGTAGCAATATCAATTTATTAAAGTTTTGATAATAACAATAGCAATTGCGAACTGTTCCAATGAACTGTCTCCGATTCTATTAAAATTGATCTAAAAATGTTTGTGTGATTCCCCTTTCCAGTTTGCTGTATATTGGATACTGTTATTAGTCTCTTGATAATCATGAGCAAGTATTTGAATAATTCAATTTCATTAAACATAAGAAAGGCGAATCTTTCGTAATCTGCAATAGATTCGCGATATTTATTCGTGATGTGCTTTCTGATAGAGTAAACGCAAGTTACCCGAAAACCTCGAATGTGGCAACATAATCGCGATTTGGTCGATATTTGCTGATAATAAAATTAGATTTGGAGTTGTATTTCAAAATCGAGTAGCCTAGTATTCTAGCAGATGTCTAAATTTTCAACGACTCTCATATAAATTTAGTGTGCAATTTACAACTCTTAGAAAAAGATTCCCTACTTTCCGTTCTTATGGTGAATTTAAAATAATGCTGAACAGAAGAGTCGTCTGTGTATCGATTATAATTTATTGATGCTTGTCTGTTGATAACATATCTACCAACTCTGAAAAAAAAATTACGTTTATTTATAATATGATTAAACATCATTATGAAACTATGCTAAACAAAACTATGAAACTTATTTAATAATGAAATAGTAAGCGTATACGACAACAGCACTCAAATTTCCTCGTGTGTTTTTGATACACTCCAAACCTACTTATTTCTGGGTCTCTATCATTTCTCGTTTGAAACCGCTGTATGTGCTAACCTAAAATTACATTTTTACGATGGTATAGAACGTGAGAAACACAAGTTTATTGAGTGTTTCTAACATCCGTTGCGCCCGTGGCCCATCGTGCTCGACATAACGCAAATTACATGTTTTTATTTTCTGTTCAACTCATTCCAATTTTTGCCGGTCCGCGAGTGCATATTATTTAATTTTACCGGTCCGCCAGGGTAGAAAGGTTGGGAATCACTGATTTAGTCGATCCTGTTTGACTATAATCGAACGATACGCCTGGCTTGGGAGATAATGTTGTCATTGGAAGCGAAAAATTCATACCCGTGTTCATGTTAGCGCATTATGCTTATTGTACCATTGGAATCGCACACGACCCTATTCCTTATTATGATGGCATATAAGATATGGCAAGATGCACGTTCAATTAATTTTCTATTCTACAAAAGTGTTTTCTTGCGGTATTTTCTAGAATCTTGGTAATTTTTTGACAGTGATATTAAATTTTAAAGAAAATCCTCAGAGTATAGAGCGGCGTTGGTAAAACGCCTCAAATTTGTTGAATATTTCTTTAGTGTTTGTTTTACAAACGAGGCATAGCTTTGGATAGTACCATTCTCGCTTACTATGAAAATTGAAATAAGTAAATAGCACGGCATTTTAGTCAGAAAATACCAACTTGAAGTTTTTACCAGTGGCTAGTAGGGATGGCGGAATCAATTATTCGTGGAATGGATTTCGATGCATTGGAATCGATTCTTAATAAGAATCTCCAATGAGAATTTTGCTTCGGTTCCGTTTCCAATACGGGATTGCAACGGGGGAACAAAAAAGGGTTTTGTAACATTTAGCTCTGCAGCGGCTGACAGTTGATTTATTTGCTTCGTTTTAAATAATGCTAGGAGTAACTTGTTGAAAATTCGGACAACAGTTTGAATGCTCGGTAACTTAGCGATGGGTATCCGTTATCAAGAGAGCTCAATAATGAATTGTGACAGTGATTCCTTTATAAATCTGGACTGTAAAGTAGAGGTTTAAGCGGGTTCAGTTGCTAACTTGCACCAGGCTCAAAATCTTGCAGTGCATCACTCGGAAAAGATCTCAGCGGCCAGTGTTTTTATTGTGCGTCTTATGATCACCTGCATGGTCGCAACAAGTTCATATCTCGCTAGGTGTCAAGGTGAAGCTCTGGAACATTATACTGTTTTTGACAGTTTTCGGGTTTAAACAAATAAATATTCATAACCTTTTATTCAGATGGTAATATTAATCAAGAAAAGCATGCCGAACGGAAAAGCACACATGCTGTTTTTTAGGTTTCTGAATCTTGCGAGATTTGACGGAGCGCATTCGCGATGAATCGGAACGTGAAAGCGAAAAGTGTGATTACACGACGCCAAGACGTCGCCGGGCCGCCCTTATCAAACAGCGATATGACGGCGGAAGAGATATTGCGTAAGCAACTTCATCTTTTCGGTATCGGTAACCAGTTTTGGTTTCCTTCCCCAGTAATGTAAATGTTTTTCCTTAATTTTTGTCTTTTTACTGATTGGAAAAAATAAACTCGATTTGACGTCGTCGATCATATAATCGTGTGGAATATTTTCATGTTTTTCTGACTGAAATTATAGCATAATCCCGAGACCAAATTAGGTCGCGTGTTTCCCGAATCATTAATCACGGAAAGTTGAAATAGTGCAGCCAGATGGAAGATTGCAAGCGACCATCCGACAAAAAATACATAGAATAATCCTTGTGGTAAACATGCCGCGGTTGACTTTAAAGAAGTAAAAATTATCTGGGAAATAGATGGGCTGACGGAATACGGTAAAACACATGAAGGAGACCACAAGAAAACACTTTTTGCATAGAAATCTACCTGAAAATATGACGGCAAACTTTTGAGGTAAACAGGGAAGTTCAGACGAAAATGGTAATTGTAATAAAATACGCGGTTCATACGTGACATTACCGTACTTGATTTATTGCACAATATATACACCAGAAGCTGATGATGTCCCACGAAATTTGCAACTCATTTCACAGATAAAAGAGCGCAACCACAAACGCTTATTACAAAAAGAAATCCGGATTTAGGTTATCTGTAAACAAAGTTCTGTCGACAACATCGGATGGTGAAGTTAATCTGTTTGATCCAAGTATAACTTCACATTGATTTGACTTAAACTTTCGTAAAACATCATTGACTTGTGAAACCTCAGTAGCTGTAATGCCTCCTATAACATATATTATTAAAGTAGGAAAATCACATGGTCTGGGAGGAGTGACTTTTCGGAACATACTCATTCCCATTTTAAGTAAGTCTTTGCGACCAGTTGTAATATGCTCAATGTCAGGATCAAGATCTGGTTTTAGTGGATGGAATATTCGCTCAATAACTTGACTTAGCAGAGGTTGGTAAGAAGGGGGCTCAACTTTGCCAAATTTCAATATATGAAACAGATGCAAATCATTTACGACGATTTTCTCAAGGTTGTTCAAAGTTCTGTAGACGGCGTGAGTTAATTTGGCTTTGTTTTTCAGGTCTTCTTCAGAGAGCTTAAAAGAAGTCATGAAGTGCTCTGGGAGATCCTCACACTGGGTGTTGGAAATGATCTCACAAAGAGAATCGCACAAATTCTCATACACATCAGTATCTATGTGACTTTTAAATGCATAAGAAGCATAAATCATTAAAGACAACAATTCTTCAAAAGTAGTTGAATCGTCCTTAGCAAGTTTGGTGATTTGATCCAAAATATTAGAGACATCATCATCTCCCAACTGCTGAAGAATTAGTTTCTCCGTCAAAGCCAATGTTTCCCAACTTTCACAAGATTCATCTTTTAACAGTTGGGCAGTGGCCAAACCAAATTGAAGTAGTGCACTATTGTACAGAACAGCACCAGCATTTCTTTTGAAAGCACCAACTAGATTTTCAATATTATCAGCAGGATTAGGTTCATTGGTTGAAATATCACCATCTTCATTAAGACCTTCTTCTGTGACTGCTTTAAGCAATTGGTTTCGAATTTGTGAAACTGCTTTTACACTTTTTACTCCACAAGCTTCAGCAAGAATAGGGCTTTCATCTGTATCTGGAACCAAACAACCAGGATACACAATTGTATCATCAACATCTTCAGGACAAGCATCACATAAAATTGACATATCAACTGACACATTGTTACAATGAGCAGGAAGGCCGGGCAAAATTCCCAGTAATTGATCAACTAAACATCGTTCCCCATGGGATGCTGGGCCAATCAAATCTAAAGTTCTGTCAATGAAAAGGACACCGATTTTCCCTGGATAAGTGTTTTTTTGTTGATTTACCATATTGGAAAGCTGTACTGAACACAGGTGGCTTGTTGGCCCAAGTGCAAATATTTCTTCTTTACAACCTATAGAGTGGAAACATTGTCGTAAAGATGATGTCAACATTCGAACAAGAGTTCTGTATTCACGAGGACACATGTAGAAATGGAGATCTTTAAGATTAATTGTGCTTCTACCAGAATCTTCCATATTCAGTTCAATTAGATCTTTGTGTTGAACAGGAAAAAATGCATCAAATGAAGGCGTCAGAAATAAGTTTTCAAACATTGGTGCCATGAATATGGGGAGATGAAGGATTTCGGTTTGCACATTGGTGTCACCCATCCATTTTTGTAGTTCATGCTCCAGATCTTCGAAAGTTCTTTCATCCTCTTTCAGATTTTCTTCCCCTGAAGCATATTGATGTAACTTAGGCTCTAGAGTTGTGATCACCAAACAGTTATTAAAAGAACTCGCAGACAAAATATTTTCTATAGTATATGTTGTCTTCCCAGTAAGAGGTGAGCTTATGATAAACACAGCTTTTTCCTGCTTTTCTGTTCCACTCTCAAATGCAGAAAATTCTCTTATGTTAGTGGCTCCACTTTCAAATAAAAGATCTGCTCCTCCACACCAATGCAAGCATTCCGCACAAGGATTGTCCATGAAAATAACTGCATCTTGAACCCTTAAAGCGACTTTCTTCCAGGGTGTCAGGCAAGTGTGTTTAAAGAAATTATTCATGACTATCAATAGTGATGCTGTAATAATGCACACAAATCACAAGAAAAACATAAATATCAACGAACATGCAATAGTCAATGACAAAATTCATAGAAACTTGCACAAGTTTAAATCAAATTTTCATGAAAATTATAAATGATGAAAATGTTTCACAATAAAAAACAGAAGCCTACATCAAGGCAAATTTTTCGCAAATGCGATTATCAATACACTATACTCTTATCACATTCCAAGTATATTATTAGGTATGTGTAAACATTAATTAAATGATATCCAAATACTGAGACAAAACATGGCTGTCTATCTGTGAAATGTACTCTTTTGCAAGATTTTATCGCTTTTCTAATAATACCGAAATTGAAAAAACAGGATTCCAGAAGTACTAGCTGGATATGGGCTCCTGTAGACCAGATTCACACAGCCAATCCTTCTGCATTCTGGCCAACCATTATAGCCAACCATTATATACAAATGAGCATAAAAATATAGATCCATGCTTTTTAAAAAACAAAAATTTGCACCATTGAACAGAAAACCATTTTTAACTATTGATTATACACTATAGCTGGAGAATCAATATGACACCAATTGGAAAGTAATAAATAAAAACAATGGTTGAAGATAGAGAAAAATAGGAAATACTGATTTAATTTGAGAATATCAAAATCAAAGGGATTCCAAATTGCAATAAAATAATGATTTCTACATAACTACTTACATTCATTATATTCAATTTCCCGAACACACAAAGTTAATTAAAAGAAGAACACTACAGTTGAAGTGAATAAACATATATATTTTTTATATTAATTGTTTGGCACATTTATACAAGTTCTTGGGGTTTCATACAATATAAATTTAGTTTCAGCTGTAAGATTTGTGCAAATACTTGCTGTTCATTCTTCTGCATATTCAGCTTCAGTAGTTTCAACATTAGATTCTTCAATGTCTAAAAGAGAAATTACTTGAACTAAAACATGTTCATATAGAATCTTAACTATATTTCATAAGACAAAGATTTGAAAAAGCAAAGAGTCAAACTGGCTTATTATTGATTCAAGCATTATATCATTCAATAAACACAATGATACCGTAAGCCTATTTCTGTTCATCACTGTGATATGAAGAAAATTATTAAAAATGATCATATCAGATTCTTACAAACAATGCAAATACTATTGTGAAAGCCTTCACTATTATGGAAGCCCTCCAAGTTCAATAGGTACGATAAATCCTATCCAATTTAAATATTAATCAAATCTAGTTTGTTTTCAAAATGATGCTTGAAAATTATTGAATTAAAAATAAAATATTAAAAGTGAATTTGGCCAAAATTTCATTTTACTACTTAATTTGATGGTACAAATTAATTAAAAATCATTAAAGAAAGCAAGAAAAAATACTACAATATTGAACAATTACTTCGAAACATGTATATTAATTTATGCAGGTTTATTAATTTTGATCAGGGCAAAGCTACAAAGAATCCCATTGAAAAACTATAATGAAAAAGAAAAATTGCACTGCACTAGAATCTACAAGAAAACAAATGTTGATTGCGAACATTCAAAAATAAAATGATATCACTTTAGGCTCTTTTACTCATTTCATAATATAAATTACTTATTTACCTACTGATATATCGCTCTCACAAAAATAATATTCCGTTGCTTTCTTCCTTGACATGGCAAGTAATTGCACCGTTTTAACATTCTGATGACCAAAGTCCATATCTTCAATGTCTTCAAAATGCTTTGGGCTGATTTGCCTGATCTGAAATAAAAATGCTTCAAAAATACTGAGACTGGTACTGGTAGTCACCTGTTTAGGTGTAGGACTACAAACTATTGCAGCACAAAAAATCAGTTTTAAAAAGAATATTGATCATGATCATGTTCGGGAAGCATGACTCTACAATGACTCGGACTCGATAGGGACTCGAAGTTTGAAATTCGCAGAGACCCTGGGTTGACACAAATCTCAGATGACCTCCGACTCCACATGAGCTACATGCAGTCTATTTTCAGCAAAGCAATATCCATCAGAAATGGGCGTACAAAATTCTTTCATGAAGATATACTATCATATTGAAATACCTTTTTCTTCATTGCAAAACTTCTCAATTTGGAAAGTTTCATTAAAGTAACATGTGGAGTGTATTCAAACGGATTTGTACTCTTCAACAATGCAAATTCCTTGTCGAAATGTTCTATAAATTTAAAAATAGAATTTGGGATGTAAGTGGTTTTTATTTTAGAAGTCCGAAATCTATATTTCAGAAAACCGACAACCATACAATGTTTAATGTAATGAAATTCAGGCATACAAGACAGTCATTCCTTGCGTATCTGCCCTGAAAATGAACCTTGCAAATTGCAATCTATATGGCAGTCTTTATCCTTCTATGGAAGGGGCAAATTAAACTGACAATTGGGACCGCATACCAGAGCCTATTCTCTCAGATATAGTATAACATTGGTTGAAGGTTCATTAAAAATGTAATTGGACTCCTTATTTTTTTTCAATGTAAAATTTTTTTTAAATGCATTCTTATCCGACTAGTTTTATTATTACAAAGCTTTGCAAGATGCCGCTCTGAGTTGACCAACAGAAACCAAACAATGTCAGCCTTTGTATGAGATCTAGCAAATATTTTTTATTTTTCTTTTCTTAACTATTCACTTATACCATATATTAAAATAGCTTCATACCTGAAAACAGTTTCAGCTTTTCTTCATTGTCACCAGGAACAACTTTAGCAAATACCACTCTTTTATCAAAATGTCCAATGCCAGAAATATGGAGATTCATAGGCTCACCATCTAATATTGACATCAAGTCATCTCTACATCTTTGCAGTATTTTATTTGCTCTGAATGTTTAAACAAACAACTATTTAAAAAAGATCCTAAATTCAAGTTAATTGAAGCCCATTTTATGAAATCACATGACTAACAATGCTTTTTCTTCAAATAGTTGTACTGTATTTGTATTTACATAAAGAAACCCAAGCGAAATTTGAATACATAATGTCATTCATGAATTTGTCCAACAGGAAACTCATGAATAATTCTGTGAGAAATATTCGAATAATGAAGAATTATTTTATGATAATAATGGACAAAGTTTGGCTGCGTTTAATCGGCATCCAATCCATACGAGGAAAAACAAGATTAATTCGAAATATTATCAGATTATAAGTTTGAATAAATAAGTTTATTTAATTCAGTTCTATGATTTTGATGGTCAATATATTAAAAAACCTAACCATCAAGTTTGGACAGTGGCAAAAATATAAAATTGCCAACATCTGATTACATATACCGGTACCTACCTACTGGTGATGCATAACAAAATGGATCAATGTTACAAATTACCGTAATCGAAAAACACTCAAATCTAATTTTTCGGTCTCACGAATAACTTGAATCTCATTGGTAGAATAAATTACATGAGAAATCATGAATTGCAATAATTTGAATCATGAATAGGTGAGAATAGATGTCAGCATTTATAACAGACTATCAAATAAATGGTGATATTTCATGATCATGATTTCGGGATAAACAACTTACACTTATGTGAGAGCCAAGGAAGTCCAAAAAAATGTCAAGTTACGAGCTCCAACAATTAAAACCCATGAGATTCATCAGTTAAATTTGCACTAAGATTTATATATCATCAATACATTTCGAAACATGATCATGATATATAGATTACATTGAAATTCTCAAATAAAATATTCAGCAATACAAAAAATTGAGAAATGTCCAAATCAAGCTATAGCAAACATGACATGATTCATTCTATTTACCAGTGATGTAAAATTTAATAGATCAATGATTTTTCAAAAATCAAGAGAAAAACCATCATTTTCATCTCACTCATTCACAGTGCTTTCATTCGGGAGAGACAATAGACAAAGAGTAATGTGAGCAAGATCAACACCAACTACAACATTTTCCAATATACTCTCCTTTGCCACAATGCAATCTTGAACCTCTTTCATTTTACCTGGACCATTATAAAAATTTCAAATAGAAAATGCGGATTCGTGATTCATTTTGACAAAATATCTATGTGGTTATAAAGATATATTAGATTAATCTAAAATATGTTCGAAATAAATTATCACTGAAACTGAACTCCTGCATACACTAGTTCAGACATCGCATCAACTTGACTTAGACTGGGCGGTGTGGCGCATTGTGCTGAGCATTAGTAATACGATTGTGCTGAGCATTAGTAATACGATCGCTAATGCACCTCTGATCATCCAGCATAGGTTTACAGGTTCGAATCCCATAGCGCAGGGGTCGGTAACCTTTTGACGCTCTCACAAAAATTGAGGGTCGCGAGTCTTGCCGAGCCACACATATTTTTAAAAACTTATCAAAAGAAAAAAATATCACAATGACATCTAATGTGACACATTTTGTTGCATCACGCTTGATAGCTTTTCAACATCAGGCGGCACACTGGATGAAGCCAAGATTAAAACATTTTCCAAATGGGCATCACTTTGTAATGTTCATTTGCAAGATTAATTGTTCGCACGCATATGTACTTCCAAACATTGATGTGAATTTTTTCTCACGGTTTATCAAATTTCGATATAGTTTTCCTTCAAGAAAATATTTTTTATAAAAATCAAGCAGTGACATCTCTTGAATAGAATACAGGAAATATGGATTTTATATCCCCATTGCATTAAATATTTTCTGCCTATTAAAAATCCTCTAATTTTTCTGCGATATGTTGTCATTTGTTTAATTATAATTGAAGGCTCATTAAACGAGTAGCTGTCATGTTATAATCTACACGTGTCTCACAATAAAATCTGTTACGTAAAGAATATAATCGTGAAAACAGCCGTTTTGTATTCAAAATTCAATGAAACATCGCGGGCCACATCTGGTCCACGGTTGCCGATATTTATGATTAACCGCTTGTTACTTCCTCCACCATCAAGTCCATGCACTCATACCTGCCATGGACTTTCCTCTCCCCGGGATAAATATGTAAATCCTATCTTAATTCAGTATTATTATTACTGACCTTTGATGATCGGATCGGTTATTTGAACCGCTAAAAAGTGAGTTGGTCGAATAAAGTTAGCATCTGCGTTTTCATTCATCTCCAATTTTCTTTTGTTTTTATCTTTTGTTCTCCGCTGAAATTTCTCTGATAAAATATGTATGTATGTTTATTACTCTGGTATTAGGCCTACTGGTATCAAATTGTATAAATAAAGGGCACCGATAGCAAGGTTTGTGACCTGGTGATTGTGTGCTGGCACATCCTATTTCTCATGTTTTAATATTTTTCAAACTCTCGAAGAATTAATCCCGCTTCATAATTTTCAATTTTTGTGTATTATTTTGTGTGTGTGAGCTTTTTCAAACAAAATATCAATACCCCAGGTTTCAAACGTTGATTACAAACATTTCCAACTTTTTACATAATCAAGATAGCCTATACCGGCATATCAATATATACTTATACAATAACATTTACTTTTCCGAGATGGAAGTTGTTTCTGCGGTTCTGATGTTCCGCCTGTCTTGGTGGTTGTCACTATCTTTCCAGGTTCGGTCCAAGATCGCGTTCCCTTATTTATAGCGTTTGTCGCAACGATTTTTTTTTTTTAATATGTGTTGAAATAAGAATACAATAAGGTTCATCACATTACACGTCATCATCCAATATGATTCCCATCATTATTATTGTATGTTCCATTCAGCATTAGTATCATCCAATTTTTTCAAATACCGTACATATCATTAATATAATCAAATATTTAGGTTATTAACAATAGTTACATAAAAAACAAAAATGACAATTAGCAAATGAATAATTCACACTATTGGTAATAAATTAATTTAAAACAATCTTATCTTACATCTATCAAAAACATTGGCATAATATAATATTTAATATATTAACATATTTGTTATCATTCATATGCCTTTCTAAATTAAGTCTGTGTTTCAACCCCCTTTTAATTTTTTCTTTCACCCTTGTTACATCTGGAGTAACTTCTTGAAATATAACATCATTTCGTTCCATCCATACTTTAAATCTAACAGTAGACAGGAGCAATATCAAAGCATCTATTTGAGAAGAAGTAGCATTTTGATACTCCTGTCCACCCAGATCCAACATTATGCATGTTCGAAACGTTTTTAAAAATTGACAATTACAAAACTTAATGATAATATCATAAATATAATCATATATGTCCTGTATGAATAAACATTTCCAAAACAAATGTTCATTATATTCAGGTTCTTTACTACATAGAACACAAATATCATTACCCGCAATAAACTTCATTTTTCCACATAATCTTGAAATTAAACCTTTTGTACATAATTTGCCAAGATATCTCTATGAATATTTTTGCAACAATTGTTTACATCAACAGGATACAAAAAATTAACCAATTCTGAATTCATATTATTGACAATTCTTTTATAAATGGTTCTATGATCTCCTTCTGCAATTTCTTTCACAGTTATATTGTGCATTCTTATAAATTCTAATAGAGCATTGTAAAAATAACTTGGTTTTACACCATGGGTAATATTATTTTTTGCTTGTATGCCGATGATTACACTTAACTGTTGACCAATATTATATTCCAACCATTCCATATTTCCAGACCTATTTTCTGTTTCACACTGATTATATACAGACACATCAAAAATACAGGTATATTATATACTTCATATCCACATGACATTTTAGATTTACTCATAGCTTCAATTGATAACAACTTCGGTTTACCGTCAAAAACAAATTTCATGACTTCAGTATTAATTCTATTTGCTATTACATGAGGTATTGGGAATACTCTGCCAGATGTAAAACCATGGGCAACATTTTAGCTTTTACCAACAAATTTTTTCCATCAAAGGTAAGTTTAAATTTCAATAGATATTGGGTTTTTTCTTTCAACTTTTCAAGACATTTATCCCAGTTTTCAATAGTTGTATTTCCATTTCGAAATGTCACACCAAGGACCTCAATTTTTTCATGTTCTTTAATTTTTCCTAAATGGATCTGTAAACATTTCTTCCAACTCCCAATTCTTAGCAATTTTGTCTTTTTTTCTATTTAATCTCATGCCAGTAGCTTTCCCGAACTGTTCTGAACTGATAATGCATTTAAAAGTGATATTTCTGATCTTAATGTGAGTATAACGTCATCCGCGAACCCAACAATTTTTATTTCTTCATTTCCTGGCTTTCTTATACCTTCTATTTTAGGGTTATTATTAATGGATTCTACTAATGGCTGAAGTGTTAATAAGATACTAATAAGATTATAAATACTTAAAGAATCCCCTTGCCTAAGTCCTCTTTCAATTGTAAAGCTATTTCCAATAAACCCATTTCAGCATTTATAATAACAGATGAACTTGTATTATTATAGAGCTGAAATAAATTTGATGATTATTTTGTTTTTCATTCCAAATTTCTCCATTGTTTTACCTAAAAATTCCCAATCTACTGAATCAAAGGCGTTCTGAAAATCAAGTGACAACAATGTTTCTTCGCATATTTTTCCTTTTGCTACATCACATATATCAATTATGGTTATGAGGATATCACTTGGTTTTTTACCTGGAACTGCCGCTTGGTTTTCACTTATCATTTTATGTAACAGCTTTTTTATTCTATTTGCAAAAACTTTTGTTAATATTTTATAATCACTGTTTAGTAGAGTAATCGGTCTATAGTTTTCTATCTTTTCTATATCACCACCTTTGTGTATTAAAGTAATATATCCTAATTTTATTTTATCTGCAACTTGGTTTTCACTAAACATTTCTTGTAGTACTTCAGTAAATTCTACTCCAATAATTGACCCACACTGTTTATAAAATTCATTACTCATTCCTTCCGGTCCTGGTGTTTTACCATCTTTCAGTTTAATTACAATTTCCTTTATCTCATCATTTTCAATATTTGTTTGCAGAGTATCAGCTTCTTCTTCATTTATTTTTTTTGAATCAGGAATTGCATCTATAAACTTTCTCTGAACTTCAGTAATGTTTTCATTTTTCTTATATAGTTTTTCATAAAATTGTCTAGAGATATCCAACTTTTTTTCTATTTTTTTACATTTTGTCCCATCATTCTGTTTTAGACTTTCAATTACATTATCCTTATGTCGATTCTTCAACTTCTCAAAGAACCATCTATTGCATTTTTCTCTTTTATCAAATTCATTTGATTGGTTCTTTATCAGCATTATCCTTCTTTTCTCTCTGCGTTTTGCTGCTATTTTTTGTTTCACTTCTTTAAATTTAGTGATTAGTTTTTTTCCTTCATCAAGCTGTCTTTTGATTTCTTCGAATTATTTGTTTTCTTTTTCTTCTGCTTTCCTATTTTCCATTGCAAGTCTCACAGAATGTTTTATGACCAGTTCTTTAAGTTTTTCTTTGATTCTACTCCACCACTCAATTTTTGTTTCAAACAGAATTTGCAATGTTTTCCATTGTGCCCATCTACTTTTCAATTCATCTAGAAAATTTTCATCAGCATAAACAGTTACATTATTTTTCCAAAATCCCTTTCCTCATCTACCTCATCTTCTACCTCATTTGCTTTCAACTGTACTTTTATTACATACATGTCAGGCAGATTATTGTACAAAAACGATGAAGTACTTTTCAAAACACATACAGACATAGAACAAACATGAGATAGACGTATGGGCCACGAAATTACTCTAGCGTAAGTACCGTATTCACTTTGCTCTAGCGCAGCACCTTGCGACTTGAAATTTGAGAGTGTTTTGCACCGACGTCTGCCTTTGCGCTTGTGGCTTGCGCACTTGGTACCAACCGGATTTTGTGAGGTAGCCGTCTCTCTGTTTACAGGTTCGTATTTGTCTGCATGGGGAGTACATGAACTGCCGAATAAGTCAACTTCTTCGTTATTACTTATCAAGAACCGCATAAGTATAACTAAAGGTCCCTAAGTAGAAATGGATATTGGAGCAGCAATCAGTAAAAAAATTCAGGTGAGTTATTTCACATCCATAATTACAGAATTATGGACATTTACCGTAACCTGATACGGTAGGTACTGAGGTAGGTACGGTACCAGTTTCTGTGATTAGAGAATATCTCATCATATTTTTTGATCTTGGCTATATCTGTATATTTATGTATCATAATGCTACCAATCTTAAAGCCTGATTGGAGAATGCTGGAATGTCTCATGCTGTGTGTCATAAAGTGAGATTGCCCCTTCAGTATATCGCCGGATGAGAACAGAAGGGGCCTAAGTCACATTTTTGGAAAATTGACTTTTTTCAATATTTTGGGGTTTTGAGCCATGCTCTACAAGGTGGTATTCTTGAAATCCTGAATTTCTCAATAATAAAAATTTTAGCTGGACTTAGGCCTAAAATATTTAAGAACAGAATGGGCCCAAGTCCAGCTAAAATTTTTATTATTGAGAAATTCAGGATTTCAAGACCACCACCTTGTAGAGCATGGCTCAAAACCCCAAAATATTGAAAAAAGATAGTCCTAAGTTCCAATATGGTGGGCATGAACATCAGAAATGAAATGTCCGAAACTTACATCCCTAAAATTTCTTCAGTGCAACTTAGGCCTAAGTCACCTTGTTTTACCTTGCATCCCATACAAAAAATTTCAGAAGTTGTTGAGAACAGAATGGGCCAAAGTTTCTTATGGGGGTAAAAAAACAGGAAAGAATTGAAGCTGAAGTGCCAAAAATATTGTTTACAAAGATATTCTCATCCACGTTAAAATAACCAGAGCTCAGGACTTTACTAAGTGTGAATATCTAGAAATTCGAAAATAAAAAAATTCCAAATTGTTTTTTGCGTTTTTCTCAAAACTCAAAATTGTGACTTAGGCCTGTTCTGTTCTCATTCGGCGATATTCATGTACCGGTATCAAACCTCATTTGAAGTTTCAGCAACTTTTATCGAATTTGTATCTGTGTGTTCGTTTTGCAGTCTTGTGTGTTTTCATTTTTATACCCTGGCAAGGTTGAAAATAAATTATCTTATTTGGATACAAAAACATGGATCTTACTTTCATCATCTTGTGAAATCAATATATTCTGATACAAAATAGAAAGTGTCACTTCTGCCATTCTACAGCCCAAATTTGTGGTTTCATCTATTCATCTAAATCTATAATTTGCAAAATCTATGTATACTGTGTTATGTTATGCCTTTTTTGGATGGATAGTTTTGGTTATTGAATTATTCAAACTATTCAATTTCCTAATTCCTTCCTAATCAGATATTGTGAAAGATACAAGTTAGGAGTTACTGAAAAATATGATATAGCCTATATAATAACATGTAATTACAGATGGCAATTACTGCAAAGCTGAAAGAATTGAATGCCTATGTGGATGATGAACTTCCAGATTACATCATGATCATGGTTGCTAACAAGAAAACAGAATCTCAGATGACAGAAGCTCTGTCTCTCTTCCTTTCAAATAATACTAAAATATTTACATCGTGGCTCCACAATCTTCTTGCGACTTTGAGAAAATCAAGAGTTGATAAGAAAGCTGTTGGTGAGTAGCTTTATTCCCAATATATAACAAGATGTCAGAAAAAGTGTTGAAAATATTTTGACATTTGGCTGATATTGCATCTAATTGAAGAATCAAAAATAGCCTGTTTAAAAAAATAATGTGAGCTTGGCTGGCCAACGATCTGGTCTAACTATTTAAATTGAAACTTCTTCTAAATTAAAAAATTCTAGCTTCTAATTTTTACAATACTTATCTATGCATGAACATCCAGCAAGTGGGAAATGTCATGGTTCACTTGCTATCTCCACTTGATTGGTTTATTCACTAAAGTTTGCGATAAAAGTGAATAGGCTATCGAAAATATTTGCACGAGCACACCGGACTAGTGGGAAATATCATTGTTCACTTGCTATCTTGATTGGGTAATTTACTAAAATTTGCGTTGAAAGTAAATATTGAAAAAATGATTATAAACTATTAATAAAATGTCTCTTTGTGTAGAAACGGAAGAGCAGAACACAACAACACAATCGACTCCTGTCAAAGTAGAAGAAGACATTGACTTCAAGGTTGCTGAAGAAAATTCAATCGGACTGGAATTGAATATGAAAAAGGAATTGAATGCAACAGAACAAAAAGGTATGATCAAAATTTTATACTTGGTATATAGAAAAGTGTGGACAGTTTTATAGAATTTATAAACTTCATTGAGGAGGGGGGATTCCTCTACACATCATGCAGAAGCTTTAATTTGGGCCATGTTTATGCAAGGATGTGCTTTGGACCCTTAGAGGCAATGCAACATTCCTGCCTTCAGAAAAAATATTTCAGTTCGCTGCCTTTTTAGCCTTAAACTTGTGATTAGCAATATATATGCATATAGATTAATATCAGGAGTTTGTTAGGCTGAATTTGGGTTGTAGGAAAAATGGAGTTAGGAATTTCAAATTAGCTTTGTTAAAATATTTCACTGCATATATACTTGTGTTTTAGACATTGAACCAACTGAGCCAGAAATTACGATCAATGCAGAATCTGATATCATCTTTGAAGTTGAAGAAGACTTGCAAATGATGCCTGAAATTAAAGTCGAGAAAAATGTTTCGGATGACAGTCTTCTGAAGTCTCCACCTCCAACTTCCTCAAAGTCCCATTTGGAAGTTGGAAAGTCGTCAGATAAACGTAATACCTTACCTGCACCAGAAAAAAGGAAATCAAACACCGAATCCAAAGAAACAATCACAAGGCTAGTCTTTAGTGTATCAGTATGTCATTGTGAATTGATCAATCCTAATTGATTTCAAAACAATTTTTGATTCAATGTATTTTACTTTAGCAATTAAATCATGCCATTTAAAACTATCCAATTTTTATCTCAGACACCAAAAAGATAGTGAAAAATCAAATCATAAGTCCAGCGTATCTCGAAAGCGAAAATCCGATGACTTCCAGCCAAGAACATCACATCGGAAGTCACCAGTTTCAAGACGACACAGAGAAGAGAGAAATGTAGAAAAGAGAGAGAGACGATCATCAAATACTAACACCAGAACCCTTGAGGTAAATGAATTATTCTAGACTGCCACATTGCTATGATTGCGAGGTTTTATCTGTGCGGTTTTTTTGTCACAATTTAGCATTTAGGTAATAATAATGTATATAATGTAGTACTATAGTAAACAATTTATTATTATAAAACTTGTTTGAAAAAACTGGTTCTTGTAAGATGTTGCTAACTTCATTATTGATTGATAAATTTATTCAGAGAAAATAAAACTCATATTTGGTGGAATATAAATGTGGAAGTATAGTATATCTTAAATTGTAAACTAACTAGCATCCATTTGCGTACCAGCGTAATTTCAATAGCTGTTATTTTCTGAAAAAGTCCACCTCGTAGAATCCCTTTCTGTTCAGCATTTCACTGACAGTGATTACTTGAAGTGCTTCAAGTTACTTGTCAACTTTCATCTACGGGGCATTAATGCATACACATGTTGCTCTTATTAATACATTATTGTCAAATGTCAACTAACTCTGTCAGTACTTTATTTTCATTGGTCTTTTTAGCTGACTTTGAGCTAGCACACATTCAGGGAAGTTTGGCGTTGATCCTGAATGTTTAATCTATGATGTATTAAAAACATGTTTTTTATTGTTTGTTACATGATTATCACTTCAATGATTTTTTTTGCTTTTTTGTAATATAGTGCATTGTAATTCAGAGCGATTCCAAAAAATATACAAGTAGTAGCCATGACTCTGCTGTCAAGAAAAATACAGGTAAAAGTCGAGTACGAGATTGGGACAGAGGAAAAGGACAAGACTCTGATGGAGAAATAACATCTGTTTGGGGTAGGTCTGGCTGGCTTATGGCTGAGCCTGAGTAGTTGCTTTAATAGTCTCAAGACTATTAATCTTATTACCCACTACGGAATAAATTCATGTTTTAAACAGAATTTTTTACTCATCGATCTCGATCGGTAAGTATGTGGATAGGTATTTGTCTGTTTGTTTGTCTGTTAGACACTCCTGTATGTTACGCAATATCTCACAAAAGTGAGGTTAAATCTCCTCCAAATTTTGCATGTGCATTCATCATATCTCGGATCAGAAGCCTATTGATTTTTGATGAATTATGTCGTATAATTGTGAGTTATTAATTATTTAGTGATGGCACACACGGTGTCACTATTGAGTCAGAGCGAAGGAATCGAAACCACAGTTTCTGTTTTGGGGATCCCCTAACTTTCGTCGCTGCCAACGATTGTGTGCGTAAGAATGCCTTGTTTGCGATGCGAAGCGTTTAGGTATTTTGGTTACACGCCCGCCGCTTGTGGGGCTGGTGATGACCGGTGTATTGTCCCAAATTGTCGAGTAAAATATTGAGCATGCGGAAGATCGATAAGTCGGCGATCTCCGATCGCTATCTAGTTTATTGTTTTTTATTGATACAAATCACGCTGAATGCAGTTTAACATTTTCTATTTATTATTAGATGGACAGAAATCAAGAAATCGTGAACAATGGGTTGAGTCAGATGGTGATGATGAAATATCAACAGCAAAATTGAAGGTAAATTATAATTTTTTTTTATTGTACATTCATTGAAGGATCCATATAATCCTGGCATATCATGATGATGCTTTTTAATCAATCATCCATTTTATAATGTGATTTTAATTCTAAATCGGTCTTAATATGTCATAAGTAGAGATGTCTGAAACGAGTACAATATTTATAATTGGGTATAATCAACCACAAAAAAATCTTATTTTTAAGAAGAATTTAAAATATTTCCATTTCCATTTGTATATTTGAGCATTCAAAGTAAACTTCATTCTGCTTCTGACACTATAATGAATGGAATACCAATCAAGGCCAGGCTCACATCAACTGCACTTTGATATCTAGCAATTCCGTTGATTCCTTTATATTTGTTCTTGAAATATTTTTTTTTTCAGATGTATTTGGAACAGTAGATTTTTCGATTTTGACTATCCTTGGTTATAAGTAAAGCACTTTCAAAAATGTGGAATTCCAAGTGGTTTTCTGCATACAGGATAATACTGCTCATAAAATAATAAATTTACCTTATTTTAGCACTATTTTGAACTATTGAAATTTTATGTGAGGCATCATTCATTCATCAGATACAAATTTGTTACAAGCTTATTTGTCAAATTTTATAGTTACTTGAAATAGTAATATTGAATCACCAAACATATAGAAATATAGAAACTGCAGTATTTTGTTATTCCAAGATTGAAGTAAGTGTAAAAAAGTTTATATGGTTTGACTACAGAGGAGTCAGTGTTATGTTACAATCTTTTTCTAGGGCACGATTTCATCAGCTGTGAACGCGGTTTTTCAAGATGAGGAATTTGTCAGTGAGAGTGAGAGCGATGATGAACATGGGAAATCTTCTGCCAATCTTACAAGCAAAGTTGCTTATCCTGAACGAAAGTGAGTAAATCATATAAATCTTTCTGATTGTTAGATGATAGGCTATGTTAGTGATGTATCTGGATCATAGCTTAGTATTTTTGCTTTTGTATTATAATATCCCTTTGATTGCAGAATGCGAGTGCCGCTAGCAAAACAAGCAAATAAGGCATTATTGATGAAAGCTGTTACAGAAGCAGAACGTAGCATTAGAAGGAAAAATGTACAAACTACTGATGAACCAGATGAAACTGAATTACACAAGAAAACAAGACGAAACGACCGATATATTGACAGACATTTAAAAAGTCCCAATGAAATTTGGGTTGAAAAGTCAAACAAAATACAAAGGCGAAATAAGGGAACTGTGCCGAGACAAAAAAGTTTAATGTAAGCTTTGACATTTTTTACAATAATATCTTTTGAGCGTGCAGCTAGCGTGAGTAAAATGATCAGATGCTGCAAACTTCTTGTTCTGAATATTGTCCTGTAAAATCAACACAAACAACGTTGTCTTAAGAAAATAGTATTTTTTAGTATATTTGAACAGTTTTAATCAACTTGAGTTACTTCGAATCCCTGTCAGCTAAATATAGAATTTAGGCAATACTTAATCATGGCCTAAATTTGCAGAAATAGTTCAAGGTAATAGTAAATCAAATTTTATTTCAGTTTAAAAAGAGTTTTAGACAAGCCAATGTATCAAGATAGAGAAGAAAAAGATCATATATCAAGAAACCAAAAAGTAATTCTCGTTCGAAAAAATGTTGCTGAAGCTCGTAAGAGACAGGTGATTTAAGTTATGATAGTTTTGGTTTTTGTGTTGCTCATTCAATTAAAACAAATGTTATTTAATCATTATATATGTCTAATTCTATCATGTTTCAGTGGATCTATTTTACATGTAATTCTATAGGTATCGATCGGTAGTTCAGAATTCAATATTTGAATATTTGCATCATAATTTATTGTTGCTTTCAACAGACACAAAAGAACAAAGCTGTGGAAATTACACGACAAAAGAAAACTGTTCGAACTAAACATCCAAAAGTATTGTGATTTTTTTTTATCTTCAATTTTTCTGAGAAATAATAAGACGTAGTTTGTTTCGATTTTCTATTGAATAATATAGTTTCATGTAAAGAACATAACTTGCTTCTCGAATTGACTCATCTGAATATTTTCATCAAATACATATTTAGGTTTCTAGTAATTTTCCACTTCAAATTTATAAAAAAAAATCTCTATGCATGAGATTTGCTTAAAATTAACTCGGTATTAGTAGAATCAAATGTAGTGTTATCAAGTTTTTATTTTTACAATAATCATTTCTAAATTTGTTATCCTATCAGGTTATCTTATTAGAAGATGAAGAAGAACAACCTGTCACTGTTATTCACGTCAGACGAAAAAGTCAGGATAAAAGAATGGAAAAGGTTATATATGTTGAAGGATCATCATCCGAAGAAGATGTTGGTAAATCAACAACAACTAAAAACATGCAAATTTTTATGAGAGATAGACGAACATTTGTGGCACGGGTAAAAATAATTTAAATATTACAGGAAATTCTGCGTGAAATTTTTGCGTTCATCATTGAGATAACTGTCTGTATCCAGAATTATCATATAATATTTACAATTCACTTTTATGAACTGAATTATGGTTTGAAATTTCCATGTTTACAATGGTTTTTTTAACAACGTGAATGCACATAGATATTTTGGTTGTCAAGCTGTCATCTGTGAATAAATTTCTTGAGGATTTTTATATCCATCTTGTGAAAAAAAATGAACCATGATTTTTTCGATTAATGGTTTTAATTTGATTTACTTTCTCAATATTGAATATTCACTTCAACAGTCAGAACTATTCAAAAGGAATTCAGTTGGTCATTTGTACTTACTTATATTATACCCATTATTAAACATGCCCGTCTCACATCTTCGTGTAGTCTCCCCATCAAGCGTAAAATAACTACACCTCTTTTGCAACGTTCTTATTTATGATATTTTTTATTCAGGATGTAAGTCCTATACACACTACATCAGCCAAACAAAAATCTCCTGCAGTCAAATTTGACTCAAGACAAGCAACAAGAAATTCTGATAATTCAGAAGTTGAAATTGCAAATGATAGAAATTTAAAAAGAACACAAAAGGCAACTGCAAAAGTGTCACCAAGGTATGATTTTGAGTACTGTATTTTTCTGCTAATAAGTACAACCGGCAAATATGACAGTGGCTACATAACAAATACACTTATATATTTCAGTAGGTAACTATGAACTGTAGTTTAACTTTGGTGACTGCACAAAATCTGATAAACTCAAATAACAGTATTCCTGATAAAAATATCAATTCTGGTTTTATTTAATCCATTATTTCATCGTATTCGAAACCTGGATCCACTTACCAAACTAGCTGAATCGTTTTGGTAGATATTAGTGGGAATAAATTCTAAACGCCTTAATGATGTTGGATTTGGTTCTAATCTGTCTGTTCTAATGTACTTTATTCTACTGTTGTTTTTACATAACTCCATAATTATAGACAATCTCTGTTTGTAGACTTCAACAATCTGCAAGATTTCAGACTGATACTCCTACATCAAAGCTAGCCAATGCCATCATGTCAACTCCAAACAATCATTCAACAACATCTCAGGAAAGAGCACAAAATCCAAGATTCATTGTTACGTTAGATGGCGTCGCTGCTCCAAAACAGACAAAGTTAAACAAAGGTTTGATAATGTTTCTGTCATATAATTACTCTATAGCATTTATTATCAGTAACAGTTTATTACACTAAATTTCCAATAAACATAAAAATGTTGTGTTTTTCAAATCATTCATGGTTTGTCTCTTTTATTCTATATACTCAAAGTTGAGGAAACAAAACAGACAACAAAAAGTTTCAAATTTCAACCGGTAACAGCACCAGTTACATCTGTTGATAAAATATTGTCTTCAGATGCAAATATATCAGCAAAAAATCAAATACCCATTCCAGTACAGAAACCTATTGTTATTGATGCTGTTGATACAGAAGGTATATATCAGTTTACATTGTTATAATTTTCACTACACCAAAAATCCAGAATTGCATGTTGATACAAATAAAATCGTCATATACATAAAATATTTTGTGTAAATTAATTTCCATCAAATTTTTTCAAATTATCTTCATAGTAATGCTTAAGATTCGTTATCAAAAAGTTATGTTTTTACAAGATACAAGAGCAAAAATCCTTTCTCGTTTATCCAGTATTTGCCGTTCAGTTATTTTCTGCCTAAAAATCTGATTGAATTAATTTTGATGTCTGTTTTCATGCTTAAACCCATAATGTATTTTCCATAATTTCATTTATTTTTGTAGATGATAATGAAGATAACTTGTCGCATTCTACAAGTACAGTAAGATAATTTTTTAATATTTTGCAACTGTGAATTATAGTAAGTGTATAGTTACTCAATAGCCAAAAAATATTTACCGGTAGTTGTTCCTTGATTTGTACATTTGGACTGTTTTCCGTATTTAACCCTTTTCCGTAAAAGTGAAAACAATGGGGTCTTTCTAATAAAACCCAGGCATATTTGTACTTGATGTATAATTTATTGAGAAATAAAATGAATTTTGTTATGATTTTGTCTTATTAGGAGATTGGTAAAATGAGGAAAAAACTCTTGAAAGTACAAGAAGAAGCTGCTAAATTAAAACAAATGCAAGCAAGACTTGCGGCTGGTAAGTAGTATGACATTGATGACACTGCATTTTGTCTCCTTCAGCAACTACTGTGTAAAACTAGGCAAAACACTACATTGTACGATTTTGGATACATCAATCAAACTCTTTTTTTGATACCAGTGTAAACTATGATACAATCACCCCCCTGCACAGGGGTTCCGCGAAAAGAGTCTGATCAATCTTTAATGATTGATTTGATGCCATTGCATATCTTTGTTGGAACGTTGTAGACAAAATTGCTGTCAGAAAAGGCAATTAGAAAACCCTATATGTGTGAGGCAGAGTTTCCATCTCTTACCAATTTGATGACAAAATACAGGGAGAGACTTGCTGTAGAGTTGGACCTACGAGTTTGCTTATCACAAATTGCTACGACAATCGATAAATTTTGCAGTCGAAAGCACTCATCCAACACATTAATATCATTCAAGTTATTGTGATCATGTAAATGAAACATTACCCTTCCTTGTTGGTTAGGCACTGAAATTGATACGACATAGAATGGGGGTACGTCAAAAATAAGATTCTAAAACAGGGGTCTGCGGCTCAAAAGCATAGGGAAAAACTGGTATAGTGTATATAACTTGATATTGACCAGCAATGTGCATTGTTGTCTGAGTTGCATTAACACAATTCTTTTTTTCAGCCCAAGCTCAGCAAAGCACAGTATTAAGATCCAGTCAAATGTATTCTGATAAATTGGAAGCTGAACGAAGATCAATATATATAGGGAATGTTCACTTTTCAACATCGGAAAAACAACTTTCAGATTATTTTAGTATTTGCGGAAAAATAAATAGGGTGACAATATTGAAAGACTCTTTTACTGGACATCCAAAAGGGTAAAATATTTTGAAATATGTAAGTTTTTCGGTAACAGTGTTGGCGACGCTCAACCAGAGTTGGACTCGCCAGTCGCTATTTATCAAAGACTGGATGCGACTCAAGTCGCCGAAATGAAAAAATTCAACTAATCCTTAGTGTTTGAATTGCCGTCAGAACATGTGTTATGTCTTTGAATTCAGCCTAATTAGATCTGGATTTAATCCACTTGCGCATATATACCGTCCATATTCCTTCAAAAACATTTTTATAGAAATAGCTGTTGTCGAATTCTTCTATTTACTGACAATATTCTTATGTTTTTTTCTATTTAGCTTTGCATATCTAGAATTTGATGACAAAAGATCGGTATCTTCAGCACTTGCACTTGATAATACTTCACTTAATAAAAGAGTCATAAGAGTAACATTGAAGCAAAGTAAACCAGCAAATGCGTTTTTAACCACCCGTGGACAGATTTCATCAAGAAATTTATACCAGCCCAGAGGAGGTAGAAGGTTATACAGGGGATCAAGATTTCAACAAACAACTAGATTCAGTTTTCCGCCAACCACCAGTGTCCCACTACCTTCAAGGTTTGTGTTTTATTGATAATTACCTAAGATTTCCTTTTTCCTAATTACATTTGAATTCTTGACTAAATTCAAACTTCTTGTTTCAGGAATAAAACTTGGGTCAATCCTGCAATAGCGTCATCAAGCAAGTGATTTATGTTTGTTGTGTGTGATCAGGAACCTAATTCCTACAATGTCAAGGAATGTTGTTTTGAAGCTGGATGTTTGAAAGCTTCCTGTGGTTGTCATGATACACTGTATTCCAACGTTTGGTGATATTTTGAAATCTGCCTAAAAGAGGGTTTCCACCTAACAATTTCAAAATATACTCGAATTGCAGCAAATATCGCAACTATTGCCTGTTTTATTTATTTGATCAGTCAGTTTAGTACATTTTGTTTGGTTCTTTGATGTCTATGATTGGAGATGTAAAATGTGAATGTGAAAAATTACAAGTTCGACAGTTTTAATATCATTCTGAATCTTATCGAGGGTTACTTATGATTGTTTTTGGTCCTTGTATTAATTGTGTTTCTATACTGGAATAAGATCTTATTTATGAATAAATTTACTTTGTCAGCTTGCAAGAGTCCTTGTAAAAAAACTAATTGTTCGGGATTTGTACAACTGGGACTTCAGCTTTGGGACTGAGCTTTGAATGTCCCATTTGGTGTGCAACCATTCAGAAATTTCAAGTGATATGGTGTAATTCTAAATTTGACCAAAGTAAACTAACAGTTATCCACCGAATTAGTTGCTGATTTGGCTGATCGGTTATTGACATGTATTTTCCAAAGTAATGGCATCTGGTCGTTTTTATAGAGCGATTCTGATTTTGGTCAGTTGCAAGAAAAACTATATTTGATATGAGGGATGTTTCCATGAACCCAGTATTTTTTCTACACTTAACCATTGTGAAATGTTAGTTACCGGTACTTTTTTACAGTGTTTATGCAGTGCTGGATGGTGCATCCTTATTACGTTTCAACATATCCAATCAGCTACCATTAGTAAGTTTTCAAAACTAGCTCTTCCGAAGACAAAGTGGCTCCCGAAATATTAATCCCTAAAACTGAAGACAAGATGGCGTTTACTACAATGGTTCAATTTTGATTGCATCGTTGATCATTAGACATTGTTACAGAAGTTAACTAGGGTATATGCCACAGTGGTCCAAGGTTGTGGGTTCCAGAGGCCACATAATTATTTTTGCATTGTTCGCTGGCCCCAATAGTGCCAAGGAAAAGTAAACAGTGCAAAACAAACGTTTTTATTGTGCAAACAGTAATCAGAATTTGTCATTTATCAAGCGAAAACTTACTAAAACCTGCAAAAGTATTTCTATATCTGTATTTAGTGTATGATTTCAAACTCTTCATAATGGATAAAGTGCTTCTGCAAATGTAATTGCTTCCGAACATCGATAAGATTTTCAGAGCAAAATCTTATCTTTGGAAAGTGCTCGTTGCTCACAAGTTTTTAAAATGCCGTTTTAAATATATTCTTTTGTCGCCAACACAACTTGCCAACATATCAAGCAAGCATTGTGTTATATTTTCCCTGCCTCACCCAGTTAAACATATGTTTGAATTCGTCAGCTATCTTTTCAAACTCATGTTTACAAAATAACTGCAGATTGATCGATTACCAAATGTGAGGTACAGTAGGGTAATTACTTAATTTACTGACATATAGGCAGCATTTTTGTAATACAGTTTAGTCAGGTTGCAAAAAAAAACCTTCATGAATTATATTGTTAGGCCATAACATAATATTCAATTATCAGGCATAGCCAACCTAGGCAAACACAGGTTGGTCGATAGAAAAACAGATAACTTGCCAAACAGCTACATAATTTTTACAAAGAATACCTTTTACAAAGTTTTTAAAGGCATATGTTATATAGAAATATAACATACCGTATATAGAACTTGAAAGGCATATTTTTAAAGGCATATGTTATATAGAAATATAACATACCGTATATAGAACTTAAAAGGTATCACCCTAGTTACCCTAGTAGATTCTGAAATAAATAAAACTGTATAAAAAAAAAACTGACTGCCAAGCAAATCATTCGACTTCACTAGTTCAGCTGGCAATAACACTAGTCAATTCAGTGACATTAGTGATGTAATCATACGTCAAAAGATTTTTCTTGTAAATTTTATGATAAAACGACACCAAATCCGATTTTTTGATTACTCTTCGAGTGGGTCTGAAGATACAGGCCACATGTGGGCCACGGGCCTGGGTTTGGACCACCCTGATCTATGCTTGTGCAATGATAAATCCTTGACAGGTTCCACCCTTCATATAGGAAGTTTAGGTTTTAAAACCTATTTTGTCATTCTGTACTAGCAGTTCTATGCATGACTAGCATGGGCAGTACAATCAATAAAACTTCACATTGAGTCTCTATAATTCCCACTAAAAAACTGCCACATTGATTAAATATGCTGTATTATGACAATATACATAAAATCAGATATAATAACAAATTATAGTTCAGATCATTGATTCACACATATTCATTATCAATAAAGGATACAAGTTGAGCACACTGTTTGAGTCTGTAGTTTGCTTGTTATGAAATTAGTAATAGCCGTAAACTAGAGCACTGAACAAACCACATCGATTAAATATGCTGTATCATGACAATATACATAAAATCAGATATAATAACAAATTATAGTTCAGATCATTGATTCACACATATCCATTATCCATAAAGGATACAAGTTGAGCACACTGTTTGAGTCTGTAGTTTGCTTGTTATGAAATTAGTATTAGCCGTAAACTAGAGCACTGAACAAATTAGAATACTTACCATAAGCTTATTTTGTTTTGCATACAAGGAACAAGCTGATTGTTGTAAAATGTATTTATATTGATCAAATATGAAAAAAAAGGATAAATTCAAAAATCATAATTTTTGATGCTACACTCCAGTAGCCTGCCAATGAACTCTAATGAAAATCTTTATTGTACATGCATTAGGGGTTGAAGGAAATTCTACACTATTCAAAAAAAAAATAATCTAAAATACACCAACCTCAAACAGAATTTACACTCAGCCTTTACCATTTTCATATTGAGGCATTATTTACAGAAATCACATGATACATCATAAGTTAAAAAAATTCTGAATATATATGCAACTTTATTACAATCAGTTAATATTTTGTACATGTTTGACTGCAAGTTCAAATAGATGGGAAACATGTTTGAAACATATCGCATCAGGAATCCTTTCAAACCATTCTTCTTCAGATTCATTCCCGATGAATTGGAGATATGGAAAGATATCATCCACCAAACTGAAATTTTTATCAATGTAAGTCAATAACATGTTGAATAATGTCTCACATACAGCTAGAATTTTATCTCTATTTGTATCCACAGTATTCACTACTGGCAATTGTAATGCAAAAGTTCAACATATATATATATATCATCATAGCAAATATGTGGTACTCCCGTAGTATGTGTACCAGATTAGGATTAGGTCATAATTTTATCCCGATTTCCTTATTTTAGTTTTATTATGAGTTCGGGGACTGTTTGTGTTAGCCGAGTGAATATACCCGCTGCCCATAGGCTTCTGTTTCTTTACACAACCTGATGTGAAGTAGTCGAACAAAATTAGTTACCTCCATATTGGTACACATACTTCTGGAGCGCCAAACTATTTACTATGTTCAATTTATAAAAGCAGATTCAACCCACTCATTATATCAGTTAAAATTGTATTACCTCCAATCTTCTCTGTAATCTGGGACCTTTATCAGCATTTCATTTATATGTTGTTGGAAGAGAATGACATCCATATGCTGAAATGCTGCTTTCAACTTCCCCAATACTTCTTTATCACTTATATTTTCTTGCTTGACTGTTGAAAGTTTAAATCGATTCAGACAATGTTAATAGATTTTTATAGAAGTTATGACTGGGTGGCTGGAATATGGAAACACAGTTATACTGCATACTAGGTTTCACTTTTATAGGAATTTGTTTCATAAGACTATACAAGCCAATGAAACACCACATTTCACAATATTTATTTTTTTTTTAATTATATTTGCTTTTTGCAAACAACAAGTCAACCTACTGGCATACATTTTCCACATTCTTTTATGCGAACAACATTTAGGTGTGTGCTCACGGAAACATATTTCACTGATCAATCAATGGCTGTATTCTTAGTACATATACAAAAATATTTGGGGAAAACAGGATATCTCTACAGCCGATTACTGGTGGCCAATGAGAAAAAAAAAGAAAAAAAAGGCTAAAACATATATTTTTTTCTCTGCCATACCTTCATATAGTGCTTCCTTGTAAGGTCTTAAACCCTGCTTCACAAAATTCACTGATTTGTGCCAACTGAGATATTGATATAGAGCAAGAGTGTGGTGAACCTTAGCAAATCTTGGAATAACTGCTGCTCTAGTTCTTGAGAGTAGCAAATCTTTTTCAAGATATTCACAGAGCCAACGGGATGGAGGACATTCAACCTAAAAAATAAAATAATATGTTGTGTTCAAAGAAGGAAACATCTAGATCTAGGATTACTAACAAAACCAGTTCAAAATAAATGTTTGTCCTATTTATCAAAATATTAGCAATTTTTTACATGTCGTTAAGTGAAATAACAAAAGATTTAATAAAATTATTTTCCATATAATTTTGGTAATATGAGAAGAAAAAACATATTTGAAGTAAGCTGACTTACAATGTACTGTCAGCACTGTACCATTATACTAAGTACTAAGGACATATTTTACTAAAATTATGTTTATTTCAATATAAGGTCCATGTTTAATTTAAAGTCATCCCATTGCTTTACCTTGGCAAGGAAACTAATAGCATGAGTTAATGTTCTCACTCCCTCACAAACATCAGCTGGTGTTGAATTCGCAATTAAATCATCAACATTCTGCATCAATTTTCGTGACAATGGTTCTTGCTAAAAAGTAAAGTTAATTTTTTATCAATATTGTTTAAAATCTTGAGCGTGAGTGACCTTTATGCATCTAGGGCAAAAAAGGGATGATAGTTACCGAAGTTGGAATAATAACGCCATATAAAAAAAACTTACCAGTTTAGTGTGTGTGATGACTTTATCCCAATCTGATCCAATACCAATGTCTTGAACATAGCATATAAACGGCAAACTCTGGAAAGCAAAAATTTAATTTTTTAGATTTGTTATTTTATTTCTACTGTTGCACTCCTGAGTATCTAATCAGTATTTGACCTAATATACAATATGATGTATTACTCACATCCAATTTAATCAATTTCTTGTACTTGACATAGTTCTCGCGAGCCTTTGAAAAAAGAACAAAAATAAACTGTTGCACAATCATTAATTTGAACAATAAATTTGATTAATATCTACCTATTGGAACTTACTTGTTTTTCAAGAGCATTAATATTATATGATAATTTGTGATGTCGACCATAAGCATCTTCGGTTATAATATAAGAAGTGTGCAGTTGTATTAGTGGCAACAGATCATTTTGTTTATCAATACACACAAAGTGGGAATGCTGTAACTGAGATACCTCAAGTTCATTGGAACTGGAAACAAAAAAACATATTTAGTTGCAAATGTAGAATTTTATTAAAAGTAGACAGAGAAATAAATAATTGCATTTTGAAACATGACTTATAAGCTTTTGAGTACAGAATGAAATAATCATACCTTGCATTGATTCCCTCTATTTCAAAGCATTTGTTTAAAAATTGATTTTGGATTCTTATGAGATGTTCGGCTACAAGTTTTGCACATCGCCCTTTTCCTCTTATACTTGGAAGAGCAACTGAAATTGGGCTATTCAAAGTAATATCCTTACTCAACCATGCGAACATCTGAGAATCACATTCCCCACTGTTTTGCAGTGTGTGTCGCAACTAAAAATAAGTTTATTGTTTGTACAGTTTTTATATTCAGGTTACTTCAAACCATTTGATACCGAAAAGAAAAAGCTGTACAAATACAAATTTTCGGTCATAATTTTTCTAAGAAATCTTCAGAATTATCATTAACCTGTTCCAATCAAAAGCTTGTATTAAAATATTATAAAATTATATTCTAACAAAGCAATAGATGATTACATACCAGAGCCCAAACCTCAATGTACTTATCAACAACATCTGCTAGTAAACTATTGTCAGCAACTGAGCTTTGTAAAGTATTCTCCTCTGCTTGTGACAGATCAATTTGATTTTGGTATCTAGATATGATAAAGAATGCTTAGAAATCTATGTGAAAATATTTGATCATTCGGTACTACACTGTTTATATTAAGTACCTTTCAATCAAGCTCTTCTGCAGTTTCAAAACATCTTCCAAATATAGTAATAGGTGAATATCAGGAGTTCCAAGAATAACCTGAAGTACCTTTCCTACAGGAAAACATAAATATGTTTGATTCAATAATGAGAGGGTTGAATGATAGTTTTACTGTTATCCGTTCATGAATACATTACAATTTAATTTTTTATGTACTAAACCCAAGGCTCTTGGTGGATCGATAAAGAGCTCAATGGGGGTTGCAGTAAAATTATTTTGACACTTACTTATGTTAAAACAAAATATCGATCAAAATGAATTCAAATTAACCTGAGCTGTCATCAGAATTGTCCCTTATGCATTGCATCAGGTGAGAGGCATTGGAATGTTGAATCATATGCCAAAGACAAGAACTCTTCAAATTGTTACGATGCTGCACAAGTGTCTCATTTTCTTCGCTCACTTCATGCACATGCCTGCATAAATAAATATAACTTCACATAAAACATAACATTTGAAAGTGATACAAATATCATCAGAACTACATTTTGCAATCACATTGTGATATTCAAGACCAATTGTTCTATTTGATCTGTAATGTAATAATGACACGGTGTCAGTAAGTCTAAACCAGTGGTTCTCAAACTTTTAAGTACCGTCGACACTATACAACTATATATCATTATCGCTGGGTTAGGTAGTACAAATCGTATTCATCGATTCGCAAATTGGCCACAAAACGCTTGCAAATGATTTGCATATAGCTGTTTACATTGGCACATAAAAAAACAAGTTTTTGTAAAAATGCTCTATTTCAAAATACTTCCCCCATGTATTGTATTATTTTTCCGACTAAGGAGCAATATTGCCCACTTTGATCATGCAGACCAGGGGTGTGCAATCTTTGTTACAGGAGGGCCAGATACAAGTAACTGGGTGAATTCGCGGGCCGAACCTAGAAAATCTACATACGAAAGGCTTTGGATACAAAAAATCCAACATACGAAAACTCTTCTCGTGAAAATATCTCTTAGGCTAACGTAAGATTTTCTACTTACGAAAGGCCAAAAACTGAAAATTTAAGAAATTGCGTGTAGTGATATTTGTTACTTTCAGGTTAATTTAATGCAGTGCTTGAAGTAAGGATGTCAAATCGCTACCTTCGAATATCGTTTTTCGATTCAATAAGAATACCGAATATGGCGCATTTAAAAAATTTTACAAGTATTTCATTTTTTTATCGTAATCGAAGGCAGCCATGTGATACAATGGAAGAAAAAATAGAAAGTTTTAAATTTCTAGTGTGTGTGCTCATTTTCGTACATAACATTATAACTCAGCTGTCAACTGTTGTGGCCAACTCCTCCGACTGCCGTGCTCATGTGTACATACAAATATTATGTCCAAGATTTGTGGAGGCTTATCACGAATTAGGTTTTTTATAGTTAAAATGGGTCCCTACTTACAGAATTTTCTACCTATGAAGGGACTTCCGGAGCGAATTAATTTTGTAGGTAGAGTTTCTACTGTAATTGCAAGCACAAAATTTTTTTCCTTGTGTTATTGATTTTACGGCATTGTTGCATCCTTGCAGAAATTTTGAGTTAAAATTCAAAAATTGAAAAACTGCTATTCAAATTTATTGTCACACCGACTTCAAAGGAAACTAGAAACAGTTATTATGACATTGAGTATTTTGAGATGGGCCACAATGCTAGGCACAAAAATCATTTTACTTTTAACTTCACAAAAAACTCCTTGTTCTTTTCAGTTTCATTGCTTGATAAGGTCATTTAACGTTGTGTTTTCATTTTGTTGAGCATGAATTGTTTGCACATAATGGGATTTGGAATCTACCAATCACGATAACACTTTAAATACCCTTGGAATGATAAACAGGATGGCCATGAGTACCAAAAGCCTCCAGAAGGTTCGGAATCCCTGGCCTAGGGCTTCTGCTCATCGTCTAAATCCAACCTTGCTTGTGGCAATTTACATTTGTGGGTGTGGTCATGTGAAGTTAGTAAGTTTGATCTATTTGGTTTATTAAAACATATTATTTCAGCTAAAGAAGACTGAAGAGCTTGTGTTTTTACATTTATTCTTATGATATTTTTTGATAGCCTTCTTAAAAAGTTTATTAGCATGTGTGTTACAACTATAGCATTTGTAAAACATTGTTTAAAATTGTATTAATAGATTGAGCAATGAAATTAATACCTGAATAATAATATTGAAGTCATGTCTTCAGCATCATTAAGATTTTCCTGCGCTTCGTTAATTATGTTATCCAAATTTTGAAACACTGGCAGAAGGTATACTTGACGAAAATGACTTTCCCAATTCTTTCGATTTTCAATTGAGTTCCAAGAAGCATTTTGATGTATTTTTTGGGGCTATTGTTAAAAAATAAATTGAAATAAATATTAAACAAGCTTCAACTTTGAAATAGAGTAGTATTCTACTTTTCATCTAGCTACAGAATCTATTCTTGGTATTTGAACAATACTTACATCAGTTTTCAAAATGCTAAACAAAATTTGAAAAATCACAAGAGTCGCTTCATCATTATTTCTGCCTAAAGATGTTGTGAAGTCATTCAGATTTTTCTGCATTTGTACAATCAGATACTGTTTGACATCCTTCCGTTCAAGTTTTGGAATCAACCTAAGATAAGAAAGCGAAATTTAGGAGACATAATAAGTAACTTCAAAAAGTAAGTGAATCACATTGCTGTTACTCACTGTGTAATTATATTTGCACTCTTCTGTAATCCCACAAACATACATGCATGAATTATCAATTGAATAAAAGATGACGTTTGCATTGAGATTCGATCTTCTGGTTTCATTAGATTTTTTTCAGTGGAGTTGAGCAAATACCCAGCTTGAGAAGACTCTTCAAGTTTGACTCTCTCATTTCCAGCTTGAGCTACATGATCTTTTCCACCAATTATTGCATTACAATCTGGGCATCGGGATACACTATATGGTTTTGTACATTGCCCAATTGTATAAAAATGGCCATTTGGACATTTGTACATTGCATCATTGCCACGTTCCTTTCTCAGTTCAAGTGGAATTGAAAAGTAAAAAGATTCTGGCATTGCTGGCCAATACATTTTGGTAACTTTTGAAGGGTCATCCATGAGCAATCTTAGTTCGTTTGTCATCAAAGTTTGAGACTTAACCACTGCTGTTGCTAATACCACTACTTGATGAATAGCTGATTTTTCTTGATTTGATATACCTGTGATATGGTGCATTTGTCCAAGCACATTTGAATTCAATGAGCAGAGCAATTCAAAAGTTTTTAAATTTTCTGTGTTTGACTTTTCGAAATACGCCTTAAATGTTGATATGCAAGAAGAGTGTGAATTCAGCCATGTTGCTACAGCTAGAGTCTTCGAAAACTCAGTGGGAAGTGATTGACGTTTATTTGGCGGAAACCAATCCTGTAATTGTTTCTGATGACTTGAAGATGTAGATTTATTTAGCTCTGACTTTATTGCGGAATAATCTTTACTTAAAGAATGCCAGTAATCAACGTTGACTTCCTTGACATTTTTTAGTTTCAGTGGAATTAAACGCTTGTAATAGTCATCATCGATAATTTCAGTAAACCATTTCATTCCATATTTATGACAACCAATTTTGATAAAAAAGTCTTGTAAAGTTCCTAAATCATCTGATTGTTTTTTAATGGAATACATCACCGCACGAGCAACCTCATCTTTAGTTGTTCCTTCATCTTCTTTCAGATTTTGTACAAATTGAGCAATTGCGAAGCGAGCTCCAGCTATACAATGCAAAACTTTAGATGAAAGCTCTACCCCAACTTTGCTTTGCATCTCCAGAAATTTTGTTAATAAGGCCCAACATTTTTCATATATTTTACCATGATCAGTTTGGAAATACTGCCTAGCAATATATTGCTCGTATGTTATAATGGAAAGAAGTATAAGATGTTCACTGTTTTCATTTTGTTCCTCCCTTAGGTATCGATCAATAAGAGATTCAATTAGATTTGCATCCCTTTTCAGTAAATTGGATAAAATATTACTGCATGTTGCGATGTTGAGATCAAATGCAATCTTTTCTAATTCAGGTTTTTTTGATGAAGACTTCAATACCAGTTCATCAAAAATAAGGTTAGAAATTTCCCTCATATCATCATTCTTATCAAGTTCGTCTGAATTTTGAAACACAAACTGAGACAAATATTCAAGAAAAAAGCTTGTGCAGTTTGATCGAAAAGCTAGAATTTCTTTCTCTTGCTCACTTGTTGTTGAGGAAGGGGTTGGCATAAAATCATTTGGCAAAACAAGTGAACAAATTTGACATTGCCTTGTAGATCCCACAAAAACATTTTTCAAACAATCACAACAGAAAAAGTGCTTGCAAGGTAAAACTGTCGGTGATTTGCACATCTTTCCACATATTCTGCAGTTACCATTCTGCCATGAAACAATGACTTTAATTTTAACATCTTCGTAATATTTTCTCAGAACATTGCACAAAATCCTAAGAAACTGTTGATTTTTTATGCCAGATTTACTCGTTCCTTTATACAAGAGTCTTGCATGTGTGGCTATAATCTCTACATAATTCTTAAAGTCTTTGGAATTGGATGATGGGTCCGGCAAAAGATGCAGCAGTAAAAGATCAAGCATTGCCAGAGGTTCCCAAGCTTTCCTCAGGTTCAATCTTTCATTCGTGTCATGAATCAAGTCTAAAGTAAAGCGAAAAATTCGAGATAGTTTTCGTGTTAAATTCATCCAAGTTGTACAAGTCTCAGAACTCTTTATTTCTAAAGCTTTTGCTTTAGCGAAATCTAAAGCATAACACAATGCAGTTTGGTGCAAATTGAATTTTTCCAAGGTATTCATCTCTTTTAAATTGCTTATCCAATGATCAACTTGCTCAAGAACGTGGGGACAAATAAGAAAAATGTTATACACAACTCTCAAGTGATCTTTAAATATTTTTGAACAGTAAAATAAAATCAAAAACATGTGGCAACCAGGCAATTCTTCATCAGTTCGAAGTTGTTTTTGCAAAATCAATGCAGCATTAACCAATATCTTTGACAGTTTTTGCGTGCAGTCAGCATCGGTGCCATAAGCTTCAAATATAAGGTTCTTTGCATAAGCATTTATCAAATTCATTGATTTTGGAAGTCTCATAGCATTCGAAATTGCTTCATCAATTCCTTTATTTGAGGAACAGAAGTGTTTAAAAAATATCTTTCTCTTTTCATCTTTTCGATGTTCACTTTCAAGTGCGGACCATTGTTCATTCATAGCTTCTTGAATGAGAAAACTGAAAGGAATTGTGACTCCATCTGTTTTTAATACATTTTGATCTGTAATTTTAAATTCATTTAAACCTCTCATCTCTTCCCACTGCAATCGGTAAGACTGAAACATTTCTAGCCACATATCCCGCATATCCACATCTTGCTTTTTTTTGCTTGCAATTAAATCCAAATTGTTATTTCTGTCGATCTTGCTCATAATATAAGCTAGCATATTTGATACATGCTTTTTCATACAAAGCCAGAGGGTTTTTGCAAAAGTGCCTCCTTCTTGTAATTTCTCTGCAGAACATGCTTCATTCACTATCCAGTTTCGACCTGTGTCCATTTCATCTTGACGACCTCGATATATTTCAATCATCTTTGTCATAAGAATATCCAAAAACGCATAGCCAAGATCATCATGAGAACAAAGTTGAGAAAACACTTTGATGCGTTCCAGATGACGATTCTCATTTTTCTCTCTAGACTTTATTTTTGTCATTGCTTCGCAGACACAATCCAATAATAAAGTAGGCATATGAATTCCAAGATCATCTTCCTCTTTCGTGGGAGATATTGAATTCTTTCCCATTTCTAATACATCACAAATGGTTTTTTCATAAAATTGGCTCGTCAAATTAAGACTTTTGAATGTTGGTCTCAATTCATCAACATAGATGATATCAGAGCTAGAAGTATGCTGCAGTACTAAGTTTTGGACTTCACAGCTAGTGTCATTTGTTGCAAGTCTTCTCTCAGTTGAAAGCAAGAAAGCAATAACAACTTTTTTTGTGGTACCCTTTATTTCATCAATTTTATTTAATAGTCCATATCTTGCACAAGATATGAGTTGTCCATGCTTATGAGCTTGCGGACACTGCACTAGAAGAATAGCGACATTTTGTTTTGGAAGATTCTGGTTATCAGAGGGCTCCTTGTTGCAAAATTTAAAAAACTCTTCAAGTCTTTTGATGTAGTCTTGTTCAGTTTGAAATTGCTGTAAAGACAAGAGCATGATATTGTGTTGGCTGAGATTTAAGAGCGCTGCAAGCTCCTGCCTGTCTGAATCTGACAAGATATTAGAAAATGAAGTTACTGTCATAAAAACTAAAGGCCTTTCAGTTTCATTTAACTTTGATTGCAGCAATTTCCAAAGATTGTCATGTACTTGATCCTTAATATATGTTTTTTGCAGTTCCGCATGTTCACTACGTAAATCGCTTTTTTCAAGTCTAAACACTGCATCCATTGTAGCCGACTGTAGCAAAACAACTTTGGCTTCACTCACACCTGATTTATATGATATTATAATTGAACTTGCAGAATCGTCATGGTGACCCACAAAAGCATCAGAATTAGTAAAGGGCAATCCAATAATCTCTGAAAATTTTTTAATCCACTCAGATAATTTCTCCGCAATGACCCTCTGCTTCACGGTGAGTAAACTATTTGAAGTGAGATGATGCTTTTCCAACCTGTTTAAAAGAGGTATTGGATAATCGTTGTAAACCTTTTCTTTAATTTCAATGACAATAAGTCTAAAGCCATCTGCAATTCTACATTTAACTCTATGTCCACCTAGTCCCAAATCGACATATCTTTGTCCTCCAAGAGTCACATAATGTTGATTCAAAGCATCATAGAGAGATTCATTAATTTCTGTCATATTCAAAAGAATAACCGTGCGACCGGCTTCCATGCACACTTTGACTCGATTAATATTTCTGCACATTTCTGTATAATTGCGGTCACTTGGAAAACTTGATCCGAATATCACTTGCACTTTTTGCTGAAAATTTGGAATGATATCTTGCAGAAGACTGAAAGAAGCATACTGATTTGTTAAAAGCAACAAAAATCTACTTTTATCATCCTCCAAATTTTCACGAACCATCGTTTGTACTGATAACTCTTTTATTGGTGATTCATAACCAAGCTTTTGCTGAAATATACTCAGTTTTTCATGTTCTCCGCCACTAAAATTTCTTTGAATAGCCCTTTTTATATCTTTTTCTTTGATTTCATGGTTGCTTTTGCATTTTGCATGAAGCATTTTGATTAAACTGTAATAATCTCTTAAACCGAAATATTCTCTAGTTTGTTCATCGTATATTTTCATATACGCATCAGTCAACAACCCTATTTCTCTTGAGTGAATGTTTATTCTGTTGATCTGATTTTCAAAAATCCCTTCAGCAGTCTTTTTCAAATCTCCTTTGTTTGGATTGCTTCGGGTAACAAAAATCCCTCGATTCATTTTTGCTGGATCAAGCGCCCAATTAGATATTCCAACAAATCCAACTTTTTTCTTTTCATCAAATTCAGTCAGGGTGCCATTCATGGTACTGCCACATTCAAGTAGAGGATGAAGAACCTAAATATAAAACAAATTATGTAAAGTTTTTACTATTTCCTAAATAAAAAAATGATTTAGGAAAATAGCAACCTTCAGGGGCATATTTGGTGAATCTTCAGCCAAACCAATCTCATCTAATACGACAACAGCAGTGTAGGAATCAATATCTTGATTGGCCTGAAGTTGAGCACATTGGTTGAAAATACTTTCAATTCCTTTTGCATCTGTCAGTGCACTGCACTGGTATGATAGCACATGTACCTGAAAAATATATGCACATTTTTTAAAGATATATCAAAGCCATGAAGAGCATTGTGGAATTATTTCAGTTTATTTTCATTGTACCTGTTTGAAATTTTTGTATAATTCTGTGTAAGATGATTTCCCTTGCATGTTATCAGCAACAATTGTTTTGGCCAAAGATTTAGAGCTCCCGGGTTTTCCAACAATAAAAAGTGGCATTCGCAAATCTGCACAGACAGAAATGAGAAAAACGTTCTCACGCAAAGCTTCATTACATGCAATGTTGTCGTCCATTTTCAAATTGTTGGCAAAAATCATTTGACATGCAATGATTTCAAGATTTATATCAGATTCAGTCAATGGTGTGGAATACCTTTGCAAAACTCTTGAAATTTCTTCACGAAAAGATTTTCTATCATTTAATGAGGCATGGTAACATACACTTATTGTGTGCAAAAGTGATCTCAAAACATTAGAGATGTCTTGTAGAGAAAGTTTTCTTGGCTGCTCTTCATGATATTTAATGACAAGAGGGAAAATATGCTCAGCGTGCTTGTGAAACCATCTGAACGTTTTTAAAGATCGTTCTACATCACGCAAACTGACATATCTACTCTCATCTTTGCATTTTTTTCTCATGTAGCATTGAGCACGAAATAAAACAGCATTTATCAAAGTAGTTTCATCTGTAGTTAAACTCATATCTTTTGTCTGTCTTTGTGTCATCTGCTCAATGTAAATTTCCTCAGCATCTCTTCCTAATTGTCCAAAGTCCCAAACAAAAGGTTGCATACTGGGGGGCAGAGGAACAACACGATATACAAGTCGACGCATTGGAATCTTTCCAAATTGTTCTGCCTCACTTGCTTTTGTATTGTAGCCAAGTCCAGATTCTTCCAGCTGTTTGATTGCTTTTTCTGATAAACGTTTGTATGGATTACACGCCGCAATGATTTGTAATTGAGAATCTTTAAAATCATCACCATCAATTGTGAAATCGCACACAACCTCTTTTATTGCAAAAATAGCACTTGTAGTATTTGCCTCGTCATAAAATAAAATGGTACCCATGTTGTAATTATTTTTGTTTGTTGAAGCAATTTCTCTGGCCTTCAGAACACTGTTGTATATGTCTGCTACATCAATACCACCGTGAATTTTTAATGTTACCATATTTTTAGCATTCTTATTCAAAGCACATCTCATTTTACTCATGAATTCAATCATTCTTGTTTTTCCGCAGCCGGTTTCTCCCATAACAATGACTGGAATATCACAGCGAAGTCGCATGTATATAGCTAACATCTTCAGAACATTGTCTGTTGTTAATTCATAAGTTGGGTCAGGATCATAAAACTTTGGGATGTTCATGAACTGACATAATGTGGTGATTTTTTCTTCTCTGGACAAAGTGTTGAAATCGACACTAAATGGAACACCCTGTTGCTTTAGATCAGCTAGCAAACGTTTTGATAATATTTGTCTATGACATATGTTACCGTCTGCATCTAGAAGATCTCCATTATCATTCACTTTAACATTAATGAATGTCAAGGTTGTCTTGTCTTCATTGAAAAACACAAAAGGATGGATTTCATCTTCCCATTTTCTTCGAATCTTATAATGACTAAATGCATCATCAGCATCTCTCTCACTTTCATCTGATATATCAAGAGATGGTGTTGCAAAATCCTGAGCCATTTTAATCATGAAATAAACAGAAAATGCTTTCAATCCAGCAAATTCAATAGATTGTGTTTTCTTACTTTCACTTTGAATTATCTTGCAAAAAACTGATTCTTCACAATTTGTGAGTTGCATGTTGAGAAAATTTGAAAAATAGCACAATTGCGCCCAAGTTGGATTTTCCATACCACAATGGCGTAATAGTACAGCAATGCACTCTTTCTTTGATCCAGATGGATTTTGATATCGATATTTGTCCAAATCTTTATGTGAATCATAACGCATCAGATATTGATAAGGGCGCTGAAATGATTCAGATTCAAATTCCTTTTGATCCATCAAAACTGTACTATCAATCTGACTATTTCCGGATTCATAAATCTTCAAAACTTCTTTCGGACTGATACAGGTAGTTTTTGATAATAGTTGCAAAATGCTGGTACTTGGTGACTATAAAGCAAAAATACAAAGTTACTTTTTTCATTGCAACAGGAGGTATATTTAGAATATACCATAATGACAATACCTGCTTATCGGAACTAATCAGTTCAATGGCATAGCAGTGATGTAGATGATGTCTCCAAATTCTACCTTGACTATCTTGAATGCTTCCAAGAATGATCAAATTAAAAAAAAATTCCTCAATACTCTTTTCGACCTGAACACGAATAACAAAAATATTCTAACCATTGCAAAAAAGGTCATTGAATTATCAAAAATTTGTAACCACATACCGCAGGAGTCAAATCAAAATGAATGAAATGGCAAGTTTCATTTCGTGTTGTTTCGATTTTGTACAATCTTGATAGAACATGATCAATGTTTATATTTCTCTGAAGCAGCCGTACAGTTGTGGAAAGGGAATCTGGATGATTCTGACTAAACTCTTCAGTTAATCTTCTGATATGCAATGACTTGCCTAAAAGTATATTTAAAAAAGTGTGATCCATTTATACCAGATAAGTAAAATTAAATATAGACAATTTAAGTAAAAAAATCAGATATATAGAAAATAGTCAATACTGCAGTAGTTTAATACAACATATGTATAAAACAATGATTGAGCTTGATAGTTATGATTCACCAAATTTACAAAAATAAAATAAAAAATAAACTCTATTTAGTTCAAATGTTTATTTTGGTTGGCGTTACCAAATTCGAATGTATGTCATGGACTAAATATATCATACTATGCAACTGCATACTGTACAAATCAATATCCTACCCATGAGGGTAATGTTCCAACATCTGGGAACTCCCAGACAACTATTCTTACCCTACTAGACTAAATTCAAATCTCACTATTTTTACTTTTTAAAACCTTTTTGATTGGCTCATTTTATACATATTGTCACATATATTTCTCCCCTTTTCCCTTAAAAAAGGTTTGGCCATTTTATTAGATTAGTCACTCACTAGTCACCATCTATTCAGGTTCTCACTTGTAAGCAAAATATCTATTTTTGTAGTTTTTTTTTAATATTTTTCGAACATCCATCCACTGATTTGTGTGCCAAATAAATAAACATGTGCACCAGTGCTCATGGTGCACCAGTAATTGCTTTAGATTGGGTCATACAAAATAATTTAGTCTGATTATTAAAAGATATGATAAAAAATGATTGAAAGGCCATCATTTTTGACAATTTCAGCAGTCAACCTACCGACACCCGATCTTTGAGATGTCACTATTCTCACAGAAACTTTATTTTTATCATCTTCATTATTTTGTAGTTTCCCAGATAAATATTCTTGTAGCTTGTCTTTGTCGATGGCAAGTTTTAGTTCAACTTTCAACTAGAATTATTGAGAATACAAGAAAGTAGATTGATATTTACCGAAACAGTACTAAACAATACATTAGATCTAAACAATACATTTACAATACTATGTCCTATAAATTTCAAGTATATACCTTGTCAAAACATGTCACAAGATAATGTTGTTGTTTTGAACTACTTGAGAGAATAACAAGCTGATAATTCGCATCAACATATGCCTTGGTTGATAATGTATTGTAGACATATTCTACATGTGTAGACACATTGAACGTCAGCTTATCAGCAAATGCCATGCAGAACAATTTTTTTCCTGAAAGGTTTTATGTATGTTATATTATGATTATCATATTACAGCTGTATTGAAACAATGTTTTTTTTCTTATTTGAATTTATGATTGTAAATATTGTAACTTTGTTTTATGATTGCAGCTGCAGTTTCAGACAACCAAAAAATAATATTTCCGGAAAAAAAGATTTCTTGCCTTCTTGGTTTTAATGGTGTTAATAATAAAATTGCATTTAGAATCTAAGGAAAATAATGCTGTTCATACTCTGCTAAGGCGGTAAGCAAATATCAACTCATATATTTCCTCATATATCATATGTGAAAATATTCATTCCATAAATTTTCACATCTTTTCCTAAGTTAGTTCACATATTTTTTTTGAAATCAGACTGTTTTTGTTGTATTGTTTTGAAGTAGTTGGACGAAAAAGATTAATATTTTAATTAGCTTTTATAATTTGCAAGAAACGGTCGATTGTGTTGTGTGTATGAAATTTTTATTGGTATATCTGTACATGTTGAGGCAACTGGGCAACTTCTCTTTAGAAAGATGTATAGAGAAAAATGTTTTTATCATCCTGCGAATAGAGTCTGTAGCCAAAAATTTAAAATATGATACCTTCATTTGGAACAATAGTCATTGATCTTCTTAAAAATCGTTCCACTTCATCCTTTGATGTATTTTCACTGCAAACAAGTACCTCAGATCGAGTCGGAAGAGGCTGACTTTCATTATGCATGTAAAGTGATAAAACCAAGTAAAGTATGTCTGGTTCTGGACAAAGAAGCAAGTTTGCTTTTCCTTGATGCATGGGTGGTACCAATACTCTTTCCAAGGGCTTGACAGAATGACATAATTCTTCATTTAATATTTCCAAAAACTTTCCCAGATGGTCAATACTCAGGTAATCTTTAAGTGTGAGTTTCTAAACAATGATGAATAGTTATTAAAACTTGAAACTGATTGAAAACCTACTTCAAAGTTCATTAATATGACTCTGGAACATAATTAGGAGCTTGATTTAAAATTAATTTATATCCAGCTTTAACAATCCTTTACATATAAGATCTTGTGAATTGCGACATTGAATTCTTCTAAATCGAATATCATAAATTAAGCTCACTGATGTTTTTTCAATGTAGCTTTCACTAATAGTCTTCACAATGCTTGGAATTTGAATATCTGATGACATTGACTCCTGTTTCTGTATTTGTTCAATCAATTCTTTCAATGATGATGAAGTACGATTATGAAGAAGAGAAGTATAATCTTGCACTTGATTTGATTCATCGCCAAATCCTAAATATAAAAGAAGCAAGTTATTATTGGTAATAGCGAGAACCTATAAATAAAATATACATAAAATTCAGTCATTTGTGAAGATCTATGCCAAGATGAAGGTAAAAAAGATCTAAATTAACTTTGGTTTTGAATTTTTTTGCTGGAGTAAAACCACAATGAAACATTCCAAAGGCTCGAAGAACTACGAATATAGGCTATATAAGAACAACTCTCATACTAGCAAAACAAATCAATTTTTAAAATGGAGCAATATAATTAATGGTAGCAAATGTGATAGTTATTCTTACATTTGAATATTAGGCATATAATGATACAGAATCTCGGATTTGAAAGGAAACATGCAGGAACCCTAAACTGTTCTGGCCCACCACCGGTTGAAAATAAGTAGTTCAAAAAATAGTTGCATTTTTATTGCAGTGACAGTATAAACTTCTTGCTAATTACCCTATTTACAGAAATAAGAAGAAGTGAGTTGAGTCAACTTCAATTGCAAAACAATAGTGCAAATTTCATTACCAAATTTTGTTACCAATAAAGCTATAGATGTGCACTATCCAGCTGTTATCAACTTATATATGCTGATGCTATTCCAGTCATGTTTATACTGGTGCGACTAATTGCCCTCATAGCTGATAATGGTAGGTCTAGCATTCTCAACTAGCATACAAATAAAGTGACAATTCTTTGAGCATGCATATAATGCCAAAATGAATCAATAGCATACATACTCTTTGTGGCATCTATGATTTGAGTGGTAGCTCAATTTTTTTTGGTTAATATATCAATTTTTATTGTGCTTGTTTAAAAGTGTTCATTCAATATATATGAGTCTTTAAATAATACTATTTTTATAAAGTCATTGCTGATTGCTGTCCCAGTATTTAGGAAAAATATTTGTAAATCCTGGTACTTCAAAATAAGAGTTTGTGGTATATTGATTTAAAGTAAGAACATCTGCTATAATAATGCACACCAAATCAAAAACCATAGCCTGAAAAACTGTACTTTAAATACCGACCCAATATTTGAGATAAAAGTGATGTTTGTTCCTAATAATCAGCATGATTTTTTAAAATTATATAACTACAAGAAGGTTTTCAACGCAAACAACAACAAACAACAAACAGTACCTTCATCTTTATCGAAAAGTTCACAGAGTTCCTGTATTAATTCTTGATCATGTTGGTGGAGTAATGCCCAATTCTCACAATCTTCGATGTCTTTATTTTCTTCACATTGAACAGCAGCTTTTGCAAGATTTTCAGACAGATCATCTTTCATGACCAATTCACGAACCATTCTTCTTTTACATACCAGTACATCTGCTTGTTCATCTAATTTGGCATAAATCTCATTTTAAATTGAATGTTTCCTTAGACAAACATCAAAATAAATAGTTCTGATATTATGATTTGAACAAATAATGTTTAATAATTTCATCAAGTCAATCAATATTAATTATAATCAATGGATGAACTTTTAAGCTAGTACTTGATTTTTATAATATATAATGATTGCACATATAAAAACAGAACTTAAGTGGAAGTTTTTATACTAAGCATTTTCACATTTTAAATACAGCACAATTTAATGCTAATGAACCATTGAAATCACAAACAAAACCTTGAACGGTATTTTCATTGTCCAAAACATCAACTTCATTGTCATCACAAATTCTTGTTGCTTCTTCCAATGCCTTCTGCATACAATCACTCATCACATTTCTTGGCAGATTCGACAGTAATGAATAAACCTAGATGATAAAATGAGGTGGTAATGATATAATTTCTTTCGAATGATTGTTTTAATGTTTTACGTATTTTACTACCATAATTTACCACTATATTGCTGAACTCTAAGTACCTGGTCAGTAAAGTCAAATTTTGCCAGTTTTTCACAGAGATAAGTTATCTGTTGTATGTTATAATCATTCAAGTAATAGTAGCGTGATCTTATCTTGTCAATATACTTGGTCCATCTAAAGATATATTGAAATATATTAAAAAAAAGTCAGAAAACAGTAGAGGAAAAAATATCAAGAAAAAAGCAGAATTACTTATCCAATGAATCATTGAGCACATCCACAAGAAGTTGAACATCTTTCAATCGAGTTGTAGTACTTATTGAAGAAATTTCCCGACTGAAGTTAACAGTGACAACAAAGTCTTTTTCAGAACACCTAGATATTCAAAAAAAAGGATTTGAAAAAAAATATTCAATTTTTTTAACTGCTTCCAAATAAAAACGTACGCAATTCTTGCAGACCAGTCATTAAACAGCATGCACCCCCCATTGAGTAAATTGACAAATCCTTGAGTCAAGTTTCCAACAGCAGCTAATATTTCATTGAATCTTGCAACATCTTGTTGACCCTGATCTGCTTCGCCAGCAATCAACATCAGCCTTGACTGCAAGTCTTGCAACTCATCATAATTCATGGATTTTACTAAAGCAAAAAGTAATATGTAATAATGGGTATATAGAATTTCCCAAAACAAAATGACATTTCATTCATTATTTTGATAAAAGTTTTTCTATTTTTCTGTCAAAAACAAAATTGCCATTTTTTATTTGTAAGCAAAGTGAGCTAATTTGACAATTAAAAAGCAGTTTATAACATTACAAAACCATATCGACAACCTTCACTTTTTTCATTTTGCTTGTCTTGTTGTATTGAAAGATGTAAACAATTTTCAATTGTTGGTGGACCATCTTCTGGCTTAGCGATTCTGTATATTCCTCTTTTGTTAATTTCTTGAGCAAGAGTGAGAGACTGGGTGCCAACAGAACCATGGAATTTTTGGATTTTGTCAAACCAACCAAGTTGCCTTCCAGTGTCAGTCTGTAAAGCAAAAAAAAAAAAAGCAAAATTTTATTATGTTATCTACAACAGATATAAGCTAAATTGTACTACATTCTTAACTTCTCATCATTCCATTGTACTAAATCATATAAGATATGATACCCATTATCAGATTTATGGCTGAATATAAAAATAAATTCCCAAAGTACCACTTCAAACAAGAATGAAATGCTTTTCAGAAATAGTTTATATTAATGAACAGGTAAAGCGATATATGATATATAAATGTGAAAACATTAGTATAAAAAAAATATTCTTTTCTCACCCATTTTTTGATAAGATTTGGATCTGACTGAAAGTTTTTTCTAACAGCTTTACATCTGTCTACAACATAATTCAAGTTGGAGTTTTGATTCAAGTCGAAAATCAAAGGACTAAAACCCATTACTGCACTGAGAAGAAATGATACACGATCGACTTCATATGAGGTTTCACCAGCAGATATCATCCCAAGATCACAAAAGACTTTAACTTCACTAAGATCTGCAGTATAAAACAGACCCATGATAAAATTGATAAATTAAATAGTATGAACATGTGTAAATGAATGTATAAAACAATGTATAGAATGTACCCTTCATTTTGATTTTCAGCCATTTTATCATATTTTCCTGATTTAAAAATGCATTCAGGAGCTCTAGGAAATTTTGGTCCCTCCACATCTCATCAGTAAAACTATCACCGAATTCCAAATTAACTTCTTTCAGGGATATATCCTCATTATCTTCCATTTTCTGTCAAATTTTAAAATTATTAAACTGTAAAGCAATAACACTAGAAATATTCGTATGTTTCATGATCTAAAAATAGGGAAACATAAGAACTATATTGAACAGTCATAATAAAATACAAATATTTTCAATTCAAAATATGGTTCTCTGCCTCAGGAATGTCAAATTGTCATTCTTTACAGCCTTTTTTTTTTAATTTGTGATATGGCTGAATGTGCATAAAGTAGAATTTATATTCCAATGAAGAATATTGGTATATCAAAATCAAATAGGCATGAACCAACTACTGTTTACCACTACATATATGCAACTAATGGCTGCATATTTCAACTCAAATTTTTAACATTAATTATTGACTAAATATTTGTTTATTCATTTGCTTTCTTTGTAAGTGCTTTTTCAAAATTAGTGGCCAGGCTTAATGTTATATATGCAAATATAAATTCTGTATTTGTTTGATGTTGAACATTTGTGAAGTTTATTTGCCCTTTTCAATTTCTAAATGATTATGGTACCTGTATTTCATCAACAGACTGAAAGTTTCCACGAATGTCAAGAATGGACTTTAATTTCAATAACATAGATGAAATTTTTTGCATGTTTTTCAATTGAAGGATAATTTTGATTTCTTCTGCTCTTTTTGTCAAAGTGTCAGTCAATTCTGAATCATCTTCAAAATAATTTTAAATATACGGAAAGATGTGGCAAATATAAATACTTTTTATAAAGTGATTCCAATTGTGTACTATATATACAAAACATTTTCCATTGTTTAATTTTCATTATACTTGCTATGATATCAATTGCAATTATCAGGTACATTCATTGTGTTTATTTCTTGAAAATGTAAAAACTAGAAAAAAACTATATGTCCACACTTTTTTCCCAAAACTGTAATCATTATTTCATAGATGCTTTCCTGATGATATACACCTGAACTCAAACAGTATTAACTAACACATAATTTTTAGTTAGAATTCTCTATAGTCCTACTAGCTTTGTAACTTCAGTATTTGCCTGTGCAATTTTGCATCTTTTTTTTCTTTTTGAGTATCGGTAAGTAAATGTAACCTTGTTTAAAGCAAATTTTCTTAAAAAATAAATAAATAAGAATTCATCACTGACCAGCAATAACATGAAGGAGAGAAAGCCCTGTTAATTCTGTTAAAACCAGTTGGTCATTCCCTTTTGTGAATTGAAACATCGCAATTAAAACAGAGACTGGAATTGAACCTGTCAAATTTTTTTACAAGATTCAATTTTTAATGAAAGTTACATAAATATTGTCGCATACAGATTATATTTGCTGGTCACTGTTTTAGTAAGCTATTTCACAATTGCTAGCACAAACATTTATAGACTGCATAATTAGTTTTTTCTTTAATGTGTGGAGATTCCTCAAACTCATGTCAAAAGTTACTTTGACATGAACTGATTTCTCCTATTGTTTATGAATATATACGACAACAATTCGAACTTTCGGGTTGCAACATAATAATTGAAACTTCATAGATTATGACATCTCTAACAATTTTTGTTACCTTAAAATCTGTTTAAGTACCATTCTGATCGTTCAGATATGATATGTTTTTTTTTAGTTTTGTCATATGGGAAAGGAAAGCTTATAAGGTACTCATATAGTTCACCATGGAATTCGATCTGGTCACCAGTCTAGGTCGGCTGTGACTAGTAATTCAATGATTAATGGTTAGCATGCAATTTTCAATCTTTTTTTCAGTAATGATAATTTAAGAAATATTTGACATACCATCATATATGTCAGCAAATACTGAAGTAAGTCTTTCCTCAGTGGTCGACCAAACATCAGACAAAATTTCTTCCCATCCAACCTCATGAGGTGTTGTATCATCATTATCATTTTGAAATTTTTCCATAATGACGTTGTTCCATACTCCAGTAAATGTAGTGTTAAACTGTAAACAGTAATTTGTCATAAACAAATCACAATTTATGATGTTATTCTGTGATTGGATAAAATTATAAAACATTATTTTGGACATTGGCATTATTGGCATTGTTATGAAATTTTAAAATCTGAAATGGCCTATCACTGCTAGAAATTCATATTTTTATTTTACTAATAGATGGTTATAAAAAGCAATTTATTATTAATCATACTCATTTATATAGAGTAGAAATATAAACTCAGATCATCAAGCAGCAATCTGATTTAACTTTAAAAAGAGTTATTACTTCAATTGTCAGGTCTGTCAGTATTCAAGCATGCAAGACCAAGACAGACAGTGATAAATACAATACATCTGAATAAATATTCAACATATATATATATCTGTATATCTTTGATTTGTAAATCAGAAAACACACCGTTTATAAAAGATACTACAATACCGTAATTCAAATTAAATGATTTTTTGTTATGATGAAAATGGTGCAAGACATTAATTCGTTTACTTTATATTTAAAAGAATATAGTAACATTCGAAATACAGATAGGTTTTGGATTGTATATCTCATCAGGCACCAAATGTCACAATACGATACCATATGAATATAAAGTGTCCATAATTAATTATTATCATTTAAAGCTTAATATATATCTAAATAGTTTTTCTGTTCTTACCGACAACTGATACAAAATCTTGATCTGATTAGTTTGTTCAGCTGTGAAATTTCCAAACATTTCTAAGCCTCCATCTGGTTTTTGTGGTACATGTTGGGGATCAATAATTTGATCAAGCATATTATCTCTCAACAATGCAGTATTTTCCAATTCATTTAAATTAGCAACTTTAATATAGTCTTCAATTCAATATAAAAAAGGATGAAATTACAATTATGAAACAACAAAATCAGTAAACAAGTGTTTCCTATGATGCTTCTAGAAAAAAAATAAACAAACTAGCAGTATAATAACCAATATCAAAATATTATATTATAACATAAAATCTAAGACCAGCCATTTCAATTGCACCTTCCAATTTGTAAATTTTTAGACAACGTTCCAAATCACTTCTGCAGGATACACAGGGCCAGTCGATGGTTGAATCAACTATTAAACCTTTATTGCTTCTCTCTTGGACTTAAGCAGTATTTAGGGTTTTAGAATACAATTTCAAATTTATAAAAAAAAAATTAAAGTGAAACAGGTCAGGTAAAAAAATACCTATCACGAAATGCTAGAGATAGATAGATATGATTGATTGATTAAGTTAAACTTGACCAAATACACCTAAATTTATTATTACATAATTAAAAAATTGACTTTTTCTAGAAATTGACAAATGTAAAAACGGATTACTGAAAGTTTATAAATTGAATACCTTTTTCCAATTTTGAACACAATGAAATAAATGCTGACAAATGCAGTCTGCTTGATCCGATCCCATCTAATTGCTTTTCTCTGAGTTTTACACGAGCTCTAAGGTCTTCATCAACAGAACTTCCATCTCTTTTCTTAAAAGTTACAGCATTTTTCAAAACAGTTATGTACATTAAATGTTTGTCATTCTAATTTTTCGCAAGAGTTGTATCAGGGTCGTACAAAACCAATCGGATATTTGAATATCAAAGTACTTGAATACTTTTTCAGCAAATTTTGGAATAATTCCGAATGATGGCCAATTTTCGACACCAGCAAAGTGGTTTCAATCTACGCAATTCTGTATATTATTGAAAACGATTGATCAAATTAGTGAGGAGTAAATTGGTTCATGTGTCTTGCAAAGATCCCACCAAGGTCAGGTATTAAATTTAATGTGTTACATTCAATGCTGTGCTTTGTTAAAATACACAATAAATGTGTCAATCGGCTTTCTGGGGGATAATTGTCTGTTGCTCAAAATACTGTTTCAAATTCAATGACTATTGGTAATAAATATATATTTCCATAATGTTTGCCACAGAGACATGAAATTTGGGCAAGATATCATAAAATATCCGTTTTATTTGTGGCAGTGCTACCAAAACAAAATCTATGACGTTTTTCATTTAATGACAATTTTGCTGACTTGGGTCTTGCTTGCTATTCAAACACATCAATTTAGATTTAACCTTAAGCTACTGCACATTATTGCCTTCGTACTCTCAACAGTTTTCAAAAAGGGTTAAAGTGAATTAATTATCTAAATGAAATAAATGAACTCAAAAAAATCCTGTCAAATCTCAAATTCAAAAATAATAATAAATTTGATTGTACTTAAAATGGTGGAATGTTTTGTATTGGATATCACAGATTTGCAGATTTGCTAACAAAATTGAGCAAAAATATATTGGCTTTATATATATTAACCATTATGTCTTGTAAAGCTACTTTTATTTCTTAATGTATGAGAGCAAGAGATCTGTTGAGTAAAATCCGATCCATCGTTGTCCCACTCAATACTTGAAATATTTAACGCATAACTAACTAACTGAAAACTACCAATCAAGACACACCAACAAATCGAAGTCAAATTTTCAAATTATGAAAACATATTACTGAAGAATAATATTATTTGTAACATATTGAAAAAACCATATTGAGAAAACATATTGATAAATTTTATATGTGATATATTATGTACATCTACATGTCATAAGATATGCTTAAAAATGATAAAACATTGTTCTGCCTGCATGGCCAGTTTGAATAGGTAAATATTTCAGATCCAACCCACATACTATTATCTTAGGTAGTGCATATAATACTTGGAAATTGAAATTTTGGTCTCTATTTATCCAATGCATATTTGTACTCACCAAGCGCAGCATTTTATCAAATTCAATAAATTCTGTATGATGTGTAATAAAATAATCCAATTCAGTAATTTTCATTTTGCCTGTGCAAAATGCTGTTACAGCTTGTTTGAAGTCTGAGACAGTTGTTCTCATTTTTATAACAATAGTTCTTTCCATGTGTTTTTCGGCATCTTCCTCATCTAAAAAAGTTTATCTTAATTACAGAAAACTAATGAGTTCACTTATGCTATTACCACCCTGAATTTATTATAAATCAATTTCTATCAATATTATCAAAAAACCAAACATCATCGATTGCTATCGATGGTGCTATCGATTGGGTTTCTATGAGACTATGGGTTTCTAACTACTTCTCTGTCTTCTATGCTTTTGAGCCGGTGTATATGTATGCATATAATGCAAGGATGCTTAAAAAGAGTGAAATTAACTATCCTAAATTACTCAAGAGTCTTGCTGCACACTAACGCGAATTTATTTCATCATCATCAAAAAATACCAAAGGCATTCATATTACTTATTTTTCAATATTTTGAAATTTAATGAAAATATTTACTCACAAAATATTTGAAAAAACTTCGGTCCAAATGTCCATTTGGATAATAAATACAAAGGTTTCATTATTCCTCGAGTCGAATCGGGTAAATTTACTCTGTTTACCTCTTTCATGAAGAGTCTGCCAAAAAGCAGAGCAATTTCAGGCTTTTTCATGTTTTCACTGAAGTAGGTGTTCCAAGATTTCCGCTAAAAAAAAATTTCAAAATTTTTAATAGAAAACAATTTATTAGTATTTTAAAATGAATTACAGATTCAGACATTTTATGTTGTCATGCATGAAACATTGTAAACAAATAATAATAATAAATTGTATTAAATTAAAGACACACAATGTTTCGCAATTAGAAAGGAGTCGTGGATGACTATCAAGTCATCTTGTCAGTGACACCTATATGCTGAATTACAGCGGCAGATATAGAAAGGGAATTGGGTTTATAACTTAAAATATCAAACAACATACAAACAATGATAGATTATAAATAAAAAGGGGGGATGTAAAAAGCAATAAGGATTTACAAAATACCGTTTGACACACATAATGTTGCCACCAAGCGAGGACGATACCGGTACCTCAATGAACATAAAAAAGATAAAAAAAAAATGTTGAGTAACATGACTAAAATTGAAGGAATGGTTTAAAAATTATGCCTCATAATCTGCAAGCAGTTCTTCAATATATTTGATTGCGCATTCCTCGAAGCATTCTTGTAAATTTTTGTCCATACTTTTCATATCCAGTATTTTAATATAGAAATTCAGAAATTCTTCTTTTTTGTATTTCCAATTCTATGATAATAAATAAGATAAATTATGCTTCATGAACTTTTTAAATAAAATATTCATTCTTTTCCTACTTTTTTCAGTAGCTTTTTAATCTCTTCAACAAGTTCTGTGATCCAACGTGATTGGAAAACTTCATCAGGCCATTTGGTTTTGAGCATCACATTCCAAAGCTAAAAAGATATAAGTCGATAGAACCAATTCACGAAATCAATTTTGATCTGACATAAATTAATCCTATCATAATACATAATTATGCTATTGATTGGGTTTCTACAGGTTTCAATTTGTATTAGTGTAGCAAGATTCTTGAATTATTTTAAAAACATAAATCATCATAGTTACATGTAAACTAACTTTTTGAGTAATTATTAGTGAATATGATTTATAAAAATAATCATCTTTTTCAAAATGTAATATCTTTTTGTGTTCCTAGAGTTCTAGTATAAATAGGAATGCATTATGACAAACGCAAAAATGAAAACCCCAAAACAAACCGGACTAGAAATAAAGCCAATACCTGAACATCATCTTCCTCAATGTTATAAAGCTTTTCAATCCTATTGCAGATTAAATGCAAAATCCATGTTAAATTATCATTGGTCTTAGCAAAATTCTCTTTCTCCATCTGAGTATAAAACATTGAAGATATTTTTTATTTTTACACAAAAACCACATTAAAAATTCACCTCCTTTATCTTCATCAAATATTAATTTCATTGAGCAACTTCTTGGACATTTCAATATTTTGAGACTCATTTTTCAATAATACATCTGTACTAACAAAAGTTCGATACCAGTTTGTTATAATTAATCCAAGCATATTAATTAAATCAAATAGCAGTTGGATTTTTGTGAGACTCCGTGCCATTACTCTTTGCCTTTGTGCTGATGGATCTGTATGCGTTTATTGCAATGATGCTGTAGCACGAATAAACATGACTATACAATGTAATTTAAGAGTCCTGCTGCACACTAACACAAATGTATTTCTGTAATGTTTAATCTGACCAAAATCAGATTCCTCAGCAATGACTTTGTTGAGACTAAATCTTACAAAAATACATTTTGAGTAGCGTGCAGCAGGAATCTTGAATTACATATGATTACATTAAATGGAATCCAAATAGGAAATGTTAATGAACATACAACATATATGGCAGAAATTATTCATATAAAACAGACCCTAAGTCAAGTATTGATAACCCTTTTCATGTCAAGGCCATAATCAATTTATCACGTTCTTGTAAACTATACAAAATTTCTACTCACAATTACATAGTCAAAATGAAATATTGCAGATACGGTGTTATAAATTTTTTTCTTTTTCACATAAGCAAGATACAGTATGTGTTTGCTCATACCAAAATATGAATCAAGATGTGTAGTTTACCAGATGCAGAGATAATATTTTGACTACAATGAGAAATCTATCAGCACACTTACTCATAACTTGGTGTGTCAAACAGCTGAGTAAAATGAGCTAGTTAATCTACTAGAAGGTGTGCATGACCAGCTTACAAGTTGAGACTGCACTTTGTAATGCAACACCGTGGTTCCAACTATATTTCACATGATCATAATCGTTCATATTTGAATATTTAGCAGTACAAGTTAATTAAGCAAGACTTTAAACTAACTTCTAAGACTTACTTACCATTAACTTATAATTTAAATCCGCAGTGTAGCTGGTTATTTTTAAAAAAAATGAAACAGTTTTGTATCTTTCTGTTAGTCTTATATTGCCATAAACATCAGGTAACACTTTTACAAATAATCTCATCAAGTTTCTAGTTGTTTCTTTAATTGCAACTCTTTCATCAGTGGTCCAACTAAAATATTGCAATAAATATATCAATAATCAGGGAATATGTAATGATAAAAATGAGTCATAATTTAGCACAATAAGCAACTTTCCCATCAAAATACTCTAGAAATAAATATAGCCTGGTTATTTATGTAGCAAAGGGTTAATTAACTCACCAAAGTATTATCTATAACTGAAAAACAGTAATTGAATATGCTCCTCTTACACTCACCTATCTTTTTCTCTGTTTAAAAGTTTGTTGTACATTTTATCAAAGTACTTGGCCAAAGAGGTGACATCGTTTACATTCTGTTTAAGAACAACAATATTTCTTGTAATTAATGATATTCAAAGTAATCAAATTAATTAATGAATGTTTAATAAATTAACCATCTCATAAAAAAAAACATCGTATTATGCAACTTAGAATATCCAACTAGAATTTCTTATTATTATGACAATAGTCACCCAAAATAGATTCTACAAACAATGCAGATATATTTTAAAAATGCTTGAGAATGGTCTTATTGCATAATCTTTAGAATTGAACTGGCATCAACCAACCAAAAGTACCATCTCTGTGAAATAAATTCGAGAATAAAACAAATTTGCAGTCACTGATTTGATGAAACTAAGACTGATTCAAAACAAAATATATTATGGGGTTATATATATCATTTTTAAATAATCAAAAAACTCTCATAAATGTTTATAGCTACTCTGAAAAATTTACATGGTCTCTTGTAAAAATAGTATGACTGTGAAGTAGAAAGTCATATTTTCACATGTTTTTAACATCATTGGAGTTAAGCCCATAGTAGTGTTTTTTAACTTCTCATAATCAGATTTTGTATTATTGTTATCAGATTATATAAATTATTATGTATTTATACATTTCGCTATGAAACATATTAAATCTATAATTTATAATAATAAGAATAGTCAATTAGAAATGACCAAAATGTGTAAATTTGACTTTGTATATTTTTCCACTAGATATTGTTTTTCTCATGATACAGCTGAACGAAAGGTTTTTTTAAATTGCTTAGCATGCTCCATCATTCACAAATAACTGATTGTAGCTCTTGAAACGTTAAACAAAAAGCACACCTGTGTCTTGAATGTTGTTGAATTCGATCCTCCTAGAAGTTGATAGAAAATTGAATCAAGATGGAAATGCATTGCAATTCCATATTCTGAACAATTTTTTAACATAGTTAGAAGACTCTGTTCCGTAAGAAAATATTGGTAACTTCCCAATATACATGTATGAGTTTGAAATATTTCCAGAATTTTTTGATTGGATTTGAGTAGTTCTCTAAAATGAGAAAAATCATTACATAAAAACAATCTAGACATTCTACTAAGAATATACACCAATTTTATGGCTTTATTACTCAAATACTCTGTGTATGTCCACAACGCAAATGGCATTGGCATCTGCTTGCAAATAATGAGAGCGGTCAATCTAAATTAGTAGTTCTTAACCATAGCAAATTATGTCAAATTCCTATGTTATTCTGCAAGGTTTTGCCAAACCTAAACATTGAGGACAACTAAAATGAAAGGATATAAGAAAATGAAATTGTTGCATTATTGTAGAGCATAGATTGAGTTTTTAGGTTATATTTAAAACACATACACTAGAAGATGGATATACCTTTCCTGCCTTGACTGGATCTAAAAAAGCTATCATAAAAAAGTACACCAAAGTATGTGGGATATGTTATGATTTAACAAGCTTTCCTTGAAGTGTATGAGAACTATGTTATACCCGCCATTGACAGGTTTAAGTAACCTATATCTGTGCATATAGTTGATCTATTTTATGAGTTGTCTAAACAAAGTTTATTTTACGAGTTGTCAAACCCCTTGTAGGGCTGCATCAAACACCAGGGTTTCGTATAAAGCTCAGCTTAAGAAATGCTGGTCCAACTAAATTAATATACCAGTACATAAAATATAGAACTGAATTAAGTTGGAATAATTAACACTGTTTGTGAAAAAGAGCAAATTGTTTTCACACAAGTACCTTTGACAAGAATCGGCTTTGCATTTTGATTTTACATCTGACCAAGAGAGATTTTCAGCTTCAGGTAATGCAGACTTTTGAAAAAGCAATCCACCAGTTTTTTTCAAGGGTGCTGTTTTCATTACTTCACCTTTGTTTGCAACAATCCAATACAGAGGCAAAACCATAAGCCAGTACATGTAGGGTGATCTCGAAGAAAGTAGAGACTTGATTCGACAAAACATGTTCAATAGAGACTCACATACCACAGCACGGGAACTTTAAAGATAAAATACATATATATGCATTATTCTAATTACTCCAGAATATGATATTACAGTTTATACAGTGCTAGCAGGACAATCTCCATTTTATCATTATATAAAATATGCCCAGTTTATTACAGTATCAGAGCTAATTGCCAATCATATCTTGTCATATGAATTTTGCTGAATGTCCTGCGACATAATAAGCTCACACTAATTTGAACAAGATTTGAGGATGATTTAGAAACATTCAATATGCAAATTCCCAGACAATTCATACGAGTAGATTTTTTGATATTTCTTCGCTTTGTCTACCTACGGTACTTTGAATATATTTTCTGCATATTTTAATGTCATACAATGCAATCAATTATTAGCTTTTATTGCAGAATATCTTTAGAAGGAAGAAATAATTCCCACAGAAAAGAAGAAAATGATTTAAATTATTATTAAAACATAAACAGATTGTAAAATTTGACACAATTATGTTTTAATAATATATACTGTATATATACAGCAATATGATTGTCTAATAAAACTTACCTGCGATCTTTGGCATTAAATTCCTGATTGATTAGTTGGAATAGTAATTTTTGCCTTTGTTCATCAAGGAAATGTGTGCTCAGGCTTTCACACAAAAATGAAAAAAATTTCTCATCTTGTACAACATGTTTTGAAGTCTTAAGTGATACAGTCAAACTCAATCCTGCCAATATCAATTTTATCTTATCCAACTCATCTTTTGCATCTGAATGACAAGTCACCAGCCAATGCATTGCTCCAAGTTCAAATAACTGAAAAAATAATCATTCAAGTAAATACTGTTAAAGATTTATTGGCAAATAATACAAGAATAATATAACTCTGGTACAAACTTCTGTTGATAGGTTGATTTGATGGAAGGATGACATTTTCCAGCCCTTCTTCATTTGATTTACCCAGGCATATACTTGGTCTTTAATCGAAATATATTCAAGTTTGTCTCCATTATGCTTAAGCGACATACTATCCAGTTTTGGTAGAAAGTAATGTATTTTTCTTGACATATCTTTAGCCAATCCATCCCTAGTACGCTGAGATTCGAATACTGGTACATCAAGAATGTACTTGACATCTGTAGAAAAAGTGAGAACACACACAATTATAAAAACAAACAGATATTTCAAATGACATAAGAAGCAAAATTAAATTTTTTAAAAGTAAATAAATGAGAATGCAGGTTTATTTAATATAATTCGCCTTCTCCATTACATTCACAATAATGCAGTCATGTAAATGGACAAAAAGAGACTACAACTATTATTTTAAATTGCCCCATATTCAACAAATATTCAATTAGGTAAATTTTTTTTTGAATTTTGACGCTCACAATTTACATAAAGTCGACTTAGTTTTCTTTAATTTTTATGTATTTTTAAAAACCGTTTCAACAAAAATCGACCGCACTTCGGAAACGACCTTTGATGACGTAATACTGAGAATGCGTTCCAGTATTGTACTGATTGAACATTAGCGAGTATGGTGTTTAACCTCTGTTTTTGCATTTGATTCTAGTTCCTCAGCGATAGATTAATAAAGATTGAAACAGTAACGCAATGTTAACCACAAATGCTAATGCATAGGGAGCTTTGACTGTAAGGAGATTGAGCAATAAAGTTTCAATAGTATTTCAAACTGATGTTCATTTCACATTATTATGCAACAAGACAGTGTTGCATGCTGTCTGGTATTATCATCCTGAACTCCTGTATCTCAATTCTATCAATTAAATTTGTATACTATTTGTTTTCCATTTAACACTGGTATTAACAACACAGCCCAGCTGTCACCAACTGGTACACTTTGAACTGATCATGATTAAATGATGTTGGACTATAATTAGAGAGAAGAAAAGATTCCCAATTTCAATCCTGTGTAATTTCCAGGATAAGAGAAATGTTTGGGTCCATCCAGAAATAAAGTTGGCCCTTGCATATCAGTGGATAAAACTCATACAGAGGCTTGTTTGGAGTAAAATGAGTGAAATGAAAGGTCAATGTAATATTTATAACACGGGCATTAAATAATGGAGATTCGTGAGGGAACATTTAATGACATGAATGAATTACCGCTAGTCATTGAAATTACCGCTGATTTTAATTTAGTCTATTTATATAACGACAAAATAACAAAAGGAAAGGGTTAAAATCAAAAAAAGCAGACAAATCCTGCATAAAGTATAAAATATAGATGAGTTTACTGTGATTTCTAATAATGCAACGATATTATTTGAAGATATAGGTATGTATTCAAACCACGTCAGTGTTTGCCAAATGCAAAGCACAAAAGAACCATACTATTCAAAATAAGATCACAGAATGCTATAATTTCCTTTAACATAATGCAAAATTACACCGTCGAGTTCTCAGTACTACGTCATCAGTGGACCTTACTAATTTTTGGTCGATCTGCAGGGTTGACTTTTAATAAAAATTTGTGTCTCACAAACGAAGTCCACTTAATGTAAGCGGTAAATGACTGCTAAAAATCTTAAAAAATTATATAGAACCAAATTTGTCACAAATATATTTCCGTGATAACCCATCTTTGGGTTAAGTTTTCTTCAAGAATAAAATGTTACACAAAAATGCTGGTGATATGTATGTCATTGGTAAAATATGAGAATGTTGTTCTATAAGCTGAAATGAAGAATCTTTTACACAATATCTCTATACTAGATTAGCTGTGAATACAATATTTGTCAAATAAAAATGAATATTATTGTTATTTTAGTGCTGAGAAATTCATCACAGTTCAATATAATTCAGATTTAACATCATTGAAATAACTTAGAATCAAACACAGAGCAACACTTGCAAGCAGGGACCACAACTTTTTGTTTAATGGAAGGCAAGAAGCACATTTTATATGTTGTTCCATGAGATCAGTTATCAAATTATCCTCACTTTTCATTCTTGGGAAAACACACATATATAAATAAAAATGAACGTTCTTACCTTTGTCTAAAGCAATAGTTCGATTTACAACCTCACCATAAGAAGAGCATGGCAGAACTTCCCAATACTGGTGTGGATGACAATAGATAAAGTATTTGTATTTAAACACAAGTTTATGATCAGGTTTGGGCAAAAATACAAAGAAGAATTCTCTTTTTCTGTAGGAAAAAAAGTAAAGTAATCAATGATACAGTACTTGAACCCCGTAAAAATATACTTTCACTAATTCAAGGTTACCTATCATACTCCATTTTAATTGGTTGCCACTTGTACAAATAATTTTCAACCAAGTACAACTGAAATGTTCCATCACAAGCAGCTCGAATTTCAAGTGAATCTAAATAAGTCAATATTAAAAAAATATGATACTTATTGATAATATAAGAGTAAGATGGTGATCTGTTTTTTTAAAAGCTTCAACAACTCAATAGCAATGCATACAAATAAATTTTTATTGTTGACCTCAGTTCAGTGTCTCTATTTAAGTAGGTACTATTATTATAAAATGTAGGCCAGGCGCCCAGCTCTTTATTTTTTGTCTATGAAAAAGTTTCAATCATGGCTGAACGGCTGGCTGGAAAATCTATATTAGCCTAGTTTGCATATTTCTAATATTATTAGGTATATATTTCACAAATAAGCAAATTGATATTACTATGGAGCCAAAAGTCTGCTTATGGTATTATTTGGTATTATTTAGTCAAAAAGGTTGACAGCGGAAAAATGTCAGATAATATGAAATACAGAATAGACAATACCATCTTCCTTTGGTTTAGTTAAAATAACTAAATCTTCAAAATTAGATACAGTATCTTGAAATTCTTCATCAGCTAAAAATAAAACAAAATATTGAATTTTCATGATATTACATAGGGAGGGATATTACATATTGACGTTTCTTTCTTGAAATGTTCAGAATAATATTAACCAAGGTAAATTGTGGTTCATTACAACATAAGCATGATGGGGACGAGATAGGATTTACATATTTATCCTGAGAAAACCGATAAGATTTTAAATCAAGTGGATTTGAATCAATTTAATTCAAAACTCTGAAACCTCAATCTTAATGTAAGACAGGAAAATAATTAAAAATTGTGGTTGGCTAGCAACATCCAATTTTCCAATGAAATCAATTTGTCAATCAATGTGTATGAAGTAAACTACCATTTTTTTTGCAGATAAAGAAATTTTCTGGCCCCAATTTTCTAAATCTCTGATTTTCAAAAAATTTCAATTTTATTATTCATAGATAAAATATGACATAGCTCTTCCATGAAGGGGAAATGACAGGTTTGTATGATTTTTGTTTAGCCTTAACTTTGTATACCAATTATTTAGGATTTCCTACTTTCTTGTTTGTTAAAATATGCTTTTTTAAGTCACCGAAAAAAAAAACGATTTTTATTAACTTTTTAAACAATACCAGTTTGCAGTTTCTAGAAAACAAAACCAGGGGAATATTAAAAAGATTTTGTTATTGTATTACAAAATAATTAAATAAAAAATATCACCAGTAAAGAATACTAAACCAAACAAATGGAACATAGCAAGGAATAGAAAACAATATAATAATGCCAGGTCCTTTCACCTTCATTTGACTGTAAATTTTCTGAAAATGTTAACCCATATTTAGTCAAGTCTGGTTCAGTCTTTCTTTCTTCTAGATTATGATCTGAAAGTTAAATAAAAAAAAAATTTAATTAAAGTAAAAGTTCAACCTGTTTCTGTCTCATGTTACATAATGTGCAGAACTCTTGTAAGAGTGAAAGTCATGATTTTATAATGGATACTACAAAAGATTTGCCTATAATTTACTCTGGTGCTTCTGTTGAATAATATACTTGGATTTTAATAAAATTGTCATGTTGCATAATTAGTTATTGAAGTGATGCAAGAAATATAGCTGTTCATTTAATTTGATAGATTTGTATGTATCGAAGAAAAATAATAACCTTTTATATAATTTTATGCAAAGTCACAAAAAGATGGGAAGGGAAATTTGTTAAATTTAGCATTTTCACCTGCTCATTTTTCATAACCTTATACATCTTATGATATGCTGGAACCTTGGTAGTAGGACCACTGTTACATGGCCTTGTATAAACAAATTAGGTTTAACACCTAAAGATTGTATTGTTCATTTTTTCTGAATATCCTCTAACAAAAAGTAAGTCGTATAAAAGATTATCTTTGCAATTTTTTCTTTCAAACCTGGAAGACTAACATTAGTATATAACATCATGCACATCCAGTCATATATAATAATTTCTTGAAGTAAAATATAAAATCTGAACGAGGTTCAATCTCAATATGCCTGTAAACATCACTTGACCTCTTTACCTCAAAATCACTGCATTTTTAAATTGCATATTTGTTGATTCATCCATGCCCCTACCCCCAAAAAAATATGATAAAAATCATCAGAGAAGGAGCAATTAATTTAAGTTAATATCGAATATACTTTTATGCCAGTATGAGAAATAAACTTGACCAGTAGCAAATTACAGAGACATTATTATTTTAAATATTATTATGTTATCTCGACTCGGCGGTGTGGCACATCATGCTAAGCGTTAGGAATATGCTAGCCACGGTTGATAATGTGCAAGAGGATTGCTGGACTCCTCGCCGGCGTAGGGTGGTTCACGTAACCGCTGGTCGTTTACGGCTTCCTCCACCATCAAGCCCATGCATGTGAAAACTGGCTAACTAATCCCATACCTGACATGAACTGGTAACCGGACGAGAGGCCACGGTTCGCCATATGATTAAGCCATCTTATTGGCTTTCCTTTCACCTGGGATAAAAATGTGAATCATGCCCCCTAAACAAACACTCAAAAACATAGCTTACTACTAAAAAAGAGTTACAAGCATAGCTGACCAGATATTGTCATGAAACACCGTTTAGTTTATACCGTCAGAAAATGAAACTAGTTCTTACAAACTTTCACAAGGACATTGGAACAAATTTCGATTACAAATAAGTGGTCAATTCAGAGTAACGACCACTAAGAACAACATGATAAATGCGGAAAAAATTCTTTGAGATATTCAAGAATACAATCAGGAAAACAATATTCAAAGTAGCAGCACAATTTATATGAAACTACATTGCACCTCATACACTAAAGCAGAGCACTACGTCGGATTTTTTATGATGAAGAATTCCATATAAAGACATTATAATTCATTTATTACTTTTGCTGACACTGTTTTCACCTAACACACTATTTGGCAATTGTTTACGATTACGCCAATCAAATTATTTGTTCGCTAAGGGGCTCATGCAAACAAATTCGAAACGATACATAGACACAACCCAATCATGTCCATTCGATGTAAACAGTTTGGAATTAACCGCACCAGCAGTTCGTTTGTTACATAAGTTAGACGACACCCGAACGATATACGTTCGTGTTTTTAGTTTGTAATATGTTTGTGTGCGTGAAATGGGTGAACAGGCACATGCATTTCTGCATGTTTTAAACCTTACTAAAGGTTTTGCCTGTTGTCCCGAGATTTCCCCCATTATTCTGTGTGTTCATTCTTATGTTTTGTGTGCTCATTGTTTGTTTTGTGTATTTTTTTTAGGGGAGATCAAAATAAACTTATACTTATAATTAAAACTCATGAAACGAAATTTTAAAAGACAACAATAATATTTTACCTTTATTTTCATTTGAAGATACCGGTATGTTTGATCCAGATTCAATTGATTTTCGTCCAATTTTTCTGCCTTCAAAATTTTGATCTGCGTTTCCTAACGAAATAAATGAATCAGATTAAACTCAATCCAAATGTATACTGAAGAGTGATATAAATGAAAACCTTCATTCTTTGTTTTTCTTGATGCTGTGCCACTAAATGGAGAATTGGATGAGCTTTTATTCTTAACAACTGATTGTTTATCTCCAGCTCTTTGGCTTGTCGCTTTTGATTTTCCTGTTAACAAATTAATGCTTATAAGCTTAACAAAGAAGTTTTCAAGCCAAATAAGGTACAGGCTTTTATAAGTTTATATTTTTGAAAAAAAATAATAACATTCTAATTTGTCTGTTTATCATACATAAATAAAACCCAAATGCATATGACTACTAAATTAATATATACTGAATATATATTCTTATTATGATATATATATTATTCTGTGACTACCAAAGCTTATATATCTACTTTAACATCTCAAAACATAGTACCAAATTTACCAATTCCTAGGAAATCTTTTAGTTGCTTTGTTCTGCTTCCTAAACGAAATGGGAAAGTAATTATTACCGTAAGTAGTTCAGAAATATATTGAAATATGATGGAAACATGTGACACATTACAAATGCTTAAAAATCTCTTTTAGATTCAATAAGAAAGGTTAAATAACAACACACAAGACAAATATGATAGTAATCAGTATGCATTGAAGAATCCATATTGTTTTGAAATTTCCCTGAAGTATTTCTGAATATACTTTAAAAGGAATTTAAGTGGTGAATATGGACACCAATGCAAATGATACCAATACTCAGTGAATTGCCGAACGCTTTCGTCAGCCTGACGTGTTATTTAAGCCGTTTACGTTAGTGTTTTTTTCCCCTAAATCAAAAATTTCTCACAAATTTATGCTACTGCCAACAATGATAAGTATTTATTTTTGTACTCACGCAGATTTGTGAATCCGGTGATAGTTATTATACATTTATCAGCGGCGGGATGCTAAAGACAGCTAAGGAGTGAATCCGCAACGCAAAATTTTTGATTGAAAAGCGGCAATATAAAATACCAATAAAAGAAACATCATATGCCAAATTGCGCCATAGTATTAATATCGCAACTTGAAAAAAGAATAATCAATTTATAAATCTATGTTTCCAAAATTCATACGATTCATGAAAAACTATAAAATACTTAAGGAGTAGTCATTTTCCAGATTCAAAGTGAGGCATTAGAACAAAATGCATTGCACTGAAAATTGTAAAACTTTAATAGTCCACGATGCTTTCATTCTAGTGCTACAATTTACTGAATTTACCTTTGTTGTCTGGATCAGGAAGAATTTTCTCAATAGGTGACTGATCAGTAGATAGGTTTTCTGTTTTCTTTGACATAGGAAAAGTATATCAAATATATTGTTTCTACAAAAGGATTTTGAGTTTATGCCTAAAAACAAAACTATTTTGACCAATTCACCACCACCTGCTATTGTGGTTTAAGTTAAAATTTAAAGCATGAAAATTATTGATAATCTTGGACTGGTAATAATTTCAAATATATATATTGCGCTTTTGTGTTTAAGTAATCATCATAACATCAAACTTTATTCTCTATTTTTGACTATGCTTTTCTATATAAATATCAATATCGAGTAATAACAAAAATTATACCTGTTCTAAACTGTTCATCATCATTCTTGCTGCATTTGCAAAGTTTTCCAAGGTCTTTCTGTCGTTGGTTTTCAATAGAAGTTTGAGAATTTGTTGTACATCTTCATTGCCATGCAATCTAATAAAAAATTAGGAACAAAACAACATTGGAAAAACTATGACAAACGGCAAAAAAAATCTTTATTTTGAATATTTATACTTTTCATTTAAATACTGTGCACAGTTACTTTCACTTGAATTTGCTCGGAATAACAATAAAAAATAATTTTCAAAAATACATAAAAGCAATAAAAATCAAACCTATTTATTTAACTTTCCTGCATTTCAAACTCTTTTGTATAAACTTACTTGCCAGGCCAGGCTAATTTAAACAAGGATTCGGTATATTCTGATTTTTTCAAAAATGGAATATTCTTTCTTATCCATGCTATTCCTTGTTTTTCTTTATTCTCCTTCATTGCTTTGTCATCTGGAAGTTTTTCCAGAGGCTGAAAACAATGAAAATGCTCTTTTTATAAAATCATGCTGTAATATGATCTTACTCCTAAACTTAATGACTACTGAAGTTTTTTAGATAATTAAGAAATATAAACTTCAAAATGTAATAAAATATAACAAGATACACTTTTCATAATATACCGGTAGCTATTGCTCAGCAATCAGGAACAACAATAAAAACGGCATACAACATAGGTTAATATACTAATAATTACTATTTTATGACACCATGAATAAAAGTACAATGACAACCTTTGCAAAAGTTACAACTTGCTGAATACACTTGACAAATATTTCCACAAGATCCTTATTTTTTTCCTTGGTTTCTTCCAACCACTGAATCAAATCCAAAGACCAATCGTTTTTTTCAATCAACCTGTATGAAAAAAAATGATGACAATTGTAATATAGCTTCTATCATTTAGCAAAAATATAACAACATTGTAAAGTGAATGTAATAATGAACCTGTAATAGTGAACCGTTAACAACTGATCCCATTTATCAATTTAGGATTCAGACTTAACAATAATATTTTGTCAAAATGCTTACATGCTATAAAATGACCATTTGACTAAACCAGAGATATAAAATTTTAGTGCTTTAATGCTTAATTTTTGATGTTTTTACTTCAATGTATAGGCTTGAATACAATATAATATATGATTCCCTCTTGAATTTCTAAGTCCCTGCCGATTAATATTTCTTCCACTCACAAAATAACTACAAATCTTTTAATCTTATACTTGAATCAAAATAAATACTACTAGTACTTTATTTTCAACAAGCTCAGTAATCAAATACAACCAAAATTGCAATATCATATAATATGATAAGACAATCTAAATCTTCTATAATCGAAATTGAATAAAATGTGATCCATAAATAGACTTACTTTGGCTGACTAGGCCACGTCAATATCATGAGCAGCTGTATGTTATGTATATAAGGCGTGATTTCTTCGATGGAAGAGGACAACCAATTTAGGCTCTCTTCACATTCCGAAGTAGTGCTTCCATCTGCAATGCCATTAAAGTGGTAAAAAATAATGTATAATAGGATGCGATGAATAAATTAAAATAGTATAAAATCAATAAATTAAAAGGTATATGGTTCACATTATTACCAAATATAGATTGCATTTACGACAGTATCAGTATGAACATGAGTAATTGGAGCTTGTTGGAAACAGCATTTTAAAGTGAAAGCATTTTTTACCTGATGAAGTGTTGCTGTTACTTCTTTCTGTTTTGACCAGAGCAGTTGCCTTCATTTTACCTAGAACAGATAGTATAGAATCAATAAATTAAATGATTTATAGTTCACATTATTATCACACATAGATTGCATTTACAGCAGTATCAGTATAAACATGAATAATTTAAGCTTGCTTGAAACAGCATTTTAAAGTAAAAGCATTTTTTACCAGAGGAAGTATTGCTGTTACTTCTTTCTGTTTTGACCTGAGAAGGTGCCATCATTTCAGCTGGAACAAAGATTTTCAAAACAATTTGTAAAATTGTATTTTAAAACGGTAAATAAACAACATCACAAATAGGGACCAGTATATCAGGTCAAAATTATAAATATGAAACTTTACAACCTACAGATTGCAGTTCTATGAATTTAGAGCAATTACTTCAAGTTTGCAGTCTTTTGTTCTTAACGTAGGATAACTATGGAAAAGGTTCTTCTAACTATGAAAAATTTTTAAGTTTGTGCTCTTCATTTAACTGAAGTACTTGTATTTTTTAGTTCTGCAATGAACACAAGCAGCCATATTTCCATTGCCTCTATAATTTGTTTCAGTATTGCAATCAAAATTGAAGCGACTTAGAACAAAGCACCAAACAAAATAGGAAACACCACCATCTATGCATTGTTTCATAACATTGATAATTATATTGTGTTTATCTGATTCACAACAAATATGCCAAAAGAATAATGTAGCTCAAAAGTAACAAAGCACAAATGAAGAAAAATTTATTTTATAAGACACATGTTCCAAATGAAAAGGCGCTTAGGAAAATGTTGTTTATAAAACCAAATCACAATGTTACAAACCATCCAATGCAGACTGTGCAGTTTCATTACCAACTGCAGAATCCTCTTTTTGTTCTGAAACTGCTTGTTCTGGCATGGTGTTTCCATCTGCAATGTTAAATTTCAAATATTTGTAGAAAACATTAGTTCAAAAAAATTATTTAATTTTAAAAAAGGATGAAAGTGTGAGTATAACTTTTTAATTTATTTATTTTGTACTACTTAACTACTTAGAAAGACAGGGACCAAAATTATGACTGACAGAAAAGTATATTGGAAGCAGAAGTCTATAAACAAAATGCTGCAAAATTTTGGTTTTAGTGTTTCGCACTAGGGTACACAATGCATTTTGAGATTTTGATGCACACATCAATTTGAGAGTATATATATTTCTATACTTATAATGAATAATGTTCTTATTTGAAAAAAAAAGGGAAATCATTGAATATAATAAACAGCATATTTATATGAAAAACCATGATCTCTCATCCAGTCATCAATTCATGTCAGTAATGAGAATAGTGAACTATCCTACACCAGATGATGAACAATACCTCACAGGATTCAAACCTACAAGTCCACACACATTAAGCAAAGAGGTTAAAGCAAGCTTTTGCTTTAAAATTGGAATGATGTTTCAACCAATACTAGTTTCTAATACTGCGCAGAAGCAATGATATTGGTCTTTATTAGTCTACCTCAACTTTAGGAAACTTCAATTAAAAACAAATCCCAATTCGATCTAAGCAAAGACAACAAATGGACAAATTTTTTCAAAAGGTCTATGAAATTGGAGATAACAATAACATAAAAAGGTAAATGGTAAATAAGGAATATTAATGCTTTATATAATTATTTCTCTTAGGGTATTTTTATCTGCTTTCTAAATAAAAATTTAGATGATAAATAAAACTGATGAGAGCATTCAGAAGTTTAAGTTTACAGTATATAATAATACTTTGCTCTAGCATATGCATATAATGCCTATTTGTAATATGCCTGACATAAAATACTGTACTTTTTAATTGGTTATTTTAACACAATCAAATTTACTATTTACCTTTTTGATGTGATAAAGTATTTGTGCCAAGGTTTTGTTTGCTCGATGAATTGATAGTGAAATTGTTAGAAATTGTAGTTTCTGATATATTTACAGAGAAAAAATTATTAATATATATCCGTTAACTTAGTAAATTGAATTTAAAAGAACATATATCATAAGAGTATAAAATACTGCATAAACACGCTAACACAATGCTGTTTTTCCTTCATAAAGCAAAAAGTTTTATAATTATAATATTGAAAGCATTCTTTTTTATCTTGACTGTGAATTAGTGAGATGATTGAAATTAAAAATTAAAAAAAAAATCAAATTATTAATATGAAAATACAAATGTTAATTCCATTGAATACAATATCATACCAGAAAGACTTGTCCATGCCCTTTGCACATCGAACATTTGGGATTTGCTACTGACGGATAAAGACCGATGAGCCTCTCTGTCATCTTGTAATATGCCAATATCACTTTTTTGTAGAGTTGCTATTAGAACACATGTATTTTATAATTAAATTCCAGCTTAATTATTTCAACTTAACAACTAACAGATTGCATTTTTTTATGAATTTGCAGCACATTCTTCATATTTCTCATCTGGACAAGGCCCAGTACATTTGATGATGGATAAGCGAATGAAACTTTTATTAATCTATCTGAAATAATAAATTATTTAGGTTCAGCCATTCTTATGCTAGGTCTTCGTGTCATTTTAGGGCCAGGAAATATGATTTTGAGGTAACGTAAAGAGTGACAATAAAAGACTGTAGATTTCAAATGCATGATAACAGGAACAAGAAGCTACAGCAGTAGTGCCTGTTTGGTATTTCTTTTGCAAAATCAGGGATTGGAGCCATCCAACATTTATTTTATATGACACATTTCTAATGGTAAAGGCATTATAGCAGTGTTGTCTATAAAACAAGATCATAATGTTTCAAACCATCCAATGAAGACTGCACAGTTTCATTACCAACTGCAGAATCCACTTTTTGTTCTTGAACTTCTTGTTTTGGTGCAGTATTTTCATCTACAATGTCAAATTTTTAAAATTTTCTAGAAAACATTGGTTGAGAAAATGACTCAATTTTAAAAAAGGAGACCAATTTATGACTCGCAGAAACGTGTACTGGAAACAGATGTCCTTTAGCCCTCTAAATAAAATTCTGCAAGGGTACGCAATGCATGGGACAATGCACTTAAAAATTGACAACGATTTGTCAATTACATAAATTGAAAAGTGTATGTATTTCTATGCTTAAAAGACAATGATATGATGAAAATAAAGCAGAATTATTAAATTATGGAAAACCATGACCTCTCATCTAGTCAAATATATTTCTGTAATGTTTCGTCTGCGCAGGGTCAGACTTCCTCAGGCATACATAGTTCAACTATAACCATAAAACCTTGGTCAGACAAAAAATTACAGAAATATATTTGTGTTAGTGTGCAGAAAGACTGTTGAATCAAATATACTATTTACCTTTTTGAAGTGATTTAGTATTTGAGCCAAGGTTTTGTTTGCTTGACAAATTCATGGAGGCATTGTTAGAAATCGTAGTTTCTGATATATTTACAAAAAAAAATATTAGCAGGATATTACCGATAACTTAAAATTACATTGAATTTAAAAAAAACATAAGGAGAATATGTGTAATTTAGTTTATATTCATATGAGCCGTTATCTAAATTTACTAACAGATTATTAAATCATCAAATTTTATTTAAAATGAAAGCATTCTTTTCCTTTTTGACTATGAATTAGTAAGGTGATCAAAATTGAAATTTTAGTAACAATATATAATTATTAATATTAAATATAAATGTTAATGCTGTTGAGTACTATATATATTACCGGGAAGGCTTGTCCATTCCTTTCGTACATTTGGCATTTGGGAATTGCTACCCACAGATAAAGATTGATGAGCTACCTTATCATCTTGTAATATGTTGATATCACTTTTTTCAACAGTTCCTAATAAATCACATAGGTACATATTTAAATTAAAGGTGTGTTAAATTATCTCAGATCTGTTTAAATTCAGTTACAATACAAGTTAGCTTGATTGACAGTAATAAAAAATTATTAACAGTGATAAACAAGGTTAATAAAAAAAGCATACCAGTTTGAATAAAGTGCTTTGAAACCAGCATGTCTTCGCTTCTAGAATGTTCTGTAAGTTCCGTATGTGGGAGTCTATTTTGGCTGCTGTTGTTTGATGAATAGGATCCTAAATATAAAATTCGGTATTCTTTGTTTTATTAAAAACAGAAAAAAATTAAAAAAAATTTTTTTTACACAGCTGTATGTCAGTATCAATGTTCCGAACAACTTTAATATGAATTAAGCTGAGGTAAAGAATTATGGACCAAATATGATACAGAAAATAAAACAATCCTTATTGAATTGTTTTTAACTTGAAAATTCGGAATTATTATTTTCTAATAATTGAAAATAAAATATTCCTTATACGTAGAATTTTTAAAGCCAACATTACCAGATGCAATTTCTCTTCGAATATCCCCTTGATCTTCTTTTTTTCCATTTTTTAAAGAAATCACTGAGAAAAAACATAAGACTGTGAATGATAGAAACCAATTCATGTTCATTGAAATAAGATAAGATTAAAAGATTCTGTTTTGACTAATGACTCTATGAATCATCTTATTCCAAGAAAATCATGAAAATTAAACAATAGCTGGGTTGATGACTAAAATCTTCAAAATAGTTCGCGATCGACTGATAATAATAAGATCATACCCTAACATGCATTAGTACTAAATATGCATGTAACTGCACACACGCATACAAAAATTTTACCCCTGCCAATATGCTTGGCTCTGTGGGCGCGTTTTTAATGAAATCGTCACAAAATTTGCATTTTTCATGTTTCATTCAATTTGTTCATGTAATTGTACCCAGAGTAAATTTTTATCATTTATTTAGGATTTATTCGAATCATACAATTCAGATCAGCCTGCCTGCTTAATTTTTAGTTGTAAGTGTTGAAAATTCCTAAAAAGACCTTTCCAGGTATCTATGTATTATCTGAACAACGAAAATAAATAATCTCGAAACCATGACTGCCCAAACTTAAGTATCGAATTTACAATTTCCCCCAAATCCGATTCGTCATGTGCTTGAAATAATAAAAAATTGAGCATTCTGATGCCACTACTATGTTGCAAATACTTGCAAATCGTTGCAAACTTCACCACAGTACTCTTGGAGTGAGACAATAACTACCGCATACTGCAAAAGTTATTGTAAGATTGTCTCTCAGTCAGGGCACACAATCTTAGGGGCACGTTCATTTCAGTAATGTATTCGTTATGTTTAAAAACACACTACAAGCTCTACCTTAAACTGGTTCAGGGCAATTTTGGGGGGCATGTTATTAAATTCACTCAGCATCAGACCCGATTGAGTACTCAAAAAGTGACGACCGACAGGTCGATCGCGATCAACGTGTTGGCCAGCCCTGATATATAGGGTTATGTAACTAGAATTAAATATAAACAAAACTCTGCTCAAAAATATCAAACCTTTTGCTGAATTATAAAGAATTATAAACCAAGGAAAGTTTTGTGTTCATGTTTCAAATTAGTGTCAGAAAACCATAAACACATACTTTCCCATTCAAAATCTCCGCTTCTAGAAGGGAGAGAGGATGTTTCAAATGAGGAAACTTCCTGTAGTATCTCCTCCATGGCTAAAAGTAAAATTATTTTGTGATGACAATTATTTGTAATATAATTTAAAAGACCTGAATAGCATAAATGGTGATTACAGAGGTCTATAGTTAAACTATTGAATTTTCTGGAAATTCAGTAAAAATCATAACTAATAATAAAATTACTAAAGTAATGGTACATTTTGGATTTGTCTACAAATAGATAAGTTAGATAGATAGTTATAATAGATAAAAATAAAGATAGGTTAATACGAAGAAAGTTATCATAGACAGTTACTTCTATCTATCTGCATCGGTGTTACTTGTTCAGATGTTGCGCTCTGTGCTGGAGGCTCATATTGATGTTGATCTGAAAAAAATATGAGCAAATATGTAAGCATCTACTTTAAAGCCGAACAACAATTATGCATTGTCATTTATTTTTTATACAAATAATAATTTCTTTAATGAAAAAATAAAACAGAATTTATACCCAATTTGTCATTTTTTCGAAAAGTGTTCAAATTTGATTCTGAATCATTACATTGATACCCTGATTGCTTGATAGGTGCAGGAACTTGATCATTCAATTTGATATCATCTAAAAATTCAGATCATGTTAGTAGCCCAATTAAAATATATTCTGATAAGTTAAACAAGGTCAAGGATACTGTATACTGAAACCACTGAATAAAATGCATTCTGAAATTGAAATAGTTAAAATCAATAAAGCAACAATACATGTATTATTCATGTGTGCATTATAAAATAAATACTAAAAGATAAATTTTAGGAAAAATATAATCTGATGCAAAATTTGATTAAAAGTATTGCTTTTTATATTAAGGAAAGTCTACAGTGTTTTTCATATATATTTTGTAAACATCATTTTTAAAGCAAAGATGTGTATTAGAAATGTCTATTTAAAATTTTATAATGCACTGTTGTTTGAGTTACAATGAATATGTTTACTTGAAACTGATTCATCATCAATAAATTGAAATCCAGATGGATTGAAAGACATTGGTTCTTGAGCATGTGCTTTTGCACTTCTGTCGATTTCTGCAAGGAATATCATCAGTTTTTTATATTAGCCAATTACTTGGTTATCTATTAATTATTACTAGTTAACTGGTTATATTTTGTGAGAAGTTTTACAAAGGCAGGTGTGCAAAAACACACAACACTATAAAGATTATATATTTTAACAGATGCCCAAGAATCAGCCTTTTCGTTATTACCATTTTCTTCATCTACTTCCATGTCTTTCTGTTCCTCTTGTGCAGTGTTGTCAGAGTTTTTCTAAAACATAAGAGTTTATAATAAAATGAAGTGTACACTGTTTATGACATATTATTTACAGCATTAGTATTTCAAGTTATAATGAGATGAATGCTCCATAACTGTTAGTATCACAAGTAAATAGAGTTTAAATGATCATAATAAATATATTTGAAACCTGATTTGCTATTGAGTGCTGTGCATCCTGAACAAATCTGTCTTCAGTATATGTGTTTTCAGTCATTAATATTTGATAAATGAATTCCAATGGCCAATTATCCACTGAAAACCTAAATGAAATTATTAAAGGAAGCTATACTATGAAACTGACGGATTAGTTTGAAAGTACTGCATTTCTGCTATCATTCATAATGAGATTCAATCCTTTTTCCAAGTTCCTGATAACTTGATCAGCCCAACTTTCCTATTGTGTTGAGTACAGTATTGTTGATGTTTCACGTTGAGTCCAATTATGGGTTTCAAATATAGTCCACTTTCAGTACCGGTATGGCTTAATCGAAACAAATGGCATATAAAGTATAAGTGAAGAAAACATAAATAAACACATAAATGGAATTTTAAACTTTTGAAAAATAAAATGTGTATTTGTACATGGGTGGGGAAACTCATTAACCCAGCTTAATTGTACAAACAATCATGCACTCAAGCATTTTCACCAATCAAGACTGAGTTCGAATATAGCCAACCAGATTATGGTTTTAGACAATTGGACTTGGTCTATATTAATTTCAGAATCACTTGGATATATCACATATGCGAGTTTTTAATAGCATGTTTTTTTTCTTGCGTTATTGAATAATGCTTGTAAATTATTGTACCCTTGGGACAAAGTTTGTGCAATCTGCTTCATTTCTGATGAATCCAATAAAATGTCCCATGATATAATTATCCATTCCAACGATTCACTTATTGTGGGCTTTTCTATCATTTTAAGAATTACTTCTTTGACTTTTTCATTTCCAGGAAAATCTGAAAAAATATTATATATAACATAGGTAGATTCCGGTTTTATTTTAAAGTCCTTCCCCCCGTAGAATTTTTTTTATTTTTTAGTATTATATGAAGCATTTGATAAAGCATCAGCCTACAATTCTAATATAACAAGCAATAAATATTTGATTATTTGTTGTCTAATAAGAGTATATTTGAATCAATTACTCGCAGATATATAAAAAGATGGGGAAAAAATAAATTAAATTATTAACTCACAATTAATACATGCCTATTGAACCACAATATAAATTTTCTCACATAGATAAAGAATTGGTTGAATATTATTGTATTACCACCAATGTTTGTTAAATTACCTCCATCGTTGCATGCTTCTTCTAAGCCTTTCTTTTGATTTTCTGATGATAGAGCAATTTCAAAACATTTGTACAAAGCTTCATCGAATTTTTCGCCATCAATCAAGTCCACTATACTTTTTCTTTGGGCTGAAAAATTGCATCAACATTTTTTTTATTTGAAACATAATTTGACAATAAACCTAATTAATATTACTATGATTTCTACAATTTTATGCTGTATTTCAATAAGCAGGTACACCAAGAAATTACGTTGATTAAAGTATTAAATGAATGTAAAATTACACAAATATTTTATGACTTCAAGCGACTAACTTGTACAAACCTCTCGATATCACTTCACAATCTTTCAAAAGAATGACAAAATTCTTGATTAATTTCTCTTCGATACATTTTCGAATTATCGTTGAAAGGCAACAATATCGAATACGTTCAGACATCTTGATCTCAGTCTTGTTTAATGCCATGCAACTAGCCAACTCAAGCAACTAGCAAAACACATTTTGTTGCAATCACAGCTAGGACTGTCGAAAATATAAATAACATTATATATACAAATTTTTAATGCTTGTTTTATGCTTATTAATTTCATGCTGCTTCTCGCCTGTACGAATGGCTTATGTGTCCTAATTATAAATTCTCTCTGAAACCCATGGAAGCCCTCTGTACAGCTTTCTGACTACACTAATCAAGTTATGGCAACAATTTCTCACACGTACTGCCATGATAATAATATGAACTTTCATCATGCATATATATATAAAAAATTATACATACAAAAAATATAATAAATTATACTCATGGAATATGTACAGTTTTTTACATGAGAAATTTCATGTTTGTTGCCTTTAACATACAAGCTATTTTCAAAAATCTGATAGAATACACATTTCTTGAGGTTTTGTCCATGTCATGAAAGCAGGTACCATTACCGATACACGGATATGAACAATTACTGTATTTCAAAATCTCTAGAAATGAACGCGCCGCTTCAAAAGACGACGATCACAAGACAGAGACAAATAAAAGGCACCTACAATATTAGGTTACCCATTACTTCCCCTTTTTAGACCAATGACTACATTGCCTCGCGCAGAGATAAAGGAGTGGGTGTGTAAATAAATGTGCGGTAAACGCAAGAGCCGTATCGACCACTCTCGTAAAGCTTGCCCATTCTCAAGCATGGGGCGATGACAAAATGACTTCCGCGCACATACGCTATACGGAAAGAGGTTAAAACTTCCGCGTAGTATAATAAGCTCAAACGATAGATAGTTAGATAGTTTATTTCGAAAACTCCATAACAAACCTAAATTTAAAATGGAGAATTCTGGAGGGCAAGCAAAACCTACAAAAAAGTTTAAAACATGAAGTATCTCATGTGCCTGCCCACCAGCACGCACACAAAAACACAAGCCCAATTAAATGAGGCTTGGGCCAAACTTAAAAAACAAAATACACGATAGTAATAAACTTTCGGGCTGTTGTACTATATTATATTCCAATACGCAAAAGCAAAATTGTCTAGCAAAGGCAGTTGAAAATGGCCTTTTTAGATATTAAACTTAGTTTTATATATAATTTTATTCAAAATACTTTCTATCCAATTAGACCAGTGATAAATTGCAGCCCATGTGAGTCTAATTCCAGGTTGTATTTAATACGGTTACAACAACGTATTGGGTAAGGCAAAATATTTAACGAAAGCAAATATGATTCGTCTCGCTCTGCTGCTCGTGACAAGCAACCTCCGTGTGAAAGATAATGGATAATATGTGAAAGATAATGGATAATGTATTATGTTCGTAGAACTCCCTGAGGCTCGCACGAAACAATTGGTTTCACAGAAGGTGTTTTCAGATTGGGTGGGTGTTCACTGCGCCACTATTACGTTACCATTGCAAAGAGAGCCAATATGAACAGTACAATTTTTGTTTTCATAAATCACAATGCAAATTGGGGGTTCAATTCTAACAAATTACAATTTTTCACTTGGGCTATAATATTGCATATTGAAAATAACAACTTGGTGTGCTCTCAAGTCATATAATGAATTCAATTTACTACGCAAGTTTCTTAGTTTTATAACATCTTGGCCTGACTTAAAACCGATGTCGACCACCCTTGTCTATAGTTTTATTCACATTTTATACCCAAGTATATGAATGTATGTATGTTCGTCTGTTCTATTATAGTTCCAATTTCATCTCATTCAACAACTGCCATCATATGCAGATAGCGTCTTTATTAATCATTTGGAATATGTCGCAATGCCATAGTGCCCAAAGCAGGCGCTACCCGATGATCTTAACTTAATGAAATCAATGATAAAGGGTCTTAGTGGTGGTGAAATGAAGTATGCGATTGGTTTCTTCTGAGATGTTGGAAATTTATCTTATTCCATTAATAAAATTGTTACATTTACTAAATATCTTGTACATTTAAACCCGTCAAGCTGACCCACAATATCGCCCAGAGATTCAGCTAAAAAAGGCCCCCCGAAGAACTCTCTTTCATTACTGCCAGTCAACTTGGATGCTCACATTCAGCTAATACCGAATATATATATTTACACAGTCAAAATTAAAAGTAAAAGATTCATTGGCATCAATGTTTAAATAATGAAACAAATTTTTGGGAAATATATGAGCGCACAATATATTTATGCTTGTTTATTAAATTGTTTCTAATAATAATTTCATGCTGCTCGTCTCCTGTATAAATGGCTTATATGTCCTAAATTATAAATTCTCTCTGAAACTCATGGAAGCTTCTGTACATCTTTCTGGCTACACTATTTAAGCTATGGCATCAATTTCTCACAAGTACTGACATGATAATAATATGAAACTTTCATCAAGCATATCAAAATATAATAAATTAGACTCATGAAATATGTACATTTTGCCTCATGAGAAATTTTATGTTTATTGTCTTTAACATTCAAGCTATTTTTCATTAAAATACACATTTCCTGAGTTTTTTTTTTCACGTCAAGCAACCAAACATACCTTATCCAATAAATGAAAATCAACAATTACTGTATGTCAAAATCTCTAGAAATGAACGAGCCGCTTCCAAAGACAACGATCACAAGACAGAGACAAATAAAGGGCACCTACAATATTAAGTTACCTATTACTTCCCCATTTTGGACCAATGACTACATTACTTCGCGCAGAGATAAAGGAGTGGGTGTGTAAATAAATGTGCGGTAAACGCAAGAGCCGTATCGACTACTCTCGTAAAGCTTGCCCATTCCCAGGCATGGAACGGTGATAAAATGCTTAACCGCGCGCATACGCTATAAGGAAAGAGGTTTAAACTTCCGCATAGTATAATTAAACGATATTATATTCCAATACGCAAACACAAAATTGTCTAACAAAGGTGATTCTCAATTAAAATATGGCCTTTTGAGAAAATAAACTGACTTTTATATATAATTTTATTCCAAACACTTTTTGTTCAATTTCACTTTCCGCGCGAGTCTGATTTCAGTTTGTATTTAATATGATTACAGCAATGTATTGGGTAAGGTGAAATATTTAACAAAGGAAATATTATTCGTCGCGCTGTGCTGCTCGCGACAAACAACCTCAGCGCGAAGGTAAATGGATCAAGTATTAGGTTCGTAGCACATCCCGATGCTTGCCCCAGTGTATTTAATACGGTTACAGCCATTAATATGAAATATTAATTGAACGAAGAGCAAATATGATTCGTCGCGCTCTGCTGCTCGTGACAATCAGCCTCTGCGTGAATGGCAATGTAACATGTATTCTGTTTGTAGTACCACTCTTTGATGCTAGCACGAAACAGTTTGTTTCACAGAAGGTGTTTTTAGATTGGGTGTTTACTGCGCCACTATTACGTTACCATTGCAAAGAAAGCCAATATGAAAAGTGCGATTTTCTTTTTCAAAAATCACAATGCAAATTGGGGGTTCAATTCTAACAAATTACAATTTTTCACTTAGGTTGTAATATTGCATATTGAAAATAACAACTTGGTGTCCTCTCAAGTCATACATTGAATTCATTTTACTACGCAAGTTTCTTAGTGTTATGACATCTTGGCCTAACCTAAAACCGACGACGACCATCGTTGGCTATAGTTTTATTTACATTTTATATCCAAGTATATGAATATAATATGTTTGTCTGTTCTATTATAGTTCCATTTTCATCTCATTTAACAACTGCCATCATATGCAGATAGCGCCTTTATTAATCCTTTGAAATATGTCACAATATAGTTGTGCCCAAAGCAGGCGCTACACGATGATCTTGATGAAATCAATGATAAAGGGTCTTAGTGGTGATGAAATGAAGTATGCGATTGGTTTCTTCTGGGATATTGGTAATTTATCTTATTCCCTGAATAAAATTTTTACATTTACTAAATATCTTGTACATTAAAACCCGTCAAGCTAATCCCCAGGACCCACAATATCGCCCGTTGATTCAGCTTAAAAACATGGCTTACAAACACATTTTTTCATTACCGCCAGTAACCTAGGAACCAAAGACTCACATTCACCCAATACCGAATTTTTGAAAATTTGAAATCCTAGGTCAAAATAATGACAACTGAAATTAACAATATTATGAGAGATTCAATTTAATAAGGGGTTGATAAAAACTTCCAATATGTTGCAACAACACACGTAAACTGCCATTCTCGGCATTGTAATGCGAGATCAAATTGCGCAATAGGAGCAAAGATTAGGTTCTCGTACGAATAGTTTTCAGTGAAATTGGCATGATAAATGACATTACTTATATGTATAATATGTAGTTATTGTTCAAGTTCAAGGAAATATTACAAACAGTTAACTAGTCAAAATCATCAAATCAATATTTAAACAGTTGCCAAGGCACCCATTGCTTCTGTTTTTTATATCCTTGTTGGACTTCACAAAACCCGTTTACCCAAATCTGCTATTTGGTTTTTGCACAACAACGCTGATTTACATGAACAGATAACCCAACGTAACAATGTACGTAACACGGACTTCACGAGCCAATATAATCCTGCAATTCTAAAATGAAAGGGTCGGTTAGTTTTCCAATTAATTAAAAATGACAACAGATCTAGTCTGAAGTTCAGTGTACTATTACACATAATATAATAATACATATCAGCTAACAATTATAAAACATATTGATCATGTATGTTTCGATGCCAGCTCGACTGAAACGTAGTACTACTTGTCGATTAGAACGACTAAAAAAAACTTTATACCGTAGATTCGGCAAATTGCCAGTTGAATGCGTGTTTTCACATTGATAGTTTATAGCGTGGAATTGTTCATTGGTTGCTATTAACTCGATAATTAGTTCCATGGAACACTCTAGTGGCCGCGTTATATAAATTAACCGGAATTCATACTTATTCCAAGGTGTAATATAGCATATATGATGACCAGGCATACGTAACATATAAATATATATAAGAAACCAAGCACCTCCAGTGCAAGTAAGAACTTAAATAACGGCCGCGAGTTTTTTTTCAATAATTTGACATAGTATTTTAAAACAAGGTAATTGCGGACAATCTTTAGTCAGCAGCGGAAACGTCGATGATTTTGTTGCAGTTCCCTGCAAGCTTTGGATGCTGCATTGCAATTATATTCATCGATGAATCGCAGTTTTTGCGCAACAGGAAACCATTCAGTTTTAGAAATGGTGGAATCCAAATGGCTCTCGATAACATTTTATCATCTCAAACACAATTAATTGATTAATGCAGTCAGATTACCGTTGAGGAACTCTTTTTGCAAACAATGGCAACTAGTGTCTTATGGTCCTTCATGATGACCGTAAATGCACGTACTTTCTTTTCTTTACAAACTAAACGTTTTGTGATATCGAGGACGCCTTTGCTTTAATTAATAGTCATTAGCAAATGAAGCATGGTGTGAACCAAATAAAACAACATTTAGGTAGTAATTATAACTGAATCGTTTTTAATGAATCTTGAGGTACATAGTATCGATACCGCCCTTTAGTAAAATACAATTTAGTATTTGCAAGTGATAGTACCATTGGATAAATTGAAGTATTACCATGTTCAATTGTCTGGCGCGGTTACAACATTGTAAGAATTATGAAAGTATAGGCAGATAAAAGAATATTTAGCAATGGTCACAATGAAGTGGTCGAAGACGGAGTACTAATAAATATGCCAAGAAGAATTCGGAAATCCAGTGAATTTATCACATATTATAAATAATATTATTTTGGTTTAAATTGGCCAATTTGTCGTAATAACCAACTTGTGCTGTATTGCTGGAAAATTGTTATAACTGAACTTAAATCTAGTCGCTTATAAAAATTTTCAAAATACAAAGAATACGTGTATGTTAGCTAGCCTTTAATGAATATCTGGTTATTAGTTTGAATGGAATTTCATGAAATGATAAATACCTGTTTTCGTGAAATGCCAGCTCATTTTTTCCTACGAAGGGATGCGTTAAAAACTTGAAATTTCATAGAAATGAAAACGGAAATTAGATTTAAAGAGCATGACGCATTGATCAATCCTTGGAAGTAATTTCTCGTTAGGGAATAGGATCATACCACAATGAAATTTGCGTATAATAACTTCCTATAGTGAGCACATTTCTTGCTCTTCAGAGTTGGAACGTCAGATTCCGTGGTCTGCAAGTTTCTCCTTTTTCGCACGATTTAAATACGTTGCTTTTAAAGTACTCGCTTACTGATAAATGCCTATTTTAATAACCCGTTGCAGCATTCTATCAGACAAGTTCAAATTGAACGGTCGTTTGAGGCGTTCATTGCCAAACCAATGGCGATGAAGATATTACTTGTTATTGCGCTCGTCATTCTTGTAGTTAATAATGCTTGTTGCCAGATTCCAAACGTTTATGATTTTTGCACCGCTCTGTTGTCCGATAACAGAGAAGGTTCTGTTTCATCTGTGTGCAATCAGTGTCAAGGCATTCCCGGCAAACGAGGACCTAAGGGAAGTCCGGGTCCACAAGGCCCAAAAGGAGACCACGGGGCGGCTTCCACAGCGACCCAAGATTTAGAAGCCAGGGTGGAACAATTGGAAGGTAGAACTTATAACATTGTTAAACATCTGAGCCTCGTCAGTTTCAACGCTTAACATCAGATTTCGTGATACTCTTGGTTATTATTTTGAGCGACTATTCGAAGATGATGTGTAGTATTTCGTTTTCAGACTATTTTTTGCCTACACGCAGCTGCCCAAAATACTTTCTAATTTCGTATTTCTCCATTAGTCAATCTTTGTTTTTCCGTATTCAGAAAGAATACTTTTTCTCCAAAGGATTACAAAGAACTCTCCAGAAAAAGGTAAGAGAAAAAAGATACGATTTTGTTCCATGTAAGATATTTAATATATTAATTGTTCTGTTAATTCGAAAACGTGAATATTTGTATACTGTTACAAGGCAGGTATAATAGAATATGGTAATACTTGATTTCACGCTTCCTCGCGCAAGTCGTAATTGCTCATAAATTGGTGAACTGAGCTTTTCTTCCTGCAACGTAATACCTGGTGAGGGGAGGCGCTGTTTTTTTATTATATAAGTGAAAAGTGTTATAGTCACTTTGAATAAAACCATGATCCCTGTCCATACTAGCACGAGATGAAAATGGACGGTTGAATATCAAAGTAATAAATTTTTGCACAGAACTCCTTAACTAATACATTCATTGAAAATTAATCTTTTATATATTCAGATAATATCTGCTCTCTGGGGTTAAAAAATGGATCCATTCCAAATAGTGCTATGACGTCATCTACTGAATGGTCATCGAGTTGGGCGGCGCACGAAGGACGTTTGGAAGGTGCTAGATGCTGGATTGCTCACGGAAGTAAGAACTTCAATTGTAGTTCAAGTTTAAATGTTACAATTTAGAGTTAGACGATACCGCTGCGCATTGCTTACGAACTTACGATTACGAAATTCATTACTACCACCTATTACTAAACTGTATAAGGCGGTCGTCCAACTTGTCCAACCTTTTTTCTGTTGAGCTAGAATGGGCAGTTTTCATGACCTCAATATTTGACAGCACTTACTTGTACTTTCAACATCCTCGTAATCAGTTGCAATACATATTAGCTCATTATATTCAGGTGGTAAAATAGGAGACTGGATTCAAGTAGATTTTGGTGATTACAAGTCAGTATCTGGAGTTGTTACACAAGGTCGCCCAGGAACCACGCAGTGGGTTAAATCATACAAACTTTCGTGTGGCAAGGAAATGAATGAATTTGATTGGATAGAGGAAAACGGAATAGTAAAGGTTGAAAATTCTTGTCCATTGGTTCTGTTATTTGGTTAACTGTCTTTGTTTGGATAATAAATATTTTTGTTTAATTTTATAACTATATATATATATATATATATAAGTAAATTTATGATACGTATAACAAATTGCATACATTTTCAATAAGTGCAATATTCTTTACAACAAAGGTGATTGAGTATATGATAAAAGAATACATAAGTATTGGCTCTACCAGTTAAAATGACATTTAATCTATGCCAAACGTATAGAATTCCTTTGCTCTAAATCAGTGTTTCTTAGCATGTTTTTTTTTATCAAGTATATCAAGTATTAGCATTACCCAGCCTTTTAACTATGTAAAAATCCATCGCAAATATCCACTTTCATGTTTAAACAACTCATGAAATAGCATAACTATGTTCAGATTTGAACAGGTATAAATTTGAGTGGAACTGCTTATGGCGGCCATACCTAAATCCTAGTATGTTGTACGATAGGTGTGAGCTTTTAAATTAGAGTTTACACTGGTCTAATGAGAGATCATCTTCTGAATTATATTAATTACAAATGTAAAATATGCACGTAATTATTTTCAGGTCTTTCCTGCTAACACTGATGCCAACACAAAGATTTATAACAAGCTACCTAGTCCCGTTGTTTGTCGCTATTTTCGGCTCTATCCACAGTCGTGGAATGCTCACATAAGCATGAGGATGGATTTGTTGCGAGGGGATTGTCATATGTATTATTAGTGTAAAACTGAGTACCAGCAAAGTGACAGCTACTTGCTGTAAGCAGAATTGTTCTGTATTTCTGATATCATGACAAGTTTTAAATATATAAGTGACACTCTTCAATGTGATAAATACAAATACCATATAAATGAAAATAATAATAAAGCATGGCCATGCTTGAATAACGTAAGAGCGTTTCGGAAGAAAGTGCGGTGTTTTTACTCGGACATAATTTTCTATTATTGAAATTTTTCACAATATGAAGGCGTGATGTATGTTACCAATCAAAAGTGAAGAGAAATAGGGATTACAAACACGCTTCACAAATTGAGATAAATTGGTCTGAATGACCATTTGATATGACGCGAGTATTGACTACTAAATAACTGCCTGTGGCATGGGTACGTGCACGATTAGAGGAAGGTTTACTCCAAGTTATAATAAGACATTATATGAATATCTGTTATATGAAGAATCTCAGTCCTTTAAAAAATCAAAACTAATTTAATATCTATCCGTGCATGGCCTTCCTAGCCGTCTGCACTTTTCACAGAGATGTTGAGGATGTCTCACTTCCTTAGATATAGTGTTTTCCAAGCCGGATCGCTGGAGAGCCGACTGAAATGTATATAAGTCAATAGTTAAACTATATAGGGTTCAAATATTTCAGAAAATAGAGTTGTGAGTGTTTTGGACTTCATGGATATGAAACATTGGATATGAAACGGGACTTATTTACATTGAAACGCTTTTTTAATATTCTAACTTGCCAATTCGTTATAACTTATAAAGTTGTGGCCCACGCGCCGAGTATCTATCTACCTCTCGTTTGACAATTCTTTAAGAGTTTCGGACGGGACTGTGAACGAGTTTTTGTGTTAATAAGAGCAGGGTTTCCCAAACTTTTTGGGCCGCGGACCCCTATTTGTGAATCTTAGTTTTGGCGGACCCCCAACGAGGAAGAATAATGTTCATTTACTTTTTAACACAAATGACATTTGTGATGAATGAGGTTGCCTTTCGCTGCACAATTTATCGATTCTCGAAGCAATTTGTGACAAGCAAACTCGTAGATTCGTTTCTACGGTAAGTCTAGACTTGTATTTTGTCATCATATTGATAAGAGCTGAAAATGCAGCTTCACACATGTAGATCGTTGCAGAAAGCAATAGAATTTTAATTACTTTTTCTTATAAAAATGTACATTTGTCCGCAACACTCAACCAAAGAGAGGCAACGTCTTTTTGATTGAAATAAATCAATAAAGTCCGTCAGACTCTTTCATATCGTTGCGGACCCCTTGTGCAGTCATCATGGCCTCAGGGGTCCGCGGACCCCAGTTTGAGAAACCCTGAATTAGAGGATGTAAACCAGTGTCAGGGGAAATCAAGCGTAGTCACGGACAAACATGGACCTTCTATTACAATGAATTCCAGTTTAGATTTCTACATTGGTTGTGCTTGAACAGAGGTGCGTCGCTGGCCAAGAAAGAAGTTTCGGAATTTGGCCTGCAGAAAATCCACTCTGTGGCCCAATTTTATCAAAAATAACATAATTCGAAAAACATCAACTTCCATGAATTAATTATTATTTACCTATCCATCATCCTGGAAACATTTCGAAACATTCGACACATCGCGTCTAAAATATTATGGGCATATTGATGACAAAAACAAAAGCTGAGCACACACAAATCTGAACACAGACAGTCAGGCATCGCTGGAGCATGAGAGTACAAAATTCGAGTTGAGCCGAAAGTAAATATCTCTATTGTGTAGTTTGTCATTGTTTTATTCGCGAGTTAAATTTCAGAACGGGGGAAGTACCAAAATCGAAAATATGACACGGTGAGACACAAGTGAAATTGTAATATAGCTTACTATAATCGAGCGGAAAGTATTGATTAACATCTCTTATAAACTTCTTATCATATTTTCGATATCCTATTTTTGTCCATTGCTCAACAAAAATGTAAGTATTGATCAATTATACCTGTTTATACGGGTAGACGTCAATCATGCAGTTTTGGCATTTCTGTGCCGTATTTGCCCAGCTATTTGCACTCATCCAAGTTCTGTTGCATTCCGGACAACGAAATTCCCCAAAGCATCTTTCGTCTCCCTGATAAGGAGTTTTCCCTCCCTTTAAAATAAGGTCATCTTGATATTGAATTCAATCAAATTCTATATATCCATCTCTTCAACAAGTCACGACTAATCTAAAAAGATCAAACTAAACCGCATTTTGATGAACTACAGAAAGCGGATTTGTGTCTTGAATATTACCGTTAACTTTCAAATTATTTGAACACCGATTTTTATATTCACTAAAATGCGGCGGTTTATTTTATAACAAACAAGTACAAAAAAAAATACTATTACCTGACTTGACATCATGGAATTGCTAAGACTCTTATCTGTGACTCGCAGTGGTGTCGAACTCTATTATCGGCGTATGTCGCTATGACCCCGATAAAGTTCTTTCATAGCGGTTCAGTTCCAGCCTTCTTCTTTACGTGACTTTCACAGTGCATGTTGTAACTCCCGAGTGAATAGGCCGATGAACGCTGTTTGTGGTTAATGCATTATTCAAACATTGCATATTATCTGTGAATAATGTTAATCCTAACATTCCACCCACGCTGAATATTTATCACTAACACGTTTAGCTTACCACACTCAAGCGCTAACCTGAACATAGCTTGATATATTTAGACTCTAAATTTTAGAGCCTTCAAATAATAAGATCGTGTTCGCCACATACGTTCACCTCTTTGCGTTTATTGAATCACCTTCCAAATTTTTTTTTGGTATGGTTTGTTAAAATATCTCAAACAATCCTACTTTAGACCAGTGGTTCTTAACCTTTTTTGCATATTTTACCCTTTTATCAAACACAAGTAGAAGAACACGAGTACAAGAATTACCCTCAATACAGCAATTTATTAAAAATTCGTCAAGCCAAGTATAGGAGGCTCTAACTTTAGGCGAAGCCAGGATTTTCAAAAGGGGGGGGGGGGGGGGTTCATAATCATAAATTCCCATTGCGGTAACAGTCTTGGCATTACGCGCTCGTTAAAGGGACGTCTTTTCAGCGTATAATGATTATTCTTGTCGCGTGAAATATTCGATCTCTGACAACTACAAAATTCTAAAATGTCCCTATATATTAGTTTAATTGTGTCCAACGTAACTCGCGGTTGCTTCTTCTTACGTCAAAATTAAAACATTAGTTCTCTGAAATGCCACGGCGATCGGTAGACATAAAAATATGAGATAAACGGTGTATTTAATTTTAATACGTATTTTTGGAATCTTGCCAACTCGTTATCGCCGTTAGAAAAATTTCAATAACTGATATAAAATCCCGAAAAGTACAATTTTATTTCGTACAATGGAAATGCATATGAAGTAGTTGTTCCATCAAAAATACATATTCATGGCCGCGATTACGCCACTTGTTAAAAGAGCCCGACGTTTACAACGAAAAATGATTTTTCTGTTGTGCAAAGTAATCAATTCGTGACCGATAAGGGCATATTTAAAATGTCTTGCTTTATTAATTTAATTGTCTTCAATTTAACCAGCGTTTGCGTCGACAAAACGAAACAATTTTTTACAATTCCCAATTTTAAAATACCTCGGCCATTTGCCGACTTAAAAATAAAAATTTTTGGTAACTGCCCGTCGCCTATCATATATTGTTTTGATCCGTATTTTTTCTATTTTGAAAATTCGACAAATTTGAGATGTGCTTGTAACATTGACTCCGTTCAATCGCAATGCTGACACTCCGATTATTTTTAAAGATAAAACCTCCTGAAAAATCCGTAAATCTGCTGTAAATTCTCATGGAGTAAAATTTATTTCAGTACAATAAAAATTGATGGATATACTTCGGATTAATTATCTTATATATCATCACAAACCGGGAAAAAAAATCGCGTTTTAACCTTGTTTAATGATAACACGAAAATTTTCTACGTCAATTTTAAAGTAATGGATAAAAAGCAAATCCCACACACAATTACCCGTGTATCGATTTTAGTGACGGTGTGTTCCTAAACGGCGACCAAACATAATAGGCACACGAAATTTTGCGATTTTGCCACTAGAAAAGAGTTTTTAGACTGTCGCGGGACTTACATTGTTTACGGTTTTATTTTCAGTATTTTATAATGCCGCTTTTCAATCAAATTCAAATCGCGGTTTTACTCCTTCTTTTGTCTTTAGAATCTCACCACCGATGAACGTATATTAACTCACGAATTCACAATTCCGTGCAAAGTACAAAAATAAAATAATTATCCTGTTTATCGTGGCACAAATTTATGATTTAAAAAGAATAAAAACCGACGTAAGGGCGTTTACGGCCTAAATAACACGCTGATGCAAACATGGGCGATTTTAGCAGAAGGCAATTGCACGCTTTTTCAGTTTTCACATTTCCGTGCGAGTATAAAAATAAAATAATTATCATTGTTCCCGCGGCACAAATTTGTGATTTAAAGAGAATAAACACCATTGTAAAGGGCGTTCACGGCATAAATAACACGCCGCGTTGAAGAATACGAACGGCGATTTTAGCAGAAGGCAATTGCACGTGTTATCGGCAACTTTTTCACCTTTTAGAAAATTCAAAAGGGGGGGGGGGGGGGTTCGACCCCGTTTCATTATTTTCAGATAAATCTGCGTTCAGGGCATTTAAATCTGCATATCATTGCAACTACGGGTCACTTCTATACGCACCCATGAACATTTACACTCAGGGATAACGGCTACTTGCGCACACGAATGTTTGTGTTAAAATATCATTACTTCAATCGTGCTTTATCTGGAGATAGTTTTAGTATATATACTGTAAATTTTGCAACAACCTGTGAGGTAAGTAAGGGTTTAATGTCACCCTCCGCTGAGCGATGTACAGTTCGTTTTTCCAAGTCGGGGTCGTTTCGTTTACTCAATCTTATATATATTTCATATGTATATTTATCTTCGCAGCCTTACAAATAATTGTTTCTTGCTGGTACATGATATTTTCCAGGTTTTGATCTTATCAACTTTTACTCGCACTTCAAAATTCTCTATTTTTAATATGTGTGGAAAATGGAGTAAACTATCAATCCAGTAGAGAGAAATGATTTGTGGCTAGTTTTTATGCGGTGTAGTATATTATATTGTTGCGGCAATTCTTGAAGTAACTGTATGGAGTGTAAATTTGTACGCCATAAATACAAGTTTCTACATACAGGATTGCCATTGATATTATGGCGCTTCCCAGATTCTCGTGATCTGAGGTTTTGGTGATTACAAGTTCGTGTCTGGAGTCCGAAAGGTCGCCCAATATCCAGGCAATTGGTTACATCATATAAATTTTCTTGTGACAATGAAACAAATTAAATTGATTGGATAGAGAAAAACGGAATAGACGAGATTAAAAATTTGGGTTCATTATAGTTCTGTTATTTGGTTAAATGTCTTTCCTTGGATAATAAAAATGTTGTTCAATTTCATAACATATATGTAAATTTTTGAGAAAGATACAAAATTGCATACATTTACAATAAATGCATTATTCCTTTACAACAAAGGTGATGAGTATATGATAAAAGAATATAAGTATTGGCTCTACCAATCAAAAATCTTAATGTATGGCAAATGTATTAGAATCCTTTGTTCTAAAGTAGTGCTTTTCAACCTGTTTTCATGAAGTCTTTGTATTACGCAGTCTTTTAACTATGTCAAACTCCACCGCAAACATCCAGACTTCATGATTAAACAACTCATAACATAGGATAACCATGTTCGGTTTTGAACAGATACAAATTTGATTGGACCTGCTTTTGATGTTCATACCTAAATCCCAGTATGATGTACGATAGATATTTTTATCTTGGAGTTTACACTAGTCGAAAGAAAGGACATATGTATTCTAAATTCTATCAATTAGAAATGTAAAATGAGCATATAAATATTTTTCAGGTCTTTTCTGCCAACACTGATTTCAACACAAAGATTTATAACAAGCTACTCAAACCCGTTGTTTGTCGCTATGTCCGGCTCTATCCACTGTCGTTGAATGCTCAAATAAGCATACGGATGGATTTGTTGCGAGGGGATTGTCATATGTATTCTAAGTGTGAAACTGAGGACCCTGCTTTTTATCAGCAAAGTGAGAGCTACTTGCTGTAAGCAGAATTGTTCTGTATTTCTGTTATAATGACAAGTTTTAAATATATAAGTGACACTCTTTAATGTGATAAATATAAATACCATATAAATAAAAATAAAGCTTGACCAGCATTATCTAATCGCGCTTGAATACCGTAATAGCGTTTTGAAGGAGGTGTGGTGTTTTCTACTCAGATATATTTACCTATTAATAAATTTTTTTTACCATATAACTACCATATAAATAGGGATTACAAACACGGTTCACAAATTGTGATAAATTGGTCTGAATGAACCTTTGATATAAAGCGAGTACTGACTATTGACTAACTGCCTGTGGCATGGGTGCCTCAAGTCATAAATAATACATTATCTGTTATATAAAGAATCTCAGTCCTTTGAATCAAAACTAATTTAATATCTATCCGTGCATGGCCTTCCGAGTCGTCTGCACTTTGCACAAAGATGTTGCGGATGTCTCACTTCTGCAGATATAGTGTTTTCCAGACCGGATCGCTGAAGAGCCGACTGAAACGTATATATGTCAATAATTAAACCATAGCTTAGCAAACTGGGGTTCGAATATTGTGAGTGATTTATGAAATAAAATGTCAAATGTCCAAATAAACATAATTTTACAGAGTGTAAAGATACACGGTACTCATATTGAAGAGAAACAACAATCCGAGTTTGTTCTTTGGATGATCAACGGCTGCGTTATGAATTATTTGAAGGATTCACACTACAGTGTGTCGTGTTTAAACGTTGCTTTGCTGCTTTGGGCTTCATTTCGATATTAAACGGGACTTATTTACATTGAAACGTTTTTGTTTCAATATTCTAGCTTCCTAATTCGTTGTAACTTGGAAAGTTGTGTTAATTAGAGAAGGTAAACCAGCGTCAGGTGAATAAACCGCAGTCACACACAGACATCGACCCAGTGGTGGGATTCAAATTTTTTGTCAGCCGGTTTCAGCGTACAAATGTCGAATTTTCAGCCGGTTCGCTGATCTCATGAAATTCCGTGAGACGGTTCTATAGAACCGGTTCGAACCGGCTGAATCCCACTACTGCATCGACCTTCTATTACTATAAATATAACCGTAATAGTATATATTTACGATATAACAGAAGAACAACAGTTTAGTTATCTAATTTGGTGGTACTTGAACAGCGGCGCGTCGCTATGGCTAAGAAAGAAGTTTCGAAAATTGGTCAGCAGCACATCCACTCAGTGGCCCAATTTTATCAAAAATAGCGTAATTTGAAAAAAAAAACATCAACCCACATAGAAAATATTTATTATTGAAGTATTCATCATCTTGGAAACACTTCTGTATTGAACTACACAAATTTTTAAAGCGATGCTTCCAGTATTCACAGAGAAAAGCGAGTTTAAGTGATGGGAGGCTGAAGGCAACAACAAAATTTATCAGAACGATCCATCCATATCGCGTCTTAAAATATTATGGGCGTAATAACGACAAAACAAAAGCTGAGCACACGCAAGTCGGAACATAGTCAGTCAGGCAGCATCGCTCGAGCATGATAATACAAAAAACGAGTTGAACCCAAAAGTAAATATATCTATTGCTTATTTCGTCAATGTTTTATTTGCGAGTTGAATTTCAGAACAGGGAAAGCACCAAAAACGAGAAAGGTTTACAGGGACCCACAAGTGAAATATATATATAAATATATTATAATTGAGCGGAAGGTATTGGTTAATATATCTTATAAACTTCTTATCAGATTTTCAATATCTTACTTTTGTCCGTTGCTGAAAAAATATAGGTATGTATTGTTCAGATTACCTGTTTATACGGGTAAACGTCAATCATGCAATTTTGGCATTTCTGTGCCGTATTTGCCCAGCTGTTTGCACTCATCCACGTTCTGTTGCATTCCGGACACAAGAATTCACCAAAGCATCTTGCTTTTCCCTGATAAGGAGTTTTTCCTTCCTTGAATAAATAAAATAAACAAGTCATGGCTAAACTAAAAAGGTCAAACTTATCAGCATTTCGATGAACACAGAAAGCGGATTCGTGTTTTGAATAGCCTACTTCTTTTAACTTTCCGGTTAGCCAATCACCAATTTTCATATGTACAGATATATATGAGGTGGTCCATTTTATAGCAAACAAGTACAAAAAATAATAATTACCTGACTTGACATCTCAAAATTGCTAAGACTCTGTAACGCGTAGAAGTGTCGGACTATGGTATCGGCGTTTGTCGCTATGGCCCCGATAAAGTTCTTTTAAAAGCGCCCAGTTTCAGCCTTCTTCCTTATGTGACCTTTACATTGTGAGTCAATGGCCCGATGAAAGTCGTTGGCGAGTAATGCATTATTTAAATATTTATATTGTCTATCATCGTATGAAGAATGCTGATCTTAACATTTTACCAACGCTAAATATTTATTAGTAACACCTTGGATCACCATGACCAAGCGGTTGCTTGAACAGAGTTTAGATACTTAGAAACTTTAATTAATAAGATTACATTCGCCTACGTATTCGTCACATGCGTTTATCTATTTACGTTTATAGAGTCACCTTTCGATCGTTTTCCTTCCGTATTATTTGTTAAAATATTTTAAACGATCTTGCAATCTTACTTTAGAGTTTAGACCAGTGGTTTTCAAACTGGGGCCCGCGAGGGAATATCAGGGGGGTCGCAAGAAACTTTAATTTTGCATTTTCATCTACTTATTATTAAAGTATCGCTTTGCTGCCAAGATTAAATGCTTGATGTTGTCGCTAGAAGGCTATTACTTTAACTTTTTTTTAAAAAATTGTATGTGCTCAATGAAACTCGTTTTTGACTTTAAATACCTGATGACGTCTTCAAAATTGAAAAATTTGCACGGTGCCGCATTTCAGCGATCTCGTCGGACTACCGGTACTACTGGATGTTTCACATTCATACAATTAGCAGAAAAATGACTGAACAGCGAAATTACGATAAAGACAATTTAGGCCTTCCATGTAAAAAAAAGTTGATAATTTTTCCATTACATCAGCACTTTTGGCAGAAGTTTTTTAAAAAGTGCAAAACATAAATTCAGCTCTAATAACATATTCATAAATATAAGCACAAAAAGAGGTAGTTGTGAGCATTCTACACTTGTTCAAATCAAAACGAAAGCACGGAACAAACTCGATGTGCAAGATCACATGAAATAAATCAGTAAGCTATCTGCGTACGCAGGGAGTTGCAGCCAATTTAAATGTTGTCCGAATGGCTCTATGCTATGTTCTTCCATTGCGTTTTTTTGGTTTAAAAAATGTGGGGGTATGCTGTTACTTCAATTAATCAATCAAATCGTTTTTTATTAGCCATCCCGGCAAAGCATAACAAAAACAAGTAAGATCCCAAAAATATTTGCACCGTTACCACCGTATGGCAGGATGACCGCGAAATGACCATTCGGTCTACTTGTCAGCGGCAACTATAGAGAAGCATGCAGGAAAGCAGATGACATAAAAGTCAATCAGCGCTCATCACAGAGGATCTTACCTTTCCTTAGTACAGGCCTGCAATACTCAAATTACCACGAGGGCCGCAAGCATAAATCTGAAGGCCCGGCGTGCCGTAAACTTTGCCACATAATATTTCACTACAAGATAAACTGCAAATCAAAATAATATTGTGAAACAGTTAAATTTGATGAAACACTTTCATTACTGGGGAGCTTAAAACCCAATACAAGCTCCAAGCCCTGCCCATTTTATGGGTATTTTTAAACTTATTTTTTTATGTCAACCATTAAGCCCTAACGCTTCACTCATGGCTTTTTAAAAGCGTCTGCTAGAGTTCTATTCAGCAAAATATCTTTAAAACACACTCGTCGAAAAAAATTTTTGCAAAAAAATTTCAAAAATTTCTAAAAAAAAAATTGGACTTTGAGATATTCTGTGTACAGTAGAGGGTTAATAATTAATTCCTAATTAATTAATTTTTTCTTCAACGTTTTCGTCAAGTTTTTCCTAACATAACAATACCAAAACGACTATTATAGCATAAATGGTTATTACTCTGAAATTCACAATTGTATTTGAAGTATTGACAAGTTCAAGGTCCAATTACCGATATTGATGACGTCACAGCTCTTATTATTACTGCACAGACCACCCCCAATGCAAAAAAATTAATTTTTTTCGACGGAAATGCGCGTAGAACGGCGTAAACAATCCCATACGCGCATTTACGCGTTAAAATTACCATTAATTTTACGTTTTTTTTACATACAAAAAATCTCCATACCTCTGCCAACTATGGAGCAGTCGAAATCATATTTATCAAAACAACACAGCGCCAGGGATGGTCAGGGATAGTTAGTATGACTGAAAATACATGCTAAAACAATAACAAGAGAGCTACGCACAAATATATGGACACGTCAGACCAGAGCGAATCAGTCCTTACCGGTACCTTTGACGCTACCGGTACCCTCAAAAAAGTTCTGAATTTCCAGTAGCAAGAATTTTGCAGAATCAAAACGTACAGCCAGTCATGACACTGACTAAAATCCGTGTTCCCATGGATAAAAAATATTACAGCAAAATTTTAGACGAAATATCAAATTTCATAGAATTCACGCAAAATTTTGAAATAAATAAAAGTAATAGCCTTCTAGCGAAAAAATTAATCTTTAACCACTGAAAATTTCAAAGCAATTGCTCCAGTATTCGAGAGAAAAGCGACTTTTTAAAAACGTGTCAAAGAACAAGAACAACAACATAATATTGAAACGATCGTTATGTCCACTACCTGTCCAATAAGTCGTTATAAAGGAGTATTTCCTGTCTGAGCTGAGTCACATTTTCAGACGTCTGACAGGTGATTTTGAAATCCAGGCTATTTATACGATTCGCACTTTGCGTCACGGCTGGAAGGTTTTATCGCTTCTCTCATATCAGGGCATTACGTCGATAAACAGCTAAGAGCGATATTGACCCTATAAGTACCGAAATTTAAAAACTATAGTAAAGTAAACCCATATGGGCGTTCCGGCTGTAGAAGGGCTAACCCCCTGCCGCTCACAAGTGGACCACTGATATCTAATTAAGTAATTTTAGAGTAGTTAACACGCAAAACTATCAAAACGAGGCAATGTTTACAACCCTGCTTGAACATCTGTCTGAGCTTCTGCAGAAACTGCAAGTGGGTATGGGTAAGAGTTAATGTAACAAACAAGGAAATCGATGCTCCATGAAATCCTAATGTTAAGTAGCTAAGTACAGGTAATACAGTAATAGGCTATTGTTCATTTGTTACACACTAAATACTGAAATATTGTATTTCATATGATTTTAATAATAGACACTAGAATAGACTGGAAAAAATCCCAAAAAAAACGCCAAAAAGCCAAACGGAAATTCTGACGCCAAACGCGTTTGAAAAAAGTCAAAAATGGCAAATTTGGCGTTAAAAAAACCAATATGGTAACCCTGGTGCAGATTTACGTGAAAATAATAGAACCCAGTTGTCAACGCAATTCAAGGCTACAATACAGCCACATTTTTAATTTGCAGAAACAATAAAGTATTAACTGTAACTCCGTGTTAAAGCGGGTAGGTTATGTCCGTGGGTGGGGGAGTATGGGTAATACTAAGCCGCAGGCCTGCACAACATGTGGGCCGCATGCGGCCCGCTAGATATTTCTGTGCGGCCCGCGGGTGATTTGGAAACACGCCACTTCTCGGGTCTAACAATCAAAGCCGGCATTGTTATTTATGCAAGCGCGCCGCTACTCCGATCATATTAGAAATTGCGAGATTTATGTTTTGCACTAGTTTCAATAAATATCTAACTTTGTGTAAAATTGGTGTGCCCTTCGCGACCCTTAAAATTCGTCGCTCGTCCTCTCCCCCCAGTTTGGGAAACCCTGATTTAGATATCTCGGTATTCAAACTGAATCACGCTCAAAACAATATCGGTATACAATCTCACACCCATTGGTGCATATTAGCAACCTATTAATAACCCCACTATTTTTTACTAGCAGTTTATGACACTGAAGTTTCTCGCATTCTCGCACAAAAGATATAGCTATTTACTGTAAAACTTCAAAAATGTTTAGCAGATTTTGTAGAAAAATGTAATTTAACAGTCGAAAAAGTACAACAGAGGAAGATCTATTGCTTCTAAACGGATTGTTTGTCCAGCCTACAATGGAAATATCTAAAAATGTTAGATATGACTAAATAACTATATATATATATATATATGTGGGACGATTTTACAAAACTGAACCTGAGTAAAATATTTTCCTGCAATCAGTTTATACTGCAACACGCAATACCTAATTCTAATAAAAAAGAAATATTGAAAAAGAAGAGATTCTTCATATTTTTAGATAAATTTTTTGATAAAATTTGTTGTCTATAAATTTTAAAAGTGAAAAAATTTTTAATAGTAAAGTACGATATAGGGACAATTTTTTAAGGTATATCACAAGTTTAAGTAGAAACATGTAGGTATATTACATACTGACAGACTGAAGCAGCACCCTGTATTGTATATATTGAATGGTAAAATAATGCCAGAATGCTGTCCGCTTGATATTTATTTTATTTCCTACAGTTCTATAGGAACTTTACTTTCTATTTGTGTGCCTCACTGAATGAACTGATGGCTCTACATCACCATCAGTACGTTGCCAAGGGCTTGGAATTTGACAAATCACGGGGCTTTTCAGCAGTGGCGGCGCGTGGTCATTTTGACAACCGGGGCAAGCTACTGCGGGACCAAGTCACCCCCATCTACGGGGACAGGATGAGCGCTGTAAGTTCTCCCATCATTTTATGAGTATAAAAACCATTCCATCGGTAACAACCAATCGGCAAAAGCGACAATTTTTAACGATAAGAAAGTGTCTTTAAAACCGGTCCAAGTCAAGGGATTAATAAATATTGACATAGTTTATTTTGAAACCTCTTTCAAAAGGAAAGGCAATATTTACCCAGATAAATACAATGACATATTAACAGAAACTTCGGGAAAGCAGACAAAACCTAAAATAAGGTTTAAAACGTTACTATGAAGAAAGGAAAGTTAATGCAAAGATAAGGACATGCGTCGCTCACTCATAGATATATATGCTGCTAGACTTCTACTGCTTGAACATATATGCAACACGCCGCGGTTTCTTGGAAGCAAAATGCTCAATAACGCGCTGATTAAAGTCATGCATCCCAGAAATAACGTCTCTGTGAATGGATAAAACAGCCAAGGAATTTAATCTATCTTGCTTCATTGTGTTTCTGAGATACGTTTTAATACGCTTCAGCGTGCTAAATGTTCGCTCTGCGTCGGCGGAAGAAACAGGCGTCGTCAAAATGATGTCCAGAAATTTTGCAGACGCCGCAAGGTAGTTACTAGAGTGTTATCTATGAGGAACCCATAGAGCGCGCAAGTTGATGTGATGTTAAAAAAAGTTTGATTGGTGTATATACATCGCAATTCATTTTCCAATTTACCCACGTTTATCATTGGGTAAAGTTTGGAGACAGTAGCCGACAAATGGATGGGAAATTGACGTGCAAATTTTGAAAAAAAATTTTTTGGGGTTCATCAAAGAGAACGCGGCAAGGTGTTCAGTGCGCATACGATCGCCTATTTGATTCACCAGAATGTCACAGACAAAATCAAACGCTGCGTTGTTTGCCCGCGGCGTAAAGACGCACCCCATGTGTCGTCGTATTTTATTGTTTCCCGGATACGAGATACAGCATCGCAGAAGTCTGAAATACACGACTGCACAGACGCTCCACCCATTAGCCTTGACTGCAATGCGCCGTATAATACATCCACGTGATAGAATATTGTGGAGAAAAAAGCGAGAAAAAATGAAAACTCACCATCTTCTAGCAGACGCTTTATACCTGCCGCCTCCCTCACAGAGCGTTCGTCCCAAACCGGAGAGCTCTGAATGCCATTGAAACACTCAATGAGCTCAGACCTAATTTCGGACACGCCCTGCACCACGCGTGATTGGAAGTTCCAACGTGTTGGTGCACAAGCTGGGAGACGGCGGCTACATATCTGGCGAAGGAGGTCAGAGCGCTTCGGCGAAACGGAAAAAAATGAAGAAAAACCCGAAACATTTGCAAAAAATATACGGACGAGAGGGGTATCAAGACACATATTTTTAATAACGAGGTTAAATTGGTGTGCATAACAATGTAAAAAATGCGCATGAGGAAAATCTTCTTTTATATAAACTTGAACACCATGTTTCGACCCACTCATGACTGCCGCGCCGTCATAAGTTTGAGCTATCAATTTTGACTTCGCGTTGTAAGGCTGTAACACTTCTTTCAGTACAGCCGATAACCCGCAAGCCGTGCGATCAACGATTGGTACAAAGCTGTGAAATCTCTCGGTAGGTTTACCATCTTTCACAAACCGAAAAATCACAGCCAGTTGGGAAACGCACGTGATGTCGGTTGTCTCGTCAGACTGAATCGAAAGGAACTGGCAATTCTCAATTTCCAGAGACAAATGTTGTAAATAAATTTTATACATTGAGTCGAGCAAATCATTTTGGATATCCCTAGATGTCCCTTTCGAAACAGTTGCGGCATCAAGATGATCTTTCATTACTGTAGCTAGGGATGCGGTGTATTCCACCATATCCAAAAATACCACTCTTTTAGAAGAGCCAGCCCGTTAATCGTGCCCACGGAGGGACAGCTCGTGACAACCAATGAACTTCAAAACATCTATCAATCGACCGAGAACATGGCGGTTTTTCTCGACGTTTTGGTTGTGCCGACGAATAGAAACCGCGCGTGCTTCATCCAACTGTGCTGCAATATTAACATTTCCGAATGTTCGGTATTTTACTGCATTGTCCAGATGCTCCATAGAAGATTGATGATCCCTGGCACGCTCGGAAAGATGTTTAAGATCTCTAAAACCAAATTTACACCAACGTGAGTCACGGGCGGTAGCAAAAAGTGGGCAATAAAAACAAAAAAGTGCATTTTTGTCCTCGCTGTAACACAACCATTCGTTTTTTTATACCAAGTTTCTGCGCAGAATGTACGCCGACGCTTTCCTCCGTCATGGGATTGTTCCAGTGAACAATTTTTTGGTTGATAAGGCTCAAGACGTTGTATCTCTAATTTTTGTTCCAGCGGCAGCTGTGAAAACGGAGTGCGAAGTAGTGCATCAACCTTATTCATTATGAGGTCTAAGGCTAAGAAATGCGAAGCCGGAAAGAAGTGAGGAGCTCAAAAGGAATGTGGAAAATCGAAAGCAAATGGACTAAAGGTCTCTAACTGATTCAAACAGCGAAACAAGCGACAAAAACGAAGGCGAGGAAACTATCAACTCTTCAAGCAACCAACGAACGAGAAGGAATGCGTGAATATGTCAACACGTTGTTGTAAGAAACATCGGCATTGTGACGTCATAATCTCGGGACTAGCCCCGATGATTTAGTAAAAGAAACAGAAAACAAACGAGACAAACGCGGCGAGTGGAAGATAAAAGAGAGAATACGATATACAATGAGCAACCGGGGCAAAATCGGCGTCGCCCCGTCGACGTTCGGCGAAGGCTTTGCGAGCGAAAAATGAACCCTGTCGGGAGAATATGGCTAGTGCAGACAGTCTGTGCAACCGATATTGAGGTATTTTTCGAATATTTTTTATTATACCGAAGAAACAACCGGGGCATTGCCCCGGTTGGCCCTATTGACGCGCCGCCACTGGGCTTTTGTACTTAGTAAAATTGTTGGCTTTTTTATGTCCTGATTTGGCTTTTTTTGAACGCTGGGGTCTGGCAACTCTGATCTGCACTCCGGGCATTCAAACCTGCGTACCAGGGTCCCAGCCGTATTTAGGGTCGGACCTTTCTGCATCCTAAATAACAAGTTTTTGTAGCTTCAATGCTTTTTAGACTTTCGAGACTCTTGAAAACCCGCGTTTTCCGGCCAGACTGTTATGGTCTAACTTGGTAATTATAAATTTCAGGAACTCCCAGCTACATACCTACTTTCGCACACGAATATCTGTGTTCAAAAAGATAACATTTCGATCATGCTCCACCTGAAAATAGTTTTGGTACACAGTAACTTTTGCAGGAACCTGTGGGTAAACAGGGATTCAAGTCATCTTACGCCGAGTAATGTAGTTTGTGCTTCCTGGCTTTGTTCACTATTTATTTTTTGTGTGTGTGCTGGTGAGCGGGCATATGATATATATTTGGAGTTTTCAGAAAAAACTATCAATCTAGTTAGGTCAAATGATCTGTGGCTAGATCAGTATGTTCCCCAGCTTTTTATTTTAGGGGGGGTGTTTCGAAATTTAGGGGGGTGGTAAATAATTTGCTATTAGAGATAAAACTAGGCTATTTGTATTCTTAAAAAAATGGTATGTATTTAAGAAACGATGTACATGAGGGGCCTCTCAAGTTGATTGGCGGCGAGCCAAAATCCACAGCAGAATAAAATTGAAGGGCCAGAAAAGGGGAGCGAGGAAAAGTGCGGGACGACACGGCTGGGGTTCTGAAAATTTTTTGAGAAATAGCCACCAAAATACGCTCTAAGCTTGATTTTAGATACACCTAGCATCGCAGTTTGGCATGTAATGAAATCAATAATTATAATATTTAGCTGATAGAATTCCCGGGAAATAGATAACAAGCACGGCTTTCAACCGTAAATATATACTACTACGTTTCAACAAGTAATTTGCAACTATTAGTGACTAATGGAGTTACTTGCTCATCTGGCATTGTATGAATGGCTACTTATGGCTTGTTTTGTTACACATTTTTTTGAACATGTGTATTTGACTTTTGTATGAATTAAGCAATGAATTAAATTTTGAAATACGCGCGTCAACTGATTATAATGGCGCATAATGTTGTATTCCTTCAGAACTGAAATGTTTTGTTGGTAAGAAGACAAATCGCTGAAGTTTGATTCTTTTCAATAAAGAAATAAAAACGCTGTCATTCATCTAAAAACCGTCTGTTTTCAGTGCCTAGTTTCCGTTTTGTGACATCTTTAAGCTTTCTCAATATACGGCTAATATCTAAAATACTGAAGCGTGTAATCCTGATACCCATAAGTATACATAAGATACCGGTATAATTCAATTGTTAGGAAATAAACGTGCTTAAACTGTGATAATGATGTAACAATAGACGGTATCTAAAACTCAAAAAGTACCACATGAAGGGTTAGCCCGTTAAACTATTTCACTCAAGTTCGGCGGGCCATTTTAAATCGTCACACCGGCCGTAATTGGCCCGCCGACTGCGGTTTAGAACCCCTCATCTACGCTAATAAATATGCCATAGTCGTTATATTTGAATACAATTATACTTGAGTTAGGAAATAAAGTGTGGAATCGCACCTCAAAATTAGGGGGGGGGGGTGGGTGTTTGAAATTTTAGGGGGGGTGTTCACCCCCTATAGGGGGGGGTGTAGGGAAATCACTGGGCTAGATTATGTGCGGTGTAAAATTTATTGTGGGATCAATTTTTAAAGTAACTATATGAAGTGGGATTCATGCTATGTTCCAATTAAGGATGGCGAGGATACATTGTTCAGAAGGTTAGATTAGATATTTAAATTTGATAAATTAGGGATACTACATATATGAGACTTCCCATATTTGCGAGACTTTCAGAAGATAAAGAATGCCATTCTTGGAAGCGCGAATGACCTTTATTAAGCCTTCACCACACCGTTGTTTAATAGGGTAGGATTTACATATTTATCCTGGGGGAGAGGAAAGTCCATAAGACAGCTTAATCATATGGTGAACCAGGAAGCCGTAACCGATCAGCGATTACGTGAACCACCCTTCGGCGGCGAGGAGTCCATCAATCATCTGGCACATAACCACCACGAAACCCATGCAAGGTAATGAGAGGTGTGGGGGGGGGGCAACACGCCGAGCCGAACAGAAAGTGTTGCGCCATAAATACAAGTTTGTACGTAACTGCCATTGATATTATTGGCTTTCAAAATTCTCTAATGCCAGTTTAAATTTTTGCTGCTCATCTATCCAAGGAAGTGTTTTGCATCAAACAGAATTCTTCAAGCTGTGTTCTAATTTGTTTATGAGGAATGGTTTTTATTGCACTCTTTTACTACAGTAACATTTAAAATACAAAATATCAGTTGTTGATATTCTCCATATCATTAATTCCAACATCATGCTACATCATCAGCATTCCATGCATATTTCATACATTTTCCTAAATTCCCAATTTCCCCCATATCTGATGCAGTTAGTGTAAAATCAAATATATCAGAATTTTCAACAATCCTGCTTGTATCACATGATTTTGGAATTACACTGCACCCTTTCTGCAATGCCCATCGTAACAATATTTGCGGAACATTCTTTCCATATTTTTCTGCATATGGCAGCAATCTAGAATCTTCAACTAATCGACCTTGTCCTAGTGAGGAATAAGAGGTGAAATGTATGTTTTTTTGTTTGCATAATTCCACAATATCATTTTGTTGATAATCTGGGTGAAATTCAGACTGGAGAACGGCAGGCACAATGCAACAATTGGATAGCAACTCTTCCAGGTGTTTTACAGTATAATTTGATACTCCAATGGAACGCAGCTGGTTTGTTTCAGTGTAAACATCTTCTAAAGATTTCCAACTTTCGGCTCGAAATACAGCATTCTTCATGTCTTCTCGTCGCAATCCCTGAAAATAAATGTCAAATTTCATTGCTATTAAATCGTCTTACGAATGGTGGTAAATTTTAATGAAACAAACATCAACAGCTCTATATTCTCAAAATGCTTCGAATTGGACAACCTAGACTTTTTTCTAAAGCTAACAACTGAGAATTGCTCATTCGAAAATATTCATTAAATGTGAGAAATTTATCTTATTACAGTAATATAATGACTGCTATGAATTTAGTTTTTACCTGTTTTCCTGGCCAATGAATCAAATATAGATCAACATAATCCAACTTTAATTTAGTAAGAGAATCTTGTATTGCTTTGCGTGTTTCGTCCCTGCCTAGATCCTTAGGTGATAACTTTGTGGTGATGAAAACATCTTGTCTTGATAAGTTGTGTTTTTTCAAAAGTTCTGGTAGAAATTCTCCAATATGAATTTCATTTTTATAAACACTAGCAGTGTCTATTACTCTGTATCCATGTTCTAATGCGCAATCCAAACATTTCCGCATGACATCTCTGTTCTTGATTTGATAAGTTCCAAAACCGAAAATTGGCATTTTTATTCCATTATTTAATAGCACAAAATCATTAATTTTCATGGTTGGTATTAAGCTTTATAAATGGCCTTTCAACAGAAAAAAGGTGTTAATATTGCTCTATTATATTTGTGTTTTCAAAGAAGTTATTCCCTGGAAGAGAAAATGGGATGAGGTGGCCCTATAGGGCAAACATATAAAGAGTAGGATTATTATCGTGTATGTTCCCTAAGAAGAGCAGATAATCTCTATAGCTGCTGTCGCTTCCCCAATCTTATTCAGAATAAGATTTAAATTCAGATATGCACAAAACTATTAGTATTAACATCATCACAAGAAAATATTTCTTTCAATCCCAAAATTTCCATATTTTGTCTGAACATGATATATCATTTGTATCTTTGTAGTAGGCCGCAATTTTCCACATAACCATACATTTGTAACAATAGAGCATTCGACAAAGGTCCATAAATAATGAAAACCTCATAATCAATTAGAATGTCGCTAACTGCTACCATTTGTATAGAGTTGACATCAAACTACAAATTGGCCCTATTTCTTGATATATGATTCAAAACATCTGCCATGGGAACCATTTTGGGAAAGACATTCAAGATCTGAATTATCACATGGGTCTGTAAAACTGTATGTCATCAGGAAACAAACCATATGTTTATATAATTCAAGTATATGCTTTGTTCTATCAAGCCCGTTCTCTTTATGTTCTTCTATAAATGGCACCACAATTCTGTAGAAACCTTCTTCATTGTTTCAGATTTCAATTCTATCAAACAAAATGGAGATGTACTATCCAAAAGCCGATCTCGAACATCTTTTGGCCAGAAATAGGAGTGTCAAATGTTTCTGGTAAATGAGTAGACTTCAAATAAGGCATCCATTCAGAGTCTCCACTAGTATATTCCAACACCAATATTAACAGCAGTTTGACTGACTCACTTTTCTGCTTTTACCTTTCACTGTTTTCAAGTCCGGAATCATTTTTGAATTGTTTTCTTCCCATAACAATACCAACCTTAAGATATCAGATCGCTTTATTGGAGAAAGTGACATTCCAAATCTCTGGTGTTGTTGTTACCTTTTTTAAAATTAACATTTCATTTTACGCTCACCATTAAATGAAATTGGTCATTTTTGCCATCATCATTCGGCTGTTCAAGTTTTTGCTTTTTATTGTCAAGTTACCACCATTGCAATCATTAGATGGGGGCTTGCTAAACATATTAATCAAAATATGTTGAAACTAACTTTTCAAATTTCTGTTTTATTCCGGAAATGATATTTTTAAATGACTGCCTTAAAATAATATGTATATTGGTAAATATTAAAAATTTCAATAAATCCACAGATATGCTTCGGTGTTGAAAATTGTAAATGACCAGCATTTGTGTAAACTGGGATGGTTTAGTTACTTACACCTGTCGTATGATAGGATTTACATATTTATCCTGGGAAGAGGATAGCCGATAAGACGACCTAACCATAATATGGCCAACCACTCTTCCGGTTACCATTCCATGTCGGGTACCGGTATTGGATTAGTTAGTTATTTGTTGGTTGCATGGACTTGATTGTGGAGGAAGCCGTAACCGACCAGTGGTTATTTCTAACGCTTAGCACGATGAGCCCACAGAGATATAGACTATAAATATATTTTCAGTTCATTGATAAGCCACACCGCCGCACGTAACAGAACGGGAGGCCGTGGTTCGCCATACGATTAAGCAGTCTTCACTATTATTACACATGCCTTGATGCCCTAAATCGCCTCGTAATGATTTACTTCTACTTAATCTTTTATATAGTTAATTCTGTTGGCCAAATGTCCATATACCCATCCATGCCTCCAAAACTAATTCCCATATTGTGGTTGCTTGGAATCCCCCTAATTGATCACCGCGAGGTAGCGTCATGTCTGACAGAACTTTTGACTCAGAAGAACGACTTGCACGGGTCACGTGACCTTGTTTACTGGACGGCAATAAAACAAAAACGTCCATTTGGCTCCTGTCAGTTGCAAGTCGGATTATACGTTTCCGTTTTGTTTGGCTGTTGAAAATGGTTATTTCGTATTGTTCCGCTGGCTGTACGTATAGTATAGACAACGAAATGGGTCTTCAGTTATATTCCACTGTTTTCAAAAGATCCGGAACGTCGCGCAATGTGGATATCATCTATTGACAGGACTGCTTCCATCTCACTTGTGTTTCACTGTTTGCGGACAGCACTTCGTTGATGGTAAATTATCAATTTTTTTGAATATTCATAAGCTCCCTCATTTCAATGGGAAGCAGATGACAAACTACTGTTATTGGTAGGCCTAGGCCTACTTGCAGACTTGACTCGTGTAAGGTATTAATCAATAATTGCCATAAGGTATTGTTTCCCTAGTTAGCAGGTAATCTATTAGTAAGTGTGAAAAGTTGAATAGATAACTAAAGTTTAACGCCAGTGCTAATGCAAAAAATAATCAGAATTCAATTGAAGTCTCCATCTAAGAATACTCTCGCCACCGCATCTCTGATCCCCCTGGGAGTTTCACTGGTTTCAATCCCATGCGGGGATAGTTATGTGCGAGGGTATTGCAGCTCTCCTCCCACTGAAGGTGGTTTACACGACCGCTGGTCGATTACGACATCCCCCACCATCAAGTATATGCTTCTAAAACAAATAACTGGCTAACTAATCCCGACATAGAATGGTAATCGCACGATGTTGCACCTTGCAATCTGTCCCCAACCACAGATAAATTCTATCCTAAAAACTACCCACATTGGTAGGCATGGTTGCGTTTTAAATTGAAAGAAATCTTCATTAATGGTCAGAAGGTGTTGTCTGATTGTTTTGTTAGTTAGCAGGTAATTTATTACTGATCTGATACACAAACTTGGCACTGTCAAATGATGATTAGTGTTTAATTTATTTTCAGGAAAAAGGGAAGATAACCCATTATCAGCTGCTTATATGTCCCATCGATATTTGAATTTTCGCCATCCCCAGAGAGGAAGAGAATAGTTAGAAAAAGGGGGATTTTGAAGAAAGGAAAAAGGCAGGACCATTTCAACAAATTCTGTTAACTTGTATGCGTTGCAATATTAATTTGCAGTTGTTAGCATAAACATTTAATGTGTCTTTCGACTAGACCTACCACACTTAAAAAAAGCCGCTCACACCCCATTTCACTAGAACCATAATACTGTAAAATATTTGATAGAAATCACCCCCGAGGCATCATATCTTCCATTTGAAAGGGCTGCAGAGGCAGATACCTTTTTTATCCAAATTATGGAATGTTACTTCCAGGTTATCTTATTCTTGCTTATAGATGTCTTGAGGTTAGTGACTCCAACTGACCCATGCATGCCACACTGAAAATTCTCTTGTGTACCCATAAAATAAGGCTGTTGGAGCCTTCAGACCTTGAAAACAGTCGAATCTGAGCACGATGGATTCATGTGAAACACGTAATATGCATTTAGAGGCAAAAATATCCCATCCTGGGCAGCACCGATCCACAACCTCCTGCCTATGAAATCAAAACATTAGACAAATTGGTGTACTGTGCGCATTCACAAATCTTTGCGAATCAAGTGTGCCTTTTGACTAAAGAAAATTCAGCATTGAAATGGTCGATCTCAATATCAACCTAGTATCTGCAGATAAAACCAATTGTTTTTTAAAAATACATTTTTGATGTGCTTTATTTTTCAAATATAATTTATAATTACTGTAAAGTGTGTGATACATTTGGTACCATGAATACCATTTGCAAATTAGCTTGGGTTACACCCCTCTCAAATAAAAGTTTAGACTCTTAAGCCAGTTATTTGTTTTCAGAAGCATGGACTTGGATGGTGGGGAATGGTCGTAACCGATCAGCGGTCATGTGAACCACCCTCGGTGGGAGTAGAGCTGCAATCCTCTTGCACATAACTATCTCCGCATGGAATTGAAACCTGTGAAACTACCAGGGTGATCAGAGAGGCGGTGGCGAGCGTATTCCTAGATGGCGAATTCAATTGAATTCCGGTTATTTTTTGCATGACCACTGGTGTTAAACTTTAGTTATCTATTCAACCTTACACACTTAGTAATAGATTACCTGCTAATTAAGGAAACAATACCTTATAGCAATTGATTATTAATTCCTTACTGTCTTACACAAGTCAAGTCTGCAACTGCAAGTAGGCCCACGCCTAGGCCTACTAATAACAGTAGTTTGTCATCTGCTTTCCATTGAAATGAGGGAGCTTGTGAATATTTAAAAAAATTGATAACGGCACACCACCACCACATTATCACTCACCATCAACGAAGTGCTGTCCGCAAACAGTGAAACCCAAGTAAGATGGCTTCTGGACTTGACACCAAGCAGTTCTGCCAATAGGCAATAGATGATATCCACATTTCGCGACGTTCCGGATCTTTTGAAATCAGTGGAATATAACTGAAGATCCATTTCGTTGTCTATACTATACGTACAGCCAACGGAACAATACGAAATAACCATTTTCAACAGCCAAACAAAACGAAAATGTATAATCCAACTTGCAACTGACAGGAGCCAAATGGACGTTTTTGTTTTATTGCCGTCCAGTAACAAAGTCACGTGACCCATGCAAGTCATCTATAGTCTATATGTTTTCTATTTTAACAATTTTCTTCTGACCGACTCCTTCAATTCGATTAACATTTTCCAAATTGTGTTCATTCAAAAAAAAATATGTTCAAATACTGCTGCTGTCATCTGCTGCTGTATACTGCAATTTAGGTGTCGCTGACACGTTAGCTACCGTGTTTCCCCGAAAATATGGCCTACCCTGAAAATAAGACATAGCTTGAATTTTAAAAATGCTTTTAATATAAGCCCTCCCCTAAAGATAAGACCTAGTTAATAACACGAAGTTTTTTTTTTGACCTGATCGATACCAAGAAATCTCTTCTTTATATATTTGGTTTTAGCCTAGTCAGGTGTAAGTATTAAATATATACTGTGTCTGTATCCTTGAATCCATAACTTGCAATTCCAACATGCTTGACTTGTGCATTCCCAGTGAATTGTTATC